GCGATAGAACATTCCAGCAGGTGGGGTGGTGTGGGGGCGGGCGCATGTCCCAGCGGACTGTGGCACTAGGGTTTCTGTGCCATCCCTTCTTGTCTTGTCTGTCCTCTCCTCCTTCTGGACAACGTTGTCTCTTTTCTTCTTTCTCCTTGACCAGTGGGGGTGTTGTCTCCTTCCTGTCATCAAGCAGGGGCCAGGTTTCCACCTTGTAGGTGAGGCCCAGGTGTGTTGTGGTGTCAAAGCCCACCAGGAAGAAGGACACGAATGCATAATGTATCCCATGTTGCTTCTGTTTCCACGTGTCCTTCTGTTTCCACGTGTCACTTCTGTTTCCACGTGTTACTTCTGTTTTCCACGATCGTGGTGGTGACCCTCACTTTGTCATTGTCGCGCTGTGCTCTCTTACCCAGCAGCCCGTGGGTTTGCATCACTTGCTTCCGTATCTCCTCCACTCACGTCTCCCTTTCCCACCTGCGCTAACAGGTGGACACACTGACGCTTACCTTCCCAGCAGGCAGCTCCTCCCGGCCCTCAGCCTGGGCGGGAGCCCTCGGGTGTTCAGGACTGAGGACACAGGACAGCTGCTTGCTCTGTAGTCCCATGACCACAGCCGGCCCTGGAACAACATGGGAGGAAACTCACGGCAGACTAAACTCCCAGCCATACAAGGCTTACGTGATGCCAGATAGACAGTACAAGTGCATTGTTTGCTCGAGCTATTCAGGGTGGTTAACTATTTAGATTTTATGTGGGAAATTACTTCGAATCCTTGTCCAATGTCAGCTCTGAAACTCGTCTTTAACTCGCCTCCACCCAGTCAGTGAGAAGGAGCGGACAGGCTGAACCAGGGATCCAGGCATTCAAGGCCGCAGAATCACAAAACGAGTTCAAGGTCCCTGAACAGGGATGAGCGAGAAGGGAGCTCAGCCCACATCTCTCCACCGCAAGGGCCTCCCCAGACGCCCTGGGGGCCTGCGGCTTCCTGCCTGTCCCAGACAAGACCACAAGACTCCATAAAGCCTTTCTCTTGTATCCCCAAACCCAGCTTTTGCCCCCTATCCGCACGCCTGGAGACCCAGCTTCATCTCACCTGCTCTTGGCGGCAGGGGCTCTGCCCAGGCTCTGTCTTCATACGGCAAGGACACCCCCTTTGGGCTTTATGCTTCGGACAGTCCCTGCGGACCCCAACTGCCCCTCCCTCAGAATGCTACCCCGCCCCAGCTGCGGAACCCCAGCCTGTGCTGGACCCGGATGCCCGCAGGCTGGGCGGGAGGAGCACACTGGCTGTGCCCACACTCTGGCGGGGCTCATGTCACCCCATCTGCTCTGGGGAGCTGGAGGCTATGGGCCAAAGCCTGTGGGCTCAGGATTCAAGGAAAACCTGCTCTTTCACCCAGTGTGTTCAAACCAGAACCCTCAGGACCCAGGGGTCCCCAGAGGTACCTCAGGGGTCACGGCAGAGGCAAGGAGGGGTGGCGGACGACAGGAGCTCTGGCCACCCTGCCTCCCTCCCCAGCGGCACTTCTTTGTTTGGTCTTGCACGTTTGCCTTCGCTGTGTGATCTTGCTAGACTCAGATTTTTTTTTTTAATTTTTTTTTATTTTCGCATATTATGGGGGTACAGATTTTAAGGTTTCAATAAATGCCCATTTCCCCCCCTCCCTCCAAAAGTCTGAGTCTCCAGCATGACCATCCCCCAGATGATGCACATCTCACTCATTATGTATGTATATACCCGCCCCCCTCCCCCCTCCCACCTCCCCAATACCCTATTATTGTAGGGTATTGTGTCCACTTAGGTGCTACTCAGTTAATACCAGTTTGCTGGAGAATATATCTGGTGCTTGTTTTTCCATTCTTGGGATACTTCACTTAGTAGTATGGGTTCCAGCTCTAACCAGGAAAATATAAGATGTGCTATATCACCATTGTTTCTTAGAGCTGAATAGTACTCCATGGTATACATATACCACATTTTATTAATCCATTCTTGGATTGATGGGCACTTGGGCTGTTTCCACAGCCTTGCAATTATGAATTGTGCTGCTATAAACATTCGAGTGCAGGTGTCTTTTTTGTAGAATGTCACTGGATCATTTGGGTAGATGCCCAGCAATGGGATTGCTGGATCAAATGGTAGATTCACTTGTATCGCTTTAAGGTATCTCCATATTGCTTTCCACAGAGGTTGAACTAGTTTGCAGTCCCACCAGCAGTGTAGGAGTGTTCCTCTCTCTCCGCAACCACACCAGCATTTATTGTTTGGAGATTTTTTTATAAAGGCCATTCTCACTAGGGTTAAGTGATATCTCATTGTGGTTTTGATTTGCATTTCCCTGATGATTAGAGATGTTGAGCATTTCTTCATATGTTTGTTGGCCATTCTTCTGTCTTCTTTAGAAAAATTTCTGTTCAAGTCCTTTGCCCACTTTTTAATGGGGTTATTTGATTTTTTCTTCCTAATTTTCGTGAGTTCTAAGTATATTCTAGTTATCAGTCCCTTATCGGATGCATAGGATGCAAAAATTTTCTCCCATTCTGTAGGTTGTCTGTTTACTTTCATGACTATTTCTTTGGTTGTGCAGAAGCTTTGTAGTTTGATCATGTCCCATTTATTTATTTTTGTTGCTGCTGTGATTGCCTTTGGGGACTTCTTCATAAACTCTTTGCCCAGGCCGATGTCTAGGAGAGTGTTTCCAACTTTTTCCTCTAGAGTTCTAATAGTTTCATTAGACTCAGATTTTTTTAAGTGTCCATTCCGCTACTTAAACTTCTGCATGCAAATAGTTACAACCAATTCGAATTACAACACTTTACTTGTTTAAAGTTATAGTTGCTTTTCATTTTATAATAGCCCAAAACTACTACTAAGTGGACACTTCTTGGACAGGATCTTCTCCAATCCACCTCAAGTGCAAAGGCAGCTATTTGGAATCATTACTGGGTGGGATCTGTCCCCTCTGTTTCCTCCTCATTATCAGAAGAAGAAAGCTCGTTTTTCCTCAGCAGGGTCTCTTTAGAGTGTCCATATTTATAACAACATATTTAGAACCCACAAGTGATAAAAAAAAAAATGTTGATGACTATTTTTCCTGAGAAAGAGAAAGTCATTCACTGTGAATAAAACACTATGGAAATGATCTCTAAAAAAGAGAGAGAGGCGCTTACATTTGGCATTGACCTTTGCGCAGCAGTCAGCCCTGGCGTTTTCTCAGCTGGGACCGGTGTGCATAGATGATCTACACCTTTCAGCAGTGAATCTATAAATCCCTTCATTCTTCCCCTGAGCTGCCAATAAATCCTCATAAAGAGAAGCCTCCTCCTCCTCCTCACTAGTTAACTCGTCTCCACAGAAGGAGGAGATAGAAATGGATTTTATTTTTTCTCCCCCTCCCTACAAACACAAAATACGTGTTTCTCTGAAGGAAACTCAGTGTGAAGGAACAAGTCCTGGTTTCCCAGAGTCGGCAGCTGGCAGGAAGCAAGAGAAATTCTTCAGGCCTGCGGATTGCCCAGATCACACACCTGGTCATCGTCAAGGGCCACGGTGAGGTGAAGGATTACCTCGAATCTACACAGCTGCACATTGGTTTCCTTTCCTAAGTTCAGGATCATGATCCAGAGTTACCCACTCGCAAGAAAACACGACCCTTCCTCACCACAAACAAGGCCACAAAAACAAGCTCAAGCCAGCAGGTGGCCCCGGAGCCTTCCTCAGCCTGGGAAGGGTGATCTCTCCCTCTCCACCCAGTCTCCTAACTAATTTCCTCCAGGCTCTTGCCCAAATGCACTGCCTCTGCTGACAGTTGCTTCTCCAAGCCCACAAGATGCGTTAGAACCTTCTAAGTGGCCAGAGTTATTTTATTTTATTTATTTAGACACAGTCTCACTCTATTGCCCAGGCTAGAGTGCCATGGCATCAGCCTAGCTCACAGCAACCTCAGACTCCTGGGCGCAGGGGATCCTCCTGCCTCAGCCTCCCGAGTAGCTGGGACTACAGGCACGCGCCACCATGCCCGGCTAATTTTTTCTATATATTTTTAGTTGGCCAATTAATTTCTATCTTTAGCAGAGACAGGGTCTCGCTCTTGCTCAGGCTGGTCTCAAACTCCTGACCTTGAGCAATCCTCCTGCCTCAGCCTCCCAGAGTGCTAGGATTACCGGTATGAGCCCTCATGCCTGGCCCAAGAGTTCATTTTGATAAGACCAAATGACAGAATGTTCTCATCACAGAGCACATATCTCTATCAAAGCATAAGCTATGTATAAGGAATCCATGACTTCTAGCCCATGTCTTCCCTCTTCTGGAATTCTTCAAGGAATGGTGTTATAATAGCTCCTCATTTTCTAACAATCACAGCAAAAAAAAAAAAAAAAAAAAAGAATCCTAATATTTTTCTAGAGCTCTTTTTTAATAGTTCCACAATATTGGACCACTGGATTATGATTGTCTTCTTTAGGTGTTCAAACTGTACTCATCAGAGTCCCAGGATTCTGCAGAACTGAGGGGACTTGTAGTGTCATCTACCCACGTCCCCTCGACACACACAAAGCAGCCTTGATGTTTCTCTCTAGAATGCACTGAGGTTATGTACCTATGCCCTTAACTACAGGAAAGGCAGCAAGGAGCAACCATTTCCAGAAATAGAACACATATGATTAGATGACCACACAGATGATACACAGAGACCAGGGGTTGGACAAAACCCCTGGTCCAGTTAATCCCTGGATCCTAAATCTGCCAGAAGTAAGTGTCAAAGAAACTAGGCTCTCTGGGCTCCCTCCCTTGCCCTCCTTTCTCCCCCATCTCTGGCAAAGGGGGAGGAGGACCTGGGGAGGGATCCTGGCACAAGCAGTACCCCTGGGGGCAGAGAGGATGAAAAACAAAGAACTCTGCTTCTACTCTCAAAGTGAAATGTCCGCAAGATCGACCTTGTTCTGCTGACATCACCGAGTCTTGTAGCAAAACTAAAAGTATCATCAAGCATTGCAACCAAGCCAGCAAAGCTCTAAATCTTTTCACATTTTGTCAGATAGCCTTTCCCATTAGCCTGGCCTGCTGTGGGCCAAGGCTTCAGGATGGGGATCTCATAAGGACAGAGGGAGAAGAGAACTGTGTCCTAACACATTTTGGGCAAGGAGTTCTATTCCAAAAAATATATAAAAGCAAGTTTGAGGTGCTTTGCCCTCCACCAAGAGCCCAAAGGCTACTCCTCCAGCCAGGAGGAAGAAGACACACGGGCAGGGTTACAAGCTAAGAGCTGCCTTGGGCCCAAAGCTGGCAAATCATCACAGCATAGCACGTACCAAGAATTAGAGCTTTTTTCTTGTCATCCACTGAGACTAGGGGGAGGGAGGTTCACCGCAGTATAACCTAGAAAATCTGACAAATACAGAAATCAGCTGCTGAAATAAAATCTAACAAAAACTTAATATACTTGGCATTACATTGGGTCTGGGTGACCGGTGGTGAAAAAACCTTTTTTGAAGTGACATGTCTCCTCCAAGCAGAAGCTTGAAGTCCATCCCTGCTCTTCTTCCTGTACCATGAGGCGGAGATCCAGGCACCTCTCAGCCTGGATGCCAACACGAAGATCCTTGGGGCGGAGGATTGGAGCTTTGCTGTTTTAAGCACCTCTGCCCCCCCCCAAAGTTTGCAATGATACTCATAAGGGAACCCCTATCTATTACTTGGTGCACCAGGCCCACATCAGCATAACACTAACCTGTTTCCTGGCCCATCAGCGAGTCTATTGGCCGGCATCGGCATGACACTGAATCTGTTGCCTGGTGCATCAACACAATATCAACCTGGTACCTGACACATCAACTAACCTACACCTGGTACCCCACCCCTGGACCACCCCAACTTAATAAAAATGGGAAAAATTGGGTAGATGGGCTCAGAATTCTGAGCCTGCCAGCAAATGAACTTCGATTCTCCGACTCTCCGTGTGATGCTCGGTTTGTCCGCGGCACCACCGGCTGTGACACTTGCTGCAACAGTACATCTATAAGTTCTTGTATCTGTGGGAGAAAAGGAAGAACAGAAGAGAAAGAAAAGGAAGGAGAGAGGAAGAAAATGTTTAAGATATCAATGACAAGAGACATTTTAAAGGAAGAGGGATTCTTGGCATATTATCTGTCACCAAATGGACTCAGGCCAGACACAGATGATAGACGGAGCGAGAAATGGGAGAATTCCAGTGGAAACCGGGCAGGCAGAGCCATGCAAACAAGCAGCTGCTGCCCAGGCCTAATTGATTACGGCTCTGAAGAAGACAGGCAGTGAAACAAGTAAAAAAATAGTCACCCTTACAGGCCTTTTATCAGCAATGCCCTGGAGCAGGCTTCTTCCCTCCCCTTCCTACCTCACCAAAAATAAAAGCGCAACCTAGTAATCGGTACACCAGCCTCAGGGGCTCTGGAGAAAACTTGATTCTTTTCCTACAGGGGAACAGCACCAAACCTTTCTGCATGTGAGATCCTCAGGAAAATTTAAGTAAAAACTGCCATGAGCACCTCTTTGTGCATGGCTATGATGAAATATTTCACCCCCATCATCAGAACGGAGGGGGAAGGAGGGCAAGGCCCACAGAAGGGAAACTCGCAGGACGATTCGCTCAGCCAAAAGGAGCCGGAGTCCCTAAGGAATGAGTGGGCTGGACAGCCCAGCTGGGGAAGAGCAGAAAAGTCATTCTTGATTCCTCTTTCCTGCTTTGCCCCGGTTTTCTATCAGTTGCCAATTCCTACTAACTTTGACTCTGCAGCAAGCCATCGACCTCTGCCTCCTGTCCCTCTCCCTGGCGGCCCTGAGCTCGTGCACTGGCTCTTCCTAGACCACTGCGATATTTCAAGCCCTTTCCTTGCTTCTCGTGCCCTCATTCCACACGATGCCAATGCCGACAGGCCGCCTTCCTAAAACAAGTCTCTGATTCTATCACCTACCCCCTCTCGAATGCAGTGGCCGAAATTCCCAAATCCCCACCCTACCTTCCAAACCCTCCCTAATCGGGCTCATGATTCCCTTCACACACATGAAGTCTGATCAAGATGAAGGATTCATCCCTTCAACCACCACTCTTTCCTTCCTGTATTTTTTTTCCAGGCTGTGGTCTTACCCTTTTATCCTAATGTCTAAATCCTACCAACCCTTCAGACCTCAGCCCACCGCTGTTTCCTCCTGAAGCCACCACACCCTTCAGTAGACAGTCACTGCTCCCCGCTGTGAACTCACATTTCTCATCACCTGTGCTGTGGTTTGAATGTGTCCCCTTCAAAATGGAGGTGCTCCCATGTGACAGTCCTGAGAAGTGAGCCCTTTAGGAGGTGAGTGTAAGACACTGGGCTATAAGGACAATGGACACCTTCCAGCTTCTATTTACTGCTTGTTTGCTAACCGCAAGGCATTATGAGGAAATAATGCAGAGGAAAAAGACAAAGAACACGGAAACCGGAGTCTCTCAGCTAGGACCCAGAACAGGTTAGAGCCTATCAGGGGCAGGATGAAGTAAGAATCACTGTGGGGGCGGATGCATGATCAGTATGTAAACAACTTAGCTATAAAAGTCACTAGCACACAAAGAGGGGTCCCTGCTCGAAGAAGGCCACTGCGCTGGCACTCTGGGGGCCCGGACCCTAGCTCAAGCTAGACAATAAAACTCCTTTTGATAATTACAGCCTCGGTGATTCTGTCTCTCTGTCCTGCGGCCTTGTGAATCTCGAATATAATAGTGAGTGGACCAGGACTGGGACTGAGGCCCTGGGAAAGAGGCTTTCATGCAGCATGAGGAAAACAACCTCCTTCATGTCTGGATTCAGTTGTGTGAGGGCAGGATGCTTGTAGCTATGGCAACCATCTTGCAACCACGAGATGAAAGCCGAAAGAATCACAGAGAAGCTGAGCCAGAACCCAGATATCACCTGTACTGCTGAATTAACAAATCTCAGGAGCACGTATCTCCAGATTTATGTTACAAAAATAACGAGCTCTTGTTTTTTAAGCTCTACTAAATATTGCATTTCTTAGAGCAAAGAGCATCCTAAATGATAAAACATTCATGAATGGCATCTGCCCCTTCCCTTTTATTCAATACTTCGGGGTTATTAAAATTGTTATAAATAAAATTATTGAATATTATTATAAATAAAATCTGCACTTTTATCTAGGTATAATTATAAATTAGACGTAACAATAATTGATAACATTTGATAGATACGATTATAGCTCATGGGAATATGAAGCTAAATTTTTACAAAGGGCATCACAGCCAGGTCATTTTGCAATGTCTAAATCCTTTACAATCTCATTTGCATTTTCTTATTTGCCTAGCAAACCCTATTACCTGTCCGGCCAGAGAGACTGGCAGCTGTCATGCCTGAACCACACTCCTGCTCTTGGCCTGAGAGTGGACATGTAGATGACCCAAAGCCTCTCCACAGACCAAAAAGCCACGTGGTCAAGCTGGGAGGTCCTCACAGAGAACAAAGGGTGTTTGTAAGACACGACCTTGTAGAATGTTTCAACTTTGAACTTGGAAAATTTTTCAGTGGGAAACTAACCACAATGAGTCTGAACTGCCTCCTCCAAGCTAAGGTAGAGTTTATCTGAATGCCCCAGAACACAGCATGTTTATCCATAGCCTGCTTCAGAGTTATGTTTTATTATCATCGGTTCTAGAATATCCTGTACCCAACTGTGTAATGTACCTGTCCTAAAGTGCAATGCATTTATTTTAAAATGCCACTCGTAGATGATTTCTCCCAGGCCTGCAAAGGACATAATGAGATAATGCAGTGGAAAGCACTTTGTAAGCTGTGAAGTAATATAAAAATGTTGCTATTTTTATTATGATTTAGATTTTGTTTAAAATGTTAAAGTAAGCAAGAGCTTTATGAAAACTGTGTCCTGGGCCCAGAAAAGCTGCTACTAAGTTATTGGGACACATACTCAGGGGTAGATCTGTGCTAATGGTTTCTACCATTTTTTTTACAACTGTCCAAGAAACAGTTGGGGTTCAGAAATCCTGCTTTCCTCTGTGCCTTAAAAAATAAGTACGTCATGCGCACTTCTAATCCGGGCAATTGAAACATGATAACCCTTAGATTATCTGTAAAGTTAACGTAACATCTGACCCCTGTGCTCTGGTCTCACTATTCCCTGTGTCAAGCATGGTATATCCCAGTTCCAGCTCAGCAGGTGTTCAAGAAACATTGTCGAACTGAATTGTGTTCATGAGAGAATGTGTAACTCCTTGCTACTCAAAGTCTGGGATGCCAGCAGTGTTGGCATCGCCGGGAGTCAGCTAGAAATGCAGCAGCTCGGCCCCACCCTAGACCTCCCAAATCAGAGTCTGTATTTTGCACAATCCCTCAGATGCCTGGTGTCCACCAAAAGTGTGTAAGCTGTGCTGTGTCCAGGTCCCCCTTTAAGTCCACCCCAGGGGCCACTTGAGACAGCTCCCGCACAGGCCTTGCTGTTCAACCCTGCCTGGTGGCAGGAAAACACGCCCTCGGCTGGCGTGTGCCAGCCAGGCAGAAGTGCTGGGAAGCTGAAATCCTCACTGGGACAGTGGCTGACGCATGAGCATCACAGCTTTCCTGGCTTTCATTAAGAAAATTGTGGGGCATGTTCCACACAGTCTTTCAAAGTGTTACTGGAGATACTAGGTTCCAGTTGCCCATGGTGACAAACCACCACGGGCTTTCCTGTCTTCCTCTGTCTCCCTTCCCCACACCCTCAGCATTAACTGTACGTACCTCCTCAGCATTGCTTCTAGGAACCACTTCCCAAATACACCGCCTTTCCTCTGATCCTTGTTTCAGGATCCACTTTTGGAAGAACCCAAACTAAGAGAAGTTACCTTCTACTTCTGAGAGTCTAGGCTCTATTCCAGCCCCTGGCCTGGGTCTGCTTCCGCTGCCTTAACAAAAACCGGATACCACAGACTGGGTGGCTGAACACATGGACTGCCCCACTAGAAAAAAATTTTCCCTGGAGCCACAGTGTTTTATTATAAACTTAGAATGAACACGTTGAAACAAAATGATCCTTTCTAATTGAATGAGAAATGGAATGTATTGACTTCTATTCATTTAATTCATGCTTTTAGAATTAATTTGCTAATATTAATTATAACAATAAGAATATCAACAGATTTTCATGAACCAACTGCAGGGTTTTGCCCAGGTTTTGCTTCACAAGGCCTCAGGCTCAAAACTAGCATGAGTTAAATACAACTCATGTGGCAGTTAATGTGTTACACAACAAAAATGCATTTTCTCACAGTTCTGGAGACTGCAAGTCCAAGATCAATATGCAGCATGGTCAGCCTCTGGGGAGGGCTCTCTTCCTGGCTTACAGACAGCTGCCTTCTCTCTGTCCTCACATGGCAGAGAGCACATAATAGATCCCTAGTCTCTTTTTTTATTATAAGGCCAGAGTCCTAATGGATTAGGGTCTCATGCTTATGACCTTATTTAACCGTAAGTACCTCCTTCAGGCCCTATTTCCAAATATAGCCACATTGGGGGTTAGGGCTTCAACATATCAATTTGTGGGTGGACATAACTCCATCCACAGCACTCATTATTTTAGAATATGAAGCCCCAAGAAATTAAATAAATGCACAACGGGTCAACAAGTTCATGTAGATCAGAGCAAAGAGGGAATTCAGCCACTTCTAATTCTGGTTCTACCACCACATTCCTGGCCTCTGCTCAGTTGAAGTATCAGAACGTTGGAAAAGGTGATTACTAATGGACTGAGTCCAGGATGGGAGAGCAGGGCCAGGAACCCAGGTCTCCTGACTGCCAGTCCAGGGTCCTTTCCAACACACCAAACTGCCATCTCCTAACCATGTTGTTAGGGGCTTTAAGAGCAATGGACAAAACCCAACAAATTATAACATTAAACTAAAAAATGTGTCTCGCTCTTTTGTTTCTCAAACCTCAATCACTTTGATTACAACCGGCTCACGACAATTCACACTAATGAAAGAGAGCATTGACATAAATAATTCAGAAACTCACTAATAATCAGCCCAGCTGTAAGATACTTCTGCCAAGGAAAACATCCCAGGAGGCCACCCAGGCTGGGAAGGTGGCAGTGTGACTCCTAGTGCCTGCAGGTGATCTGCGGTGTGGAAAGCAGCCTGCTGCCGGCCCCAAGACGCAGGTTCGGGAAAGCAGAGTTGGTTGCAGGCCCTTTAGAGTTAGGGAGAGAGGACACCTTTAGGACACATGGCCAAGAGGTCAACAGGGCAACAGCGGGTTTCCAAAAGTTGACATAACACAGATGTCAGTGCGAGGAGTTTGCCTATTTCTTAATCAAACCCTATCACTGCTTTATTGTAGGAGCTTCACCTACAGCTCCTCTGGGACCCAGCAATGACAGCCAAGCAAGCATTTGTGCTGCAGGGCCACTTTCCACCGTGCACCTGGGAAAGCAAAATGAGCATGCAACACAGAATAAACCAGAGAGAGAGAAACTGCATGACCGGAGTAGGCAGGCCCCAATGGAGAAAGTGGCCTCCTTTGTTCCTAGCAGGTTCCAAAGCCCTGGCTCTAGTCGCGCCTGAGACCACACTGTCCTGTCTGCCTGTGTGGTCGGAGACATCCAGTCCTTTCCCCCTTTTGTCTTAAAACCAGGGTGGATGATGTGTAATAGATAATCCCTGACTATACCACATTCCTCCAGCAAGACTGATCTGCTCACTGACCCCCAAAATGCAATTCTAAGAAATGCAAGTTTATCGTACCCTTTCAGATCCCAACCCCCAGACCAATCCACCCCAAATCCAGTTTCTTGCACCCCATAACATCTTCTCCAATCCCTGTAGCCAACAGGCCTCAGAGACGTCTAGATGAACTTCGGGAAGAGCTCGGAGCTGCAGGTGAGGTTTGCAGCCTTCACTACAGCATCGCCCAGCTGCACTGCATTGCGAGAAGTCTCAGAAATCCGGCATGCATTTCACATGCACGGCACACTGTAATCTGGACTAGCCACATTTCAGTGGCCAGTGTAGCTCTAGAGTTTGAATCCAAGTTCTGCTGTGTCCATTCTCATTGTGTGATGCTGGATGGATTACTCAACCCCTCGGCTTCATAAAGGTGTTTTGAGTATAACATGATATATTTCCTGCAAAACCTTTAGCATACTGCCTCAGTAAATAATAACCACTAATTTTATCACAAAATACAAGGGGTAAGCAGAAGGGACAGTCAGGGACGGCTCATTGCTTCAGTGGCACTCAATAAAATGTATTTAGAATAAAGCAACCAATGAACAAAAATCCTATTATGAGTGTTAGAATTGCCACGTGGTTCAATGAGATATCACTTAACTCCAATGAGAATGGCCTTTATCAAAAAGTCCCCAAACAACAAATGCTGGCGTGGATGCGGAGAGAAAGGAACACTCCTACACTGCTGGTGGGACTGCAAACTAGTGCAACCTCTGCGGAAAGCAGTATGGAGATACGTCAAAGCGATACGAGTAGATCTACCATTTGATCCAGCAATTCCACTACTGGGCAGATCTACCCAAAAGATCAAAAGTCACTTTATAAAAAAGACACCAGCACTCAAATGTTTATAGCAGCACAATTCACAATTGCAAAGCTATGGAAACAACCCAAGTACCCATCAATTCATGAGTGGATTAAGAAAATGTAGTATATGTATACCATGGAGTACTACTCAGCTTTAAGAAACAATGGTGATATAGCACCTCTTGTATATTCCTGGATAGAGCTGGAACCCATTCTACTAAGTGAAGTATCTCAAGAATGGAAAAACCAGCACCACATGTACTCACCAGCAAATTGGTATTAAAGGATCAACACCTAAGTGGACATGGACATATAGGAGTAACATTTATCGAGTGTTAGGAGGATGGGAGGGGGGAGGGGGGGAAGGGCATATACAACCATGAGTAAGATGTGCGTTTAGGGGATAGACATGCTTGAAGCTCTTACTCGAGGGGGGAAGGGGGCAAGGGCAAGATAAGTAACCTTAACACTTGTATCCCCATAATATGCTAAAAAAAAAAAAAAAAAAAAAGACTAACACAGAACTGCCCAACGGAGCCACTCTTGAATTCCTGACTCACAGAAGTTGTGAGCTAATAAATTATTTTTATTGCTTTAAGCCAAAAAAAAGAAAAAAAAGAATTGCCACGTGGTTTGTACTGGTTAAGAGCCGGTTTGAGATTCAAATACTGATTCTGCCACTGACTAGCATATAAAGTTGGGAAATTTATTTAACCATTTCACACTCCAGTACCTTCATCTGTAAAATGAAAAAAGTAATGGCATCTACCGTGTGTGATCAAGGTGAGGATCCAATGAGTTTGTAAATGTAAAGCACTTGGCACAGGGCCAACAGTAAAGATGGGCTGTAGCTGTCATCAGCATTGCCATCGTCATCATCACCATCATTCTTGTGATGGTGATTGCTACTCTGCCATCTCAGACAGCTAATGAACAGCTAATGGCATCGTAATCATTGGCTCTCGGGTTCTCAGCTTCCACTAAATACATGCTGACTTTTAGCTGACCCCAAATCAAATAATCTGTTCTGAATATAATCATGAATTTCAAAATATACAGCTACAAGGGCAAGAGCATAATTACAGCAGACTTGTTAGAAACATGCAATTCACAAACATCACAATCCGATTCACAGTGATAAATGCTGAGAAATAGAGCTAGGGTGCCAGGGACTGGACACATAAAATAAATGGCCACATACTGTCCCCTGGCTCTCCACACTCATCCATCTCCTGCTGCGTTCTTCCTTATATTGCAAGAGCCGGAATCTGGGAACTAACGTCACTTACTCAGTTGCCAGCTGGATACTGGGTCTGGTTTACTTTACGAGATACACTCATGCCAGACTTGAAGGTAGAAAAGAGGTAGAATTACTCTTCTGCTGCTGCTACTCTTAGCAGGTACGTGGGCTTCAGATATGGGGAATTTTAATAACAGCTCCCCTGAAATTCACCCCCTTAGGACTGCGGAGGAGCTGTGAGGCCAGCAGGAGTCTCCCGCCGGTCCCTGGCCTCCAGCCCCGTCAGTCTCTGGCTCCCTAACGAACCATAACCGTGGTTGTCCTCTTCCCTTTTGCTCCTCCAACCCCCTCAATGCTTTCTGTGGGCACCTGAGCCCCTATTAAATCGTGTCCTGTTTGAAATACCTAGGTTGATTTCTATTTTCTGATGTATTCTGCCTAATATTCCTGTTTTTCCTGACAATTGACCTGGACCCCTTAATTTGACCTATGCCTCTAAGAGATGCGGGTAATAAAATGTCAGACATTTATTTTAGCAATTCTAATTCATTGGCAAGTTTAATTGCAAAGCAGTAACAGCAATAAAAAGCAGAAGTTGGCCAGCCCGGTGGCTCACACCTGTAATCCTAGCACTTGGGAGGCCGAGGCGGGCGGATTGCTCAAGGTCAGGAGTTTGAAACCAGCCTGAGCAAGAGCCAGACCCCGTCTCTACTATAAATAGAAAGAAATTAATTGGCCAACTAATATATCCAGGAAAAAATTAGCTGGGCATGGTGGCGCATGCCTGTAGTCCCAGCTACTTGGGAGGCTGAGGCAGTAGGATTGCTTGAGCCCAGGAGATTGAGGTTGCTGTGATCGAGGCTGACGCCACGGCACTTACTCTAGCCTGGGCAACAAAGTGAAACTCTGTCTCAAAAAAAAAAAAAAAAGCAGAAGTTACTGCCATTTCTAAGTAGCAAAGTAAATATCTCCATACTAAGACACCTCTTTTCCATGGCTCTCCATCTGACCTCCAGAGTCAGCCTAAAACTGTGCAACACAAAAGCCCATGTCCTTAACCGTGAGATGCATGCACCCGTTATCACATCGTTGAGACGGTTTGTGTCCCTTTGGGGAGTAGCCCCGGCATCAGCACTGTCACCATGGCGGGATGCCATGGCCCATAACGACCTTACTCAAAACCTTTCCTCCTCAGGCTCGGAAGGCATTAGCCATTGAGTTAGTGTGACCATTTCCATTTCAGGGAACAGAGAGGCTAGTGCTAAAAGAATCTACAGGCTCAAAATAAGGCTGGATGTAATTGATCCTAGATTGAAATGAACATGGGGTAAGTGTAATTCCCAGCAGTCATGCTGAAAAAGAACCACACTTTGTTTCCACCTGATTTAGCAAAACTTACCTAAAAATGGCGCAAGATTCCCTCTCACCCAGGAAAAAATCCAGGGCTGGGGCCCTTCTCTGGAGAGCTGCAGCTCCTGTCTCACTAGGCCCTGTCTGCTAATGAGACAAAGCAGATGGACAGAGCAGCTGGGGTTAGAACAGAGTGTTCTCCAAGGCTTTGGGCTCTGTGTTTCCATAGCAACACCATACCTGGAGGAAAGCAGCCTGTGACTGAGCCCAGCAGATCTGTCTCCATAACGACAGGATCACGGTGACTTGCCTGTGATCCCTCCCTCTTCCTCCTCAGCAAGGGCCACAGTGCCAATGCCACATACCTCTGCTGGTCAGGTGTACAGATGCCCACCTCTGAACTCCTCTGATGGATGTCTTGGACCAGGTTCCCCAGATAAAGACCCTGAGAGGAGGCTTTGTGTGTGAGGGATGTATTAAAGAAGGGCTCCTAAGGGACACGGGGGAGGAAGGGGGGAGTGGGACAGAAAAGGAGAAAGCCAGGCAGCAAAGCCACCCCACACACAGTCCTGCAGAGGACAGCTTCAGCCTAACCCCATGGGGGAAATCAAGGTATAAGTTACAGCACAGAATTGCCTGTACTCATCTGCCGTGAGCTAAGGGTTGCCCCCGGGGGACCTTATTCCCACATACTTCCAGCTCTCCACCTCTTTGGAAAATCGGGCCCAGAGTCCCTGAGAAAGGCTACAAGGATTGGTTTTGGAAAGCACAGCAAAGCCAGATGGTACACCAAAATGGCAAAATGATATCCAAGGGGATCTGAGCAAAGCACCACCATCAACCACTATGTCAGAAAAAACTAGAGTGCCGTCCTTCTCATACATCTCAGACAGCGTCTGCCTGGACTTATCCAATCTGGGTTTTAAATATCAACATCCACTGGTGGCTGCTCGTCACCAACCACGTGCCTCACACGGGAGTGGGAATTATGGAAACACCAAGCAACAGGGCACGCTGGCCCTCCCTGTACGATAAGCTGGGACTTATGCTACCCAGCAAGGGACTACGTTTTGGTGCAAGCAGCAGGAAATCAGGAGTTGCACAACTTTCTGGCCTTACCTCAATTATGACCAGCTGACGGAGGCACCAGAAAGAGAACTGAAGGTAAGGGAAGGTGCCGGAATGGCCTGCCTCACCCTGACACCTAGGACTTCACACTGAGTCTTGGCGTGCCCTCCTCCCTACTCTCAGTGTGACCTTAGACAAGTTAATCTCTTTTGATATCAGATTTTTCTTTTGTAAAGTGGAAATATTAAAAACCTACTCTGGTATATCTATCTGTCAATCTATTGGGAGGCAGACAGAATGATAAAGCAAATGTGGGGAAATGTTAACTACTGGTGAAGCTGGGTATTCAGGGGTTTTTATTATTCTCGAAATGTTTTTGTGAGTTTGAAATTATATTAAAAGTTACCAAAAAAGAAAAAACACGACTCATACACAAAGTGCGTGCTCTTAAACTGTTAAATGGAGATGACAAAATCCAACCTGACGTAGGTTAGGAGGAAATGCCTACCATTTTGTTAAAACTTAATCAAGGAAATGGATTTTTTTTTCTAAACCCTGCCCTGGACTTCCACTTCTGGGAAGATGGGGCAGACCTAATTTTCCCCATTTCTCCTCCTCAGTACAACTAAAAATCCTGGACGTTATATCTAAAACTAACATAAGCAAGCTCTGGTAGGCCAGGCACAGTGGCTCCCGCCTGTAATCCTAGCACTCTGGGAGGTCAAGGCCAGTGGATTGTTTGAGCTCAGGAGTTCGAAACCAGCCTGAACAAGAGTAAGACTCCATCTCTACTAAAAAAATAGAAAGAAATTAGCTGAACAACTAAAAGTATATACATAAAAAATTAGCCAGGCATGGTGGTGCATGCCTGTAGTCCCAGCTACTCAGGAGGCTGAGGCAGAAGGATAGGTTGAGCCCAGGAGTTTGAGGTTGCTGTGAGCTAGGCTGATGCCATAGCACTCTAGCCCGGGCAACAGAGTGAGACTGTGTCTCAAAAAAAGAAAAAAAGATCTACCAAAGAATTAACTGAACAAACACGAGGAAAAAATCCCCATGAAAATGAGAACAAAAAAGTTGGCTTAGTAAGAAATAAATTTAGGTGAACATAATGCAAACAGTAAAAATTGTAAAACTTAAGCAGAAATGATTACAGTTGGTTCTCTGCATCCATGCATTTCATATCTATAGATTAAACCAACCACAGATTTTAAATACTCAAAAAAAATTCCACAAAGTTCCAAAAAGAAAAACTTGAATTTTCTGTATGGCAAGTACTATGTTGAATTCACATGAGTGATGTGTATGCATTATATAAAGTATACGGGAGGATGTGTGCAAGTTATATGCAAATGCCACACCATTTTTTATAGGAGACTTGAGCATCCACAGATTTTGGTATCCTTGCAGAGTCCTGGAACCAATCCCCACCAACAGTGAGAGTCAAGTGTATTTAAAGTCGGATAGGGTTCTTTGAAAAAATAAACAAAATTGACAAACCCTTAGCCAAACTAAGAAAAAAATAAAACCAGAAATGAAAAAGGAAACATTACAACCGGTATCACAAAAATACAATGGATAAGAGACTACTATTAACAATTATTAATATATACCTACAAGTTAGATAACCTAGAAGAAATGAACAAATTACCAGAAACATACAACCTATCAAAACTGAACCAAGAACAGAAAATCTGAATAGATCAATAACAAATAAGAAGGTTGAATCATTAATTTAAAAATCTCCCATCAAAGAAAAACCCAGGACCAGATAGCTTCATGGCAGAATTCTACCAAACATTTAAAGAACTAATATCAATCTTTCTCAAACACTTTCAAAAAATTGAAGAAGGAATACTTCCAAACTCATTTTATGAAGCCAGCATTACCCTGATACCAAAGCCAGACAAGGACACTACAAGAAAATAAGATTACAAGCCAATGTCCCTGATAAACACAAATGCAAAACTTCAACAAAACACTAGCAAATGGAACTCAATGGCACATTAAAAAGACTATTCACCATGGTCAAGTGGGATGTATCCATGGGATGCAGATGGTTCAACATATGTGAACCAATAAATGTGATACACCACACTAACAGAATGAAGGACAAAAACTATATGATGATCTCAACAGAGACGCAGAAAAAACACCTGATAAAATTCAAAATTGTTTCATGATAAAAACTCTCAACAAATTAGGCATAGAAGAAATGTACTTCAACATAATAAAGGCCATATGTAAAAAGCCTACACTCTACGGGACAAACTTCTATGGAAAAGGAAAAAAAAATCCCACAGCTAACGTCATAATCAACAGTGAAAAGCTGAAAACTCGTCTTCCAGGAATAAGATAAGGATACACACACTATTTCTATTCAACATAGTATTGGAAGTCTAGCCAGAGCAATTAGATAAGAAAAAGAAATAAAAGGCATCAAATTGGAAAGGAAGAAGTGAAACTATTTGCTGATGACATTATCTTATATACAGAAAGCCTAAAGACTCCACCAAAAAACTGTTAGAGTAAGTTCAGTATTGCAGAATACAAAATCAACACATGAAAATCAGTAGCATTTCTTCATACTAATAATGAACTATCTGAAAAACAAATTAAGAAATAAATCTCATTCACAATAGCATAAAAAAATACTTAGGAGTAAATTTAATCTAGGAAGTGAAAGATCTATAAACTGAAAACTATAAAACATTGATGAAATAGTAAACAACACAAATAAATGCAAAGGTATGTGTTCACAGATTAGAAGAATATTGTTAAAATGTCCATGCTAGCCAAAGCAATCTACAGATTCAATGCAATCCCTATCAAAATTCCAGTATCATTTTTCAGAAATAGAAAAAATCCTAAAATTCTTACGGAACCACAAAAGACCCAAATAGCCAAACGATATTGAACAAAAACGATAAAGTTGGTAGCACCACACTACCTGACTTCAAAACCTAATGCTGCAATAATCAAAACAGCATGGCACTGGCATAAAAACAATACATTCATTGACGAACAGGAGAGCCCAGAAATAAAGCCACACACATATAGTCAATTGATTTTTGACAAAAGTGCCAAGAAGACATGATGGTGTTCAATAAATGGTGTTGGGAAAACAGGATAGACACATGCAGAAGAATGAAATTGGCTCCTTATCTCACACCATATACAAAACCAACTCAAATGGATTAAAGACTTAAATGCAAGACCTGAAACTGTAAAACTACTAGAAGAAAATGGGAAATTCTCCATGACATAGGTCTGGGCAAAGATTTCTTGAATATGAATCCAAAAGCATAGGCAACAAAAACAAACAAATGTGATTGCTTCAAACTAAAAAGCTTCTGCACAACTGCACAACAAATGAAATAATAGAGTGAAGAGACAACCTACAGGTTGGGAGAAAATAGCTGCAAATCATAGGGGGCTAATATCCAAAATGTATAAGGAACTCAGCTCAATAGCAAGAAAAAGAACCCAATTAAAAATGGACAAAGGACATAAGTAGACATTTCTCAAAAGAAAATAAATGGCCAAGAAATTTAGAAAAACATGCTTATGCTCACTAATCACCAGGAAAATGCAAATTAAATGCAATGAAATTATCACTTCACACCTGTTCCACACATCCTCAAACTACAGCCCCCGGGCCACATGCAGGCCACCTAGCACATTTATCAGGCCCTCCGGGTGTTTTTGCCACGGCTGCCTGTCCTGCTTAGTAGCCGACTCGTCTCAGGCCCACAGTGCACACTCTCCAATGGTCTGAGGGACAGTGAACTAGCCCCGTTTAAAAAGTTTGAGGACCCCTGTGTTAGAGTGTATGATCAAAAAGATAGGCAGGAATGTAAATTAATTCAGCCATTACTGAAAACAGTATGGAGGCTCCTCAAAAAACTGAAAACAGAATTACCATATAATCCAGCAATCCCACTCTTCTGGGTATATATACAAAGGAATTGAAATCAGTATGTCAAAGAGATATCTGTACTACCACATTCATTACTACATTATTCATGATAGCTAAGATATGACAGTAACCAGTGTCCATCATCATGTGAATGGATAAAGAAAATACAGTATATATACCCAGTGAAATACTATTCAGCCTTTAAAAAGGAAGTTGTCATTTGTAACAACACGGATGAACTTAGAAGACAATATGTTAAGTGAAATAAGCCAGGCATGAAAAGACAAATACAGTATTATCTCACTTATATGTGCAATCTAGATAAAGGTGAACTCACAGAAGTGGAGAGTAGAATAGTGGTTATCAGGCTGCAGGAGGAGGGGGTGGATGAGGAAGGATGTTGATCAAACAGTACAAAATTTCAGTTAGACAGGAAGAATTTTAGTGATTTATTGCATGGAATGGTAACTATAATAAATAAGGCATTGTGTATTTCAAAATTACTAAAACAGTAGATTTTAAATGTTTTCACCAAAAAATAAATGTGAAGGACTTAATTAGCTTGATTTAATCACCCCAGAATGTAAAAATATTTAAAACATCACACTCTACCCCATAAATATAAAATATATATAATTACTTGTCATTTAAAAATTTTTAAAATAAAAAAGGAAAAATTCTGATTGTGAATGAAAACTGTTGAAGAATTTGAAGCATTGGATTGACATATTTATTATAGACAAATCCTTGAAGCAACCTGGGTACAAAAGTTTATAGCCTAATCAACTTGAGGGCATTTGAAAATTGCTTCAAGTACATGACTGAATAGCATAAACAAGTGATTGTATACTTATTCTGCATTATTTTAGATAAATTTGAATCATTAAGTGCAGCTACAAGCAGATTTTGAAATACAATATTTCTAACAAATGTTAGAAATGTAAGATCAATCTATCAAATCATGAGCTCTTCAATGATAGATGACTAGCTATGGGGGTATTTTAGCAAAATGGAAGTTTGGGTCAAAGGCAATGTGGTGAAGTGGGTTTGGAGTAATAGACTTGGACCTGATTCCCAACTCCAACATTCAGTATGTGTTATTTACTCAAAGCATGTCATTTTAACCTCTAAACCTCAGCTTTCTCATCTACAATATGAAGTAAACATCTACCCTGCAGAATTATTGTAATTATTAATGCAAATGTATGACCTGGCCTCATTATTATCATAGACTCACTATTCTTTGAAGACTCAATGATTCTATGATTAAAAGTAATAACATGATTTAAATTAGTATAGCAGGACACAACAGAAATAAAAAGTATCACATCTGGAAAACTAGTCTTTCATTATCTGTATACAGACTGGTAATACCTGCAATATATCCTGCCCCTTCCCCAAATCAAGATCAGCACTGCTGCTCTGCCCAGGCCAAAGAAACAGAGTATAAGAAGAGGAACACAGAAGACAGTGGAAGGTAGAATAGAATAAACATCTGAGCCCCAGACTGTCAATACTGCTGTGCCATTACTCAGGTAAAGAAATTTCAACAAAAGAGGAAATAAATGCATCAGAGCTGTTAGGATTCCTAAGTAAGACTATCTTCCTTATTCACAGGAGATTCAACTAGCTCAAACTGGCGCTCATCAATTGACATGTATACATTTTACTTCCTAATCTAATGGTAAGCAATCTAATGGTAAGCTGAATACTGAGATACTACTGTAAAAGTTGGCTGGATCATAAAACATGTTTGTTAGCTCTGTTCCTGAATCAAGAGGTATGTTTAATTCCATTATATGAGTATTAGGAAATCAGAAATCTTGCCAGGAATATCCCATGCCCCTCTCACTCATCCATCCACTACTTTCAAGCATTTAGGGAAGAAATAAGTCATTCATTTACAACTGCTTGCATAAAGAAAAACAAGGAGTATGCTGATTAAATATGAGGAAGACTAGAAGGTACCTCCACGAGGGCAGGGACATTTGTCTTTATTGTTTACTGTTGTCTCTAGTCTACAGCATCTAGAAACATATCTGGCATACAGTAGTTGCTTAATAAATACTTACTGAAAGAATGAATTATTCTTTGAAGAAATAATTTTGGGCATCCTAAACGAAATTATTTTCAACATTGAACTTTTTCTTAAGGCTTTGGAAGCGTCCTATTATTTTACATAACATTTTCCCCAGCCACTCATATGGAAGAATATCTCAAAAGAAATTTCTTTTACATTATAAAATTGACTACATTGCCCTAATTGAGCCAAAAGTAGACGACCTTAGAAAAAACTTTCTATAAAACCCTGTTGCAATACAATTTTATTAGCAGTTATTTCATCAAAATTCACATTTAGAGGATCCAAAGGACTGTCTTAGAAAACTCTAAAGTATACGTAATTAGACTTTAACAATAAGGTAGAATTTATTCTCATCATAGCACAGCCTTTACAAAGTTAATACTTAATTTACTACTGAGAATTAAGTGCAGTTTTATCAAGAACTAAAAATGAACTCTTCGTGCAGTGTCACTTAAAGCAAAGTTCCATGAAAATGTAACAGACTTCTATGGATGTGAGTATCAGTGGCAAACATCACTGGCTTCCAATCAACTGACCATAAAGGAATGTTCAGTCAAAACACAAGTGCAGTGGCTCTCGTTCGATATAGAGCTAGGATCATTCTGTAAGAGACCCCGAATCCCTCAGTACTTGTGATAAGATTCTATGCCGTGACACAAGCACAGAACACATCCACTCACATGCATAGATTATAACACATCATAACAACACGACACTAAGGAAAGCCTTTCTCTAAATCAGAAAACGCTGTTTTATCCAGTGCAATATAGGTTGGTCATTGCTGATCCACTGAAATTCTACGTCCTCCAGCTTGAGCAGTATTGTAGGAGTCACAAAGCTGACACTTCATGCCTAATATATGGAACTGAACTGTGGACCGTCCGTTACAGTCATTGCAGTGAATCTGAAAAATGAAGAGATAAATTCAAATTAAGTATTTTAAACCTTATAAATACAAGGAGCATTATCTGCTCCTAACAATCCCTTCAAAATTATACGATAGATGTGAAAATACGTATGTCTAAACATTTCCAGAAGTAGGAATATTTTTTTATTTTCTCACTGAAAACTCTAAAGAGGCTATTAATGTTGGTTTTGAATTTAGAAAATGAAAATGCAGATTTGAGTAAAAAAGGCTTATTTTAAGGTATTAATAGTTCTCAAAGAGTACAAATAGTACAAACAAGAAAATTAACCTAGCCATAATCAGATCAACATCTAATACTTAAAATTCAAAATAACATACATGATTTCATTATTTGTCATTAACACTTAAAAATTTAACTTACTCAATAAAACTCAAATTTTTACACAAATAACATTTTTACTTATCTTTTAGTTTTAATATATACTAAGTTCCCTGTCTCCTATGCCTGAGGAATGAAAGAAAGTCCATAAGGAACAGTTCCTTAAATTGAGTAAAGAGAAAGAGAAGCTCTTGACTCATCCCTAAAATGACAGTAAGATGCCAGTTAAGAATTAATCTCTTCTAGTGCTAAGTGAGATCCTGAAAAATGAAAAGGTATTAACCTGAAAATAAATCAATACATATAATAATGTATTGATTATACATTATTAATGTAAAGTAATGTATTGATTTATTTCCAGGTTAACATATTTTCATTTCAGAAAAGCATTAGCTTTAGAATAGTCACAGCATAATAAGGAGAAAATTTCCAAATTTGCTCTAAATTATTATTTGGAAAATTATTCCTTTAAAAATATAATCTAAGGCCGGGCGCTGTGGCTCACGCCTGTAATCCTAGCACTCTGGGAGGCCGAGGCGGGCGGATTGCTCAAGGTCAGGAGTTCGAAATCAGCCTGAGCAAGAGCGAGACCCCGTCTCTACTATAAATAGAAAGAAATTAATTGGCCAACTGATATATATAGAAAAAAATTAGCCGGGCATGGTGGCGCATGCCTGTAGTCCCAGCTACCCGGGAGGCTGAGGCAGAAGGATCACTCGAGCCCAGGAGTTTGAGGTTGCTGTGAGCCAGGCTGACACCACGGCACTCACTCTAGCCTGGACAACAAAGCGAGACTCTGTCTCAAAAAAAAAAACCAAAAAAAAAAAAAATATATAATCTAAATGCAGAAAGATTAGTGATTGCCTAAGCTGGGGAGGGGAGGAGAAGGGACTGCTAAATGGGTAAGAACATATTCTAATATTATGGTGATGTTTGCATAACTACATGAATGTACTAAAAAGAGCTGAATTATATACTTTTAAATGAATGAGTTGCATGTGAATTATATCTGAATAAAGCTATTTTGTCAAATAATTATCTACATGGAACATAGCACAATTCAGCTTCTAGTAAAACAACACATGATTATCAAATATTACAAAAGTTACCTTTCATTGCCCTTACTAACAGTTATCCACATGAATTATGAAACACTCCAGTGAATAAAATGAAAAATAATTTTATTTGGCTTTGTTATGTAGTTTTTATATGTGTATGTAGAAGTATTTGAAGATGTTCAGAAAATTTATAGTATGTCCAAAAATTACTAAAGCACCAGAAAGCTAGCTTTCCCATTCTGATCTATAACTCAATACTGTGCTGAGAAGAGATAATAACATATCTCAATTAGGGGAAAGAAAGGAATCATTCCCTATAAGAAAAAAGGCATATACCTTAGGCTGTAGGCTAATTAAGACCAAATAAAGTCTACGATAGAATAAAAAGGGTAATAAACATTAAAAACCAAAAAGTCATCTTCAAAAACCAGCAAACATGTCCTCTTGAAACAAAATGTAAAATAATTAAAAATAAAACATAATTAAAACATCAGACTAGTGATCCACCTCCTAGTCAGTTACATTACTGACTGATTCTCACTAGTAATGAGTAAGTAATTCAGAATGCAGCCTTTGCCTGCCATCTAGTGTTGGGCAGAAGTGCATGAAGGCATCCTTACGGCCGTTTTCTCCTAGTCTGAACTCAACTAAAATTTAAACGTCATTTTGTCCTTCCCATTAATCATTACATTGGCATCTGTGTCAAAGAAGATTTTTTTAGGCAAATTTGAAAAAGCAAAAATAAATAAGAATGTCAATAAGGAACCTGAAAAGTTTTATGCATTGATTCCACTCACATCCACAGTCATGTTCTGATACTCTGACGGCATCGGAGTCTGTGCTACCTCATCGTCCAGCTGTTGCCAATACCTGGTCATGTCTAAAGCAGAGTGCATACATAACGGACATCTGTAGCCTCTATGAGAGACAGAAAGGTTATTTTCCAAACATTAAATGGAGAATAAATCAACTCAGGTATACAAGAAGATGGCACATAAACCATCCAAGACAGAGCATTATACTTTCATTCAAGACAATCTCTTAGGAACCTGGGAACCTTCGCGCTGTAAAAGTTTTAAAATGAATTCTGTATCTTATGGTATTTTTTAAACCTAAGCCTTCTTCCTCAGTTCTCCAAACTGGAGAGACATTAGTTCATATTCTTTGTAGAACATACTTCACATATTTTTAAAAACCAATTAAGCTACTCCTTATCTAAACAACCTTAATTTCTTAATATATTCATGTGAAGAAGAGACTGTATTCCTTAAAATTATTCAGATCAGGTCAGGATTTCGAAACCAGCCTGAGCAAGAGTGAGACCCTGTCTCTACTAAAAATAGAAAGAAACTAATTGGCCAACTAAAAATATATAGAAAAAATTAGCCAGGCATGGTGACACATGCCTATAGTCCCAGCTACTCGGGAAGCTGAGGCAGAAGGATCACTTGAGCCCAGGAGTTTGAGGCTACTGTGAACTAAGCTGGCGCCATGGCACTCTAGCCCGGGCAACAGAGTGAGACTCTGTCTCACAAAAAAAAAAAAAAATTATTCAGATCATATTATTTCCTTTCTAAATATTTGAAAAAGTTCCCCTCTATATGGCTTTCATATTAAATCATAATTTCTGCTCAACAATTTGCAGAGCCAAAGTACATTTACACAATCTCCTCTTTCCTAACTATTCTCATCTCATTTTTAACAACCTTCCCCACAGTAAAGTTTATACTTCGGACAATCTTTTTACCAACTTTCTTTGCAGTTCATTATATTAGGCTGATATGACAACCCAACAAAAGTTTGAGCAACATCACTGGGCATTTTTATAACACTGTTAACTGCCTCTGGCAAAGACTGTCCTCCCTGGTAAGGATGGTCAGAAAACAAGAGATACATAATTGTAGAAGGAGATAAAGCTTAAGAGGAACATAGGGATAAATGTGTAGTTCTGTATCTAAGATGCTTTACCAAATTTAACACTCCATCTACCCTACCCATTTCAGTATAAGTATCTGCCATGCCCAATACAGTGTAAGTAGCAATACTTGCTCACCTCCCCATCCCTACACACACAAAAAACAGACATCTTCCAATTATAATTTTTTAAAATACCATTGAATACTCACTTTTTCAACATTTCTTCATAACAAGTTCTGGAAGAAAATATAACATTATTTTAGTACAACAAAAACTATCTCCACTATTTTTAAACATCTTTGAGGGGAAAAAAAGTTACTTTACCGATGTAAAAGGTGTCCGCATGGCAAGACATGAGCAACAACACGAGATGTGTGGATGTCCTGTAAAGAAAATAAATATTAGTGTTTACGTGAAGACAATAAAATATCCAAGTATTTTAGATTAGACAGAGATTTCCAAAGTAAAAAATATTTTAAGCTTACCTCCAAACATATTGGGCAATTCTGCCGGGAAACATTTTCAATACACTGGTTAAAAGAGAAACTCACATTAACAAAAGTTTAACTAGGTGAAAACGTCAGCTGTAACAGTGTTAATAAAAACAATACAACCAATTGACTAAAAATAATAGTTAATATTAATACATGCTTCCGATACATCAGAAAAGAGTTTATCAGTTTTTTAACTATCACAACTATTTCAGGCTTGGCACATTACCTGAAACAATGAAAATGCTCAAAAAACTTTAATTATTCAGATTACCTTCATTTTACAGGTAAGAAAAGTGACCTAGGGGGTCTTGGGATCGGGGACAAGGTGGCAGACGAGAAAAACCGCCAGACAGAGTATCTCTGCAAGAAAGACAGATTTTAGAAGAAAGTGAAAAAAACAAACAGGCAGACAAACAGATCAGACAAAGGTTAGAAGGAAGGGTGCCTGAAACTGCAGGAGATGCCACAGGAAGAATGTGCGGAGGAGAACTGGAAAGAGAAAGGCCCCCAAGAGGCCTGGAAACCAGCGACAAGGGTAGATGGAGCAGTTAAATTTCCCCTCCCTCGCATCTCGGACTGCTGGTGGGCTCCTGAGCTGCAGGAGAGACCTGCTAACACCAGCCGAGATGGTTGCCACAAGTGAGCATTCAGCCTCTTGCAAACAGAGCACCCGGCTCCCGTTCCCTCGGGCACCTCCCTGCCCGCAGACCCGAGCAAATCAGCAGGCGCCATATTGCTTCATTCTCCCCTTCCCTATCCGTGGCTGCTGAGACCATTTAGCCACCACCTGGAGGCATATGCAGGGAACGGGACCTTTCCTTTTGGGGCCCTACACCGGACTGAGGGGTACTCAGACTGTGAGCTCCCTGCCCACCAGCCCTCCCAGGCACCGCTACCCTGGTGACTCCAGGAGAACAGGCAAATCCTGAGGCGGAGAGAGACTCATCCAGCTTGGGCACCTGTGGGTGACTTGAGACCAGCACTCCTCTCCCTGACAGGGTCAGGAATTGATCTCCAGGGCCCAGGGAACAGGCCTACAGACTGGATCCTGTACACCTAGGTCTCAATCGCATTGTCCCTGAGCACAGAAGGGATATTTGTGAAGGAGCCTACTGAGGTGTGTGGGCCTTCAAGGGAAGATCAGCATGCTTGAGGGGCAACCATCCTCCCACGGGAGGGCTGTGTGCCCAGCCCAGGCTGCGATCCTGGGCACCTCCCAGCCCAGGGATATCCGCTGGTGTGAGGTCCTATCTGCTGGCAGAGGCCAGGGAGAAACCGAGGAATTGAAGAGGGTGGAAAGGAGTGAGGTCTACTCCAGAGTTTATATCTCAGACAGCTCCACCCCCAAACACAGACTTTCCAGATGACAGCGGCCGTTTCAGCCCCTCCCTGACAGCTTTGCCCAGAAGCAGAGACGAGACCTTTAAGGACATACCTGGGCACCACCCACCAAGTGAAGAACAAGACTGTTCCTCTCCAGAGGAACAAAAGCTGGTTACAGGCCCCAAAACAACACTGTAGCCTGCTCCTCTCAGCAAGCGCCACCTACTGACAGGGAGGTCATTCTGCACACCCTTTTGCTGCATCTACTGACTCATCAGAGACCACAATGACTCAAGAGAGAAAAGAAAGCAACAAAGTTCAACTCAACAGGATGAACAGAAATCTGCCCCACTTATCAATTCTCTAAATAAATGTGAATGGCTTGAACTGTTCAGTAAAGAGATATAGGCTGGCCAAATGCATAAATATACACAAGCCAAGTATCTTCTGCCTTCAGGAAACACATCTAACACACAAGGATGAATTCAGATTCAAGGTGAAGGGATGGAAAACAATATTTCAAGCAAACGGAAGCCAAAAAAAGCTGGTGTGGCAGTTCTGATTTCAGATAACTTAGTCTTCAAACCAACAAAAGTAATGAAAGATAAGGAGGGTCACTATATAATGGTGAAGGGTATAGTTCAACAAGAAGACATAATAATTCTAAATATTTATGTACCCAACTCAGGTGCACCCAGACTTATAAAGCAAATCCTACTTGATCTCAACAAAATGATAAACAGCAACACCATATTAGCCGAAGACTTCAACATCCCTCTGACAGACAGCACAGGACAGATCCTACAAACAGAAAATTAACAAAGAAACAATAGACTTAAATAGAACTCTAGAACAAATGGGCCTGACTGACATTTACAGAACATTCTATCCAAAAACCACTGAATATAAGTTTTTTTCATCAGCTCATGGGACATTCTCTAAGACTGACTAAATCCTAGGCCACAGAGCATTACTCAAAAAATTTAAAAAAATAAAAATACCATGCATCTTCTTGGACCACAGTGGAATAAAATTAGAAATCAACTCCAAAAGAAACTTTCATCTCTACACAAAGTTATAGAAACTAAACAACCTTCTGCTGAACGACATTTCATTAAGGAGGAAATCAAGATGGAAATCAAAAGATTCTTTTAACTAAATGACAAAGGAGACAAAAGTTATCAAAATCTGTGGGACACAGCTAACACAGTCCTAAGAGGAAAATTTATATATATGAATTTATATACATATATATAAATGCCTATATCCAAAACACAGAAGATCACAATCTAATGAAGCATCTCAAAGAACTGGAAAAAGATAAGCAAACCAACTCCAAACCCAACAGAAGAAAAGAAATAACAAAGATCAGAGTAGAATTAAATGAAATTGATAACAAAAAACCATGTGGAAGATTAATAAAACAAAAAGTTGGTTCTTTGAAAAAATAAAATTGACATGCCTCTGGCTAGATTAATGAGAAGCAGAAAAGAAAGAACTGTAATAAGCTCCATCAGGAATGAAAAAGGAGAAATTATAACTGATGCCACAGAAATATAAAATATCATCTATGAATACTATAAAAACCTCTAAGTACATAAACTGGAAAATGTAGAAGAAATGGACAAATTCTTAGAAACACAAAGCCTCCCTAGCCTCAATCAGGAAGAAATAGAATTCCTGAACAGACCAATGTCAAGTACCAAAATTGAAACAACAATAAAAAAGCTTTCTAAAAAGAAAAGTCCAGGACCAGACGGTTTCACACCTGAATTTTACCAGACCTACAAAGAACTGGTGCCTCTCCTGCAGAAATTATTCCACAACATCAAGAAGGAAGGAATTCTCCCCAACACATTTTATGAAGCCAACATCACTCTGATACTAAAACCAGGAAGGGACGCAACAACAAAAATAACAAAACTACAGACCAATATCCCTTATGAATATAGATGCAAAAATTCTCACCAAAATCCTAGCAAACCAAATTCAGGTGTTTATCAAAAAAATAATCCATCACGACCAAGTGGGCTTCATCCCTGAGATGCAGGGATGGTTCAACATATGCAAATCTATGAATGTAATTCACATTAATAGAAACAAAAACAAAGACCATATGATCCTCTCAACAGATGCAGAAAAAGCATCCAACAAAATTCAGCACATTTTTATGATAAGAACGCTTAACAAAATAGGAATAGACGGGACGGGACTTACCTAAAAATGATACAAGCCATATTGACAAACCCACAGCCAACATCATACTGAATGAGGAAAAATTGAAAGCATTCCCACTTAGATCTGGAACCAGACAAGGTTGCCCTCTATCACCTCTTCTATTCCACATAGTGCTGGAAGTCCTAGCCAGAGCAATCAGATAAGAGAAGCAAATCAAGGGCATCCAAATGGGGGCAGAAGAGGTCAAAGTATCTCTTTTTGCTGACGATATGATCTTATATCTAGAAAACCCCAAAGATTCTGTCATTAGACTATCAGAATTGATAAACAAATTCAGCATAATCTCAGGTTACAAAATCAATATATAGAAATCAGTAGCATTCCTATACACCAACAACAGTCTGAGAACTGAATCAAAGACTCAATGCCCTTCACAATAGCCACAAAGAAAATAAAGTACCTAGGGATATAGTTAACTAAAGAGGTAAAAGACCTGTACAGGGGGAACTGCGAAACATTGAGGAAGGAAATAGCAGAGGACATAAATAGGTGAAAAACCATACCATGCTCGTGGGCTGGCAGAATCAACATTGTTTAAATGTCGATACTACTCAAAGGGAGCTACCAGATTTACTGCAATTCCTATTAAAATACCAGCATCATTTTTCACAGATCTAAAAAAAATAATTCTACACTTCGTATGGAATCAGAGAAGACGCCATATAGCAAAAGCAATCTTAAGCAAAAAGAACAAATTGGGAGGCATGAATTTACCAGACTTGAAGCTATACTACAATGCTATAGTAACTAAAATAGCATGGTATTGGTACAAGAACAGAGACATAGACCTATGGAACAGAACTGAGAGCCCAGATATAAAACCATCCTCATATAACCATCTAATCTTTAACAAAGCAGACAAAAACATACTGCGGAAAAGAATCTTTATTCAATAAATGGTGCTGGGAAAACTGGATAGCCTCATGTAGAAGACTGAAACAGGATCTGCACCTTTCACCTCTCATAAAAATTAACTCACGGTGGATAAAAGACTTAAACCTAAGGCATGAAACTATAAGAATTCTAGAAGAAAATGTTGGAAAAACTCTTAGAGACATTGGCCTAGGCAAAGAATTTATGAAGAAGACCCCAGAGGCAATCACAGCAACAACAAAAATAAATAAGTGAGACCTGATGAAATTAAAAAGCTTCTGCACGGCAAAGGAAACTATCACAAAAGCAAACAGACAACCTACGGAATGGGGGAAAATATTCGAATGTTACACATCCAATAAAAGGCTGATAACTAGAATCTATATAGAACTCAGGAAAATCAGCAAGGAAAAAATCAAACAACCCTATCAAAAAGTGGGCAAAGGACATGAACAGAAACTTTTCAAAAGAAGATAGACTAATGGCCAACAAACACATGAAAAAATGCTCAACATCTCTAATCATAAGGCAAATGCAAAGCAAAACCACAATAAGATATCACTTATCTCCAGTGAGAATGGCCTTTATCAAAAAGTCCCAAAACAATAAATGCTAGCGTGGACACAGATAGGAACACTCATACACTGCTGGTGGGACAGCAAACTAGTACAACTTCTGTGGAAAGCAATATGGAGATACCTCAAAGTGATATACGTAGAACTACCATTTGATCCAGCAATCCCATTACTGGGCATCTACCCAAAAAACCAAAAGACATTCTATAAAAAAGACATCTACACTTGAATGTTTATAGCAGCACAATTCACAATTGCAAAGTGCCCATTAATACATGAATGAATAAATAAAATGTGGTATATGTATACCAGGGAGTTCTACTCAGCCACAAAAACAATGGTGATATAGTGACAAGGAAAACCCTCACTTATTACCTGGCGCAACAGCCACCTGAGACCCCCCATCCCTCACGGAAGACCTTCATCAACATAATACTAACCTATTACCTGGCGCATAAACATAATATTAAACCTATTACCTGGCACATTGGCCACCTGAGACTCTACCCCTCGGACTACCCCAGCTTAATAAAAGTGGGAAAAATTGGGTAGGTGGGCTCAAAATTTGGTGGCGAAACCCCTCTGAGCCCGCCAGCAAGTAACCTTGATTCTCTGACTCTCCGTGTGCCGCTAGGTTTGTCCTCAGAACCACCCGCTGTAACATTTGCTGTAAAAACAGCACCTCTTACATTATCCTGCATAGAGCTGGAACCCATTCTAAGTGAAGCGTCCCAAGAATGAAAAAACAAGCACCACATGTACTCATCATCAAATTGGTTTTAACTGATCAACACTTAAGTGGACATATAGGAATAACATTCATTGGGTGTTGGGCAGATGGGAGGGGGGTGGAGGGGATGGGTATATACACCCCCAATGAGTGTATTGTGCACCCTCTGGGGGATGGACACGTTTGAAGCTTTGACTTGGGTGGGGCAAGAGCAATATATGTAACCTAAACATTTGTACCCCCATAATATGCTGAAATAAAAAAAAAGTGACTTAGGGAGTCAAGACATTTACCCACGATTCAAAGATAATAAGGTTCTGAACCTTTCTAAAATGTTTTACTCCAAAGCCACTTTCCTAAATTAGACTAAGTTAATTAATAATAATATTGATAAGAATAGCTTATAATATTGAGATTTACATGCCATGTACAGTACCTGATTAAGATCACTTCTCACAATCATAGATGAAATAGGTTATGATTATTGCCCCATTTTAAGTATTTGAGGTCTAGAGAAGCTAAATAATTTCGAAAGTCACACACAGTAAGAGGCAGAACTAAATTTGAGCTCCAGCAAGCTGACTACAGAGCTTGAGTTCTTAATTTCACAAGATATAGTGTCTGATTAGATGTGGGGTGGCGAGGGAAAACATCACGCCATGGGCTGACACCTGGGTTTTTAATGGAAGCACTCAGTAGATGGCAGGACCATTTACCAATACAGACAATGAAAGGTAACTGAGAAACAACAAAAATATCACAAGAAAAAATACACATACAGTTTAAGGATAACAGGATATAGTGGGGGAAGAAAACCCTCAAAATAATAAATTTAAAAATCTGGATTGTAATCTCAGCTCCGCCATTCATTAACCCTTAAGATTCTGGGCAAGCCACCATTTCTTTAGTCTTGTTTTCCTTATTTATAAAAAATAAAATACACATTTCATTTGATTCTAAAGGGCTCTTCACACACACACACACACACACACACACACACACACACACACACATTTTAACATCTCTGCAATCATAACCCATCTGATAATCACGGTATCTTCAAGCTGATGAACTGCAAATGCTGAGGTAAGGACATAATGAACTGGTGTGTGTGTGGGCAAAGGCACACATACTATGCATTTTTTGGAAACCAGAAAGTACCACAGAAATGTCATCTTTAAGAGGCTATTGACTCCTGGCTGTTTCTACTAGCATGTCTTGTCATCACCCCAAATTCAAGTTTAAAAACCAGACTCAATCTTTTATCTCCAACAAATTCACAAATTACTAATCAAGTAATGCAAGCCAGGGCTGAAAATCTTGAGAGTCACCTTACGAAGCCACATTCTTTTTCCAGAATACCCTGTTACAAGATCCTATATGCTCATTATTCATCTCATTTTCCTTACCACTATTTAGGCAAGGTACTATTTAATACTATATTTCTTTAGTCACTTATCCTTATTTTCTATTGAATCCACTATCCTACTAAGCCAATGATTTCAAACACTCTTTCCAATCAATGTCTGTCTTGGTCTCTCTCTTAACAGTCACACACAATGTTTCTACCTACACTGTTCCCCTTTATCTGGAATTTCCTGTACTTGCACAAATATCATTACACTTCACTCTACGCCAATCCCCATTCCCTAAATTCTCATAGTAGAATCAGTATTATAAATGTAATACTTTATTAAATTTTTTTCAAAAATAATGAAAAAAGGGCCTGGGATTGTGATATAATTCCTACATTTGGATTAAAAATAATTTGTCTTAATCATGAAAGGAAATATAAACATATTTTCTGAATTTTCTTAGAATGCAGTGCTAATAAGGTTACCCTGCTCAGTGTTTCTGTTTTACAGATATTCTTAAAAGCAGTACCAGTGATATGAATCCATAAACCAACCTAGAAGTTGTCAACATTATGCTAATAACTGATATAAGCATTTCCACAATATAGAGAACAAAAGGAATTATATAGGTCAGATGTTCTGAGGCATACATTTTGGAATATCTACTTCTTAATAATGCTTTTCAAAAAAGTAATAGATGGGAGTATATAGCTCAGTGGTAGAGTATGTGACTAAAAAAAGCAATATAGTTGTACTTGGTAATATCTAAAAATTAGCATTCTTCCAAAATGTTAGAATTTAAGCCAGTTTTCAAAAACATTGTAATATTTTAAAAATTATGCAAACTGAATTACATACCTTGTGTCTTCCTTGAAGATTCATAGCTAGGCATAAGTTACATTTCAAACAGTGGAAAAAATCTTCCTTTGGACCAATCCTAACAAAACATATAAAAGCCAAAAATTGGATTCTTTTTTACTACAGTGATAATTTGCTCATTATAAAGTTTAAACTCATGGTTAAAATAAAAAATACATGCCACACTGAAGAATATGAGGTAAACCACCATCTCCCCAACATCCCTCTCCAGATATAAGCACTATGAACAGAATGGTATCAACCCCTCTAAGGCTTTTTTTCTATAAAATATTACACACACAGACACACACACACACATATACTTTGGGTTTTATTTCTTACATAAATGAATTCATTCTGCATATGCTGTTCTACAACTTTTTTTTTCACGTAACAATATATCCTGAAGATTATTCTGTCCTATACAGAACCACTTCATTCTTAATAGCTACACGGTATATTACATGGTATGGATATATCATATTTTAAATATTCTCTCATTGATATAATTTACAACCTTTAGTTGCTACGATACAATAAATATCCTTGTCCAGACATCATTTAGCCAACATGCTGATTATTTCTTACAAGATTCCTAAAAGTGAAATACTCAGTCAGAGGGTACTGCAACATTAATTCTGATACTGCCAAACTGACTTCCAAAAAGAAAGTACCAATTTACAATCCCACCAAGAGTGCATAACAAGTTCCTCACACCTTGGCTAACAATGATTATCTACGTGACAGTCAAATAAAGGCAAAGCCAGAAAGTAATTTAAAATATTCAAGACAGTTATTATCTCCAGTGGAGATAAGAAGAAAGGATTGAACATGGAACACCTTGAGCTTCAACAGTACTGGTAACATTCATTTCTTAAATTGGGTGGCTTATGCATGTATTATAATTTGTAACACACATTACATATATGTTTTTGTATATATCAAATACTTCAGAATTCTCTCTGACCCCCCTCCTACAACCCTGCACCATCTCTCCCAAAGCATAGGATAAAGTTGTTCTCTAAAGTTCCATTTTTGTCTTAAGTCTGGACCTAACAAAGAAGAAAACAATTACCTATGGTCCCTTCCCTAAGTTTTCCTTAACTGAAAGCATATCGCAGAAAGGAAGACTAAATTCTGTCAAAAAAAACCTGGACAGACTTACCACAAACCACTGCCTCCTCTGCAGGGCCAATAGACTTTGCCCCACATCACTGGATGTTACTCAAGCCCATTGAATTCTCCCTGGCAATCATTGCCCCTCAACAGAATTCCTTTTCTCCCCTCTCCCATCCTGTTTTGCCAGGATCCAAGCACCCATTCATTCTGTGACCTCAGATGGCATATAAACTTCTACATCCCACTGGAGGGTTGGGTCTTCATTCTGAAGGCTCCCATGTATACACATGAAATAAATTTGAATGCCTGTTCTCCAATTAATCTGCCTTTTGCAAGTTGATTTTTCAGAAAATTTTCAAAAGGCCAAGGAGAACGTTTTGGCCCCTAGAACACCAACATGTAAACAGTAGTTTGTCAATGGATGGCTAGACTGTAGGTTATTTTATTTCTATTATTTCTACTTTCCTATACTTTTCAATTTTTATAAAATCTGCCAGTACTTCTTGATAATTTTTTAAATACTTATTTTTAAAAAGGAAAAATCTACCCTAATTTTCTACCTTAGTTGCCTACAGAGCACTTCACATAAAATACATTTTATAACCCAAAGGTAAAATTTTAAATATGCACATAATAGTTGATTGGCAAATTAAACCATTATTGCAAAAAGAGGTATGAAGAAACTTTTTAGAATGGACATGTTCTACATCTTGACTGTGTTGACAGTATTAATAACATAGATACACATATATTTATCAAAACTCATTGAGTGAGACACTTAAAATAAATGCATTTTATGAGATGTATATATATCCCAATAAAGTTGATTTTTAAAACTATTATTGCCAAGATACATTAGAAGTAATTAGAATACAACATTTTATATACAGTACCTACAAATTCCACAGTTTTCACAATGATACTGCTTCTTATCTTTGTCAAACAGATGGCATATATTACAATAATATTCTCCAAACAATGTGCTACATTCTTCACAAGTCTGTTGGGCCTAAAAGAGACACATAATTAAAAATTGGAATAAATTAACCATAGCATTTTGAGTTACTGTTTGAATATCTAGAATTTATGTTAAAGTATATGCAGTTTTGACTGGGCGCAGTGGCAATCCTAGCACTAGTGTAATCCTAGCACTCTGGGAGGCCGAGGCAGGTGGATTGCTCGAGGTCAGGAGTTTGAAACCAGCCTGAGCAAGAATGAGACCCCGTCTCTACTATAAATAGAAAGAAATTAATTGGCTAACTAATATATATAGAAAAAAATGAGCCAGGCATGGTGGCGCATGCCTGTAGTCCCAGCTACTCGGGAGGCTGAGGCAGAAGGATCACTCGAGCCCAGGAATTGGAGGTTGCTGTGAGCTAGGCTGACACCATGGCACTCACTCTAGCCTGGGCAACAAAGTGAGACTCTGTCTCAAAAAACAAAACAAACAAAACAACAAACAAAAAAAAGTACATGCAGTTTTATTTTTACAAGTTTTAAAACATCTAAATTGAAGATATTGCTCATTGTAAGAGTTAAGTCTTATTCGCAATACTTTTGATTAAATTTTTTTCAAACTACCTTAATAAACCTTTTAAAAAGAAAGAAAATAGAAATATGTCATAAAATCTTACATGCTGAATTTTTTCACAGTTTATACACTGCACTTCCTTTACTTTAAAGCGATCTAGCTGATGATCTTCATTGTTATCATGACACAAGCGGCAAGTATAAAGCTTGTCACAGCAAGGCGCCTAACACCCAGGAGAGAAAAAGGTATGATAAGATGACAAGTTTGCAATGCAAAAATAAAAATTTCTTCTTCCTCCTCCTGGAACCCAATGATTACAGCCAATGGATTAGTTGCTAAACTGGTCCTAAACATAACATTTCAGTGTTTCTTGGCATATTTTACGTTACTCTTCCCTTCAACATATGTATGTCTGTATGAAGTTGAACACAACCTTCATACAAAAGAATTATGAAGGATGGAAATCCCTAAACTGAAAAACTAATCCCATAACACCGTAATCTCATTCTAAACAGCAGACAGGCGACCTCTACTTGGACATTTCCAGATAAATGTATTTACATACTTCAATCCCTAAACAATATTATAAAGATTATACTTTTATTACACTAGTCTTTATTGATCAACTATACACCTAATATTGCAGAGGGTGTGACAAATCTAAGAAATAGTTCTTGTTTTCAAGAATGGCAAAGACTGCCACTTATCCACCAAAATCTAGTCTCTCCTTCCTGGGCACGTGATTGCCCAGCTATACCAGAATTGGATCATGCAGATGGCCATATGCCCTAAAACAGAAAAAACTTGTCCCTGGAGTGACCACATAAACAAAGTTTCATCACCAATCTGGATCACTCACCTTAGAAATGTTAAATGGGAAGAAATAAACACCATTTTCTTAAAACCACGTAACTGCTGAGCCTTTTCATTATAGCAACTTTACCTTACCCTTACTAGTATATCAGAGATTTGCAGGCCAGGGACGCAACCCAATACTTTCCAGGGCACTGTGACCTTGCAGATCCACTGACTTGCGAGGGGCTTTCTATACCATGACTTACCACAACATGGTTCATTCTTTAAAGATTTTAACACTTAAGGGGCTTCCTTTCTCTCCAACACTACTCTCATCCTAAATCTTAGTGATTTGTATACCCACAATGATAAGCCTTCCAATAACCTGAACTCTCAGTGCCTTGACCTTCTCACTTCCAATGGCCTTGTCCTCCCATTTCCTCAGCCACATACTCACAGTCACACCACAGACCCGTGGTTCTGAAACAGTCTGGTCTCAGGAAATTACTCAGGATCTCAAAGAGCTTACGTTTGTGTGGATTCTATCTATTGACATATACCACATCACAAATTAAAACTAATAGGATGTTTTTATAAGAGGAGTTAGAGATGAGGCTTGATGCCAAGAAGAGCCTTCAACTGGGTAAGCCACTTCATTTATTGGAGTCTCAGTTTCTCCATCATGAATATTAGAAGATGAGAACAAAATATCAAATGCTTCATGAATTTGCATGTCATCCTTGCCCAGGGGCCATGCTAATCTCTCTGTTGTTTCAATTTTGGTATATATGCTGCCAAAGCAAGCACTAAAATGACAAGTTTTTCAAATATTATTTATTTTTAAAATAAAAGTAACAAACCTATTACATGTTAACATAAACATATTTTAATGAAAAATAACTATATTTTCCTCCAACATAGCTGGATTCTCATATCTGCTTCTACATTTAAACGGTTGTGGAAAAAAAAAAAACGGTTGTGGTTGAAGTATATGAAGAAATTGGCCTCATACAAATATGTACAAGAGACAAAGGAGTATTTTAACAGCTTTTTCAGAGAATTATGGATGTTATTCTCTGATACTACACCAAAACTCAACTCTTCAAGGGTGGTTGTAACATGGAATCTGAAATCATATCAATGAACTTTTCTCCCTCTGTTACATAAAAATCCATTGATCTATCTTGCACTCCCAAAGGATCTTTTACCCATGCATTTGGTCATGTGGAAAATATCAGCTCACTAAGTTATGTTGATCTTTCAAATGTTCACACATTTGACACACAATATCGAAAAATCACATTTGTTAAAAGTTTTTAGATATCACAGGAAGAAAATCTCATCAAAAAAGTCTTTGAAAAAGCTTCCAAGCTCACAAAAGCTAATAAAAATTTTCCAAAATTTTAATTTTGCATGAAAGCTTGAATTTTATCACTAGCAACAAATATTGTCAATTGTTTCAACTGTAATGTGTCTTGCTTTCCTCCTTTTTGAGAAAATGTCTGTCAACTGCTCAAGTCTGAATAACCATCATTCTTTCAAGTAAAAAAGCGTTCCATGAAAAAGGTTTCACTTTGCAATCCAATCACACAAGAGCTTTTCCTCAAGACAACCATCTAATTAGTTTGCAGAAGTGCTTGTTGAAAACTTACTGTTTCATCAGAATATTAAAAAGACATGTATATATTCAAGGGTTGAGATTTGATAAAAATGATTTTACTGCTTTATCAATTCAATTACATATTTAAATAAAATTGACTTTTAAAATTATAGATAAAGTATAGTTTAGGGCTATCTTGAAGGTGTTAGGAGTTTTAAATAGTGCTTTTCCAACATCAGTGCAAATGTCAACACACTGAAAAAGACAAATAATATCTTAGTATTGGTAAAAAATAGTTTTGACCTTGCAGACCCGCTAAAAGGGCCTCAGGGATGCCCAGGAGTCCATTCACCACACATTGAGAACCACTGCTCCAGAATAAGAACTCCACCTTCTTTATATCTCAATTTCAAGCATGAAATTGTCTAAACACTACCTCCTCTCTTTTCAACTCACTCCAAGTCTTCTCTTGCATAATTCCCTCCACCCTAATTCCCTCCACTCTTCCTCTACATACTCACCTATCAAAATCCCAACTGTGGTTAAATCCAACTCTCTCATACTCAACCTATATCAGGAACAGTTGAATATGGCTATATAAAAAGTACTGCCCTACTGCCTGGTCTCACCTTTAAATAATTGCCACTTATAAAAAGTGGGCTCTTACTACCACATTTCCCTAGTCAATTCTCTCATGCTTCCAGAACAGGCGTCCTCAAACTACAGCCCGCAGAAGACATGCCGCCCACGGAGGACATTTATCCGGCCCTCCGGGTGTTTTTGCTACCACTGCCTGTCCTGCTTAGCAGCCGACTCCTGGGATCACAGTGTACACTCTCCAATAGTCTGATGGACAGTGGACTGGCCCCCCGTTTTAAAAGTTTGAGGACCCCTGTTCTAGAATCTAAGACCTAAAGTCTAGATGATCCCTTCATGTCTTCTCTCTAAAACTCTAATACCTCTTCCTCCTCCTTTATACTCTGCTGATGACCTTCTTATTTTACTATAAAAATAGAAGTAATCAAAAGAGAACATCTACCTACAAACTCTGTAACAACCTACTTGCAAATATACCTCATCCTCTGCTTTCCTTTCTTTTACAACGAATCTACAATCCATGCTTCTATCTAAGGTCCATTCCTCCACTTGTGAAATGAATGGATCTCATCCCTTTAGCTACTCAAGGACAGTGCCCCTACGGTTTTCCGCTCCCACCCGCAATATAGAATGTTCTCAGTTGGATAATTTCCAAGAATCTACAAACATGCTGCAATACCTCCTATCTTAGAAGGGAAAAAAAAATTCACGAATTCCATCTCCCAGCAGCACCATGCCTCATTTTTTTGCTCTACTTTACAGCAAAATTCCAAGAATTATGTATAAGTGCATTTCCATGTCCACCCCTCCCATACTCTTGAATGCATTCCAATCAGGCTTTATCGCAATCTCCTCGAACTCCTCTTGTCAAGATCACCAGTGATCTCCACCTGGTCAAATTCAAAGGTCCATTCTCAGTTCTTATCTTACTCATTTGACCTAAATGATCACTTCCTCCTTGAAATTCTTCACTTGGCCTCTAGTATTTAAGAAAGAGGGAGGGGAAAGGCAAAAAATTGTTTGACATTTAGGGCCTACTGTCTCAGTGCCATGACCCTCGTTGTGTGGTTTGAGGATTAAATGTTAAATTCCGTTTTAGACCTCAAGTTTGAAAGAGTAATAGAACATCTCGGTAGAAATGGAATCATAATGATAGCATTCAATATCATTACACAACACTATGAATGACTAACTTTGAAAGAGTTTCATCCAGGGCAGTAGAGCAATGTTCACCAAACCACAGCCTACAGAAAAGAGTTTAGGTTATACTTACAAGCCTGAGACTACCACCTGCTTCTAATGAATCTGGTCAGTGATCAACAGGGCTGACTGGTGAAGTGAGATAAAAAAAAAAGAGGATGATGATGGTGGTGGAGTTGACGGTAGTCTACATTTCCTACTCACTAAATCCTAGGAATGTGTCCTGCTAAACACTCTACATGCACGTTTGTATACAATCCTCGTACTTTTTTATGAAGCTGGAACTTCTATCATCCCTATTTTACATACAAGACACTTAGAGAGGACCATGCTCAAAATCACAGTGTTATCAAGAGGCAGAACTAAGATTTGGAGACAAGGCGGTCAGAATCCAAAGCTCAATTTTTCTAAGCAAAATCGTCGCACCTGTTTTTTGCAAGAAAAGTCGGGAAACTTCGATTGGACGGGCGCCAATTACAAAAATTCTAGCTTGACTAGGAAGTTTCCTCAAAGCAAAGAGCGAAAGTGACAACACATGCGTACAAGGCACTTTCCTATTCAAGATTTCCTATTTAATGGCAATTATATGATTGCCTTCCTACTTCACACATTACATTATTTTCTTGGGTTTGGACATACGCATGAACTCTAAAACGAAGGTGGTAGGCTGCAAAATTTAATTTACTACAGGAGCTGAATTGTATCCCGGTTCTCCACTTGCTTATCCTCCTTCCATTATTTCATCATACACCTGAATGAAGGTGGTCCTGGGGAAAAGCCCAAGCAGGGGTCCGGGGCTGCCTCAGTCTATTTCCAGCAGCAAAAGACGGATAAACCCATCGGTAAAGAAGCCGTTGTGCAAGCCGAAGCTATTCCCAAACAAGAACAGCTTCCCTTGCGAAGAATAAAGCAGGGAGAAAAGGTGGGACCTACTACGGGTCGCCTCGCCAAAAACGCTCTCTGCTAGAGGAACCCAGTTCCTGGTGGAGAAGGCATCCTGACAAACAGCTTAGTTAGCCTCAAACTTAAGCCCAACCGAACCGCCTGCCTACCCCGCCCCCAGCCCTGCCCGACGTAGGTCTGTCGGGCAAGAGCCCGTTGAAATCGTCACCTTCAGGAGACATCCTCTGTCATAGTGCTCGCAGCCCCGCTGCCCACGCTCTCGGCCGCCATCGCCGTCTTCCCGCGCCGTCGCCATCTCCTCCACCTCCACTCACACGCCGCAGCCCCTTCCCTCAGGGTGGAAACCACGCCCCGAGAAGCGGCACGTATCTAGTGCTCCCTCGCCCCGCTGCAGGTGCCACCTCCAGAGCCAATATGGCGTCCGAGCACGTGACCCGGGGCAGCCGGATTTCCGGTCCCAGGGCTTCCGGGGACGGAAGCGTAGCAAGGTGCAATGTCCGCGGCCGACGTTAGTCGCCGTCTTCGCTGCTAACGGTAGTAACTCTTAGGTTGCCTCTTCGTCTCCCCTCATCGCTGCCCGCCCACATCCTGGGGCGTGGTTTGGAGCGAGGAGGACTGCCGCGGCGCGGAGACACTGGCTGGCCCCGGGCGGAAGAGACGTTCACCGGGCGCATCGGCACCTGTGACAGGGCGGCCCCTCCCTGTCTCCCTCGAGCGGCGGCGGGAGCCTCGAGACGGGGGCGAGCTCGGCGGGGCCTCGGGGCTCCAGGCCGGCCCCAGCGCGCGCTAGCCCCCTAAACCGCTTCTGGCTCGCGTCCCTTGCCCCTGTACTTGCCCTTCGTCCATTCATAGTGTGTGTTAACATTCCCTACGTGCCGGCCCCAGCTAGCCGTGAGGACGAAAAGTGAGGAAAAACCCACGCCTCACCGTGCCCTCGTGGAACTCAGACTGGTGGACAAGAAAGACGTTAATCAGCGCAATCCCTGCAAAACATGTAAGATTATAGTTTGGAGAGGTGCATGTCCTATGAGAGCTAATGTTAGAGAGGATCCGAGTTGACGTGCGTGTTAGGGTAGGTTTCCCTAGGGAAGCTTAATTTCCGCGGAGAGCTGAAAGATGAGTGAGACTTAGTGTGCCCCCACAGTAAGTCGGTGTGAAAAGGTAGAAGGGAAATGTACAATCCTGCAAAACTGAAATCAGACGCCTTAGGTTGCATAGCTGAATATGCCTCACCTTATTAAAAGAGTGGAAGCCTGGGAAAATTTTATGAGCAAAGCTGTAGGTGTTGGAAGAAAATATTTGCCTTTGGCTTTTCTAACCTGATTTCGTGCTTCCTAAAACATAACTGGAAAAAAGGTAAGTATGTTCTCCTTCAGCTTTGAAATTACTAACTCTTAACCATTTTAATTTTCTTTCAGTTCTGTTATGAGTTGCTAAAATCATGGTGAAATGCTGCTCGGCCATTGGATGTGCTTCTCGCTGTCTGCCAAATTCCAAGTTAAAAGGACTGACGTTTCACGTGTAAGATTTTGCTTAGTCAAGCCAAGTACTTTTTACGTGTTATAAAAAGCAAAAGACAGTTCTACTTAAGTCAATTCTGAACTTTAGTTCTCACATTCTTTTTAAATAACCTTTTTATTAAATTTGAAGGGACAGTGATGCTTTTCCATGTTTACGGTTTAGTTTAAAAGTTTTAAGAGACCTGCCAGGATATCAGAGACTGGTTACAAAAAAATGCCATCAGACTCACTCTTCCTAATATTACTACTTTGTATTTTAACATGCCTTCAAGGAAATTCAGTATTGTTATTCCAGAAAGAATTTGAACCACCTTGAAAATTGGGAAAGATACAGTTTTTGGCCTTCAGATCTCTCAAAATAGTTCTGATTTCCAGATCTCCAAACTCTGCACTCATTCGCTAGGCATTTATAGACCTACTATGTATTAAACACTGTACTAAGCAGTTTTTTGATTCCGACAGAAGAATGAAGTACAAGGGGCCCTATTCATTGGGGATAAATTGTGCATATCACTTCAATAGGAACAGGCCCAGGTAATACTCTTTCTTCATCTATAGATGAAGAAAACTTTCAGTTGTGAATCTTACTATAAAGTGCTAAATACCTATTGAAACTTTCTTCTTTTTTTTTTTTTCCTTTTTTGAGACAGGGTCTCTCTTTGTTGCCCAGGCTAGAGTGAGTGCCGTGGTGTCAGCCTGGCTCACAACAACTTCAAACTCCTGGGCTCAAGCCATCCTACTGCCTCAGCCTCCCGAGTAGCTGGGACTACAGGCATGCGTCACCATGCTCCGCTGATTTTTTGTATATATATTAGTTGGCCAATTAATTTCTTTCTATTTATAGTAGAGACAGGGTCTCACTCTTGCTCAGGCTGGTTTCGAACTCCTGACCTCGAGCAATCCGCCTGCCTCGGCCTCCCAGAGTGCTAGGATTACAGGCGTGAGCCACCGTGCCCGGCAAAACTTTCTTCCTTATAATACGAGAAAAATTGAAATGAGGGCCATATGTCTGCAGCATGATTGGCAGAAAAATTTGAATATTAAAACTGAAAGTTACAAAAGCATGAATTATGGTTTCCTGAATATTGCAATTCCCAAGAGTAATAACAAACTAAAGGAATCAATTTAGCCATAGTTATATGAGACAGCTTTAATTCAAGTATATATCAATAGTGTTTAATTTTAATTTTTTTTTTGTATTTTTTTCCAGATTCCCCACAGATGAAAACATCAAAAGAGAATGGGTATTAGCAATGAAAAGACTTGATGTGAATGCGGCAGGCATTTGGGAGCCTAAAAAAGGAGACGTATTGTGTTCAAGGCACTTTAAGAAGACAGATTTTGATAGAAGTGCTCCGAATATTAAACTGAAGCCTGGAGTCATACCTTCTATCTTTGATTCCCCATATCACTTACAGGTTTGTTTATGAGATATTGCCTACCATCATTACTCACTTTTTATGATACTGTTGAAGAAACTTTACCACTCTTCCTAACATTTTTATTGTTTTCCTATTTATTTGAAGTCCGTTTTTAAATTTATAGACTGCAGCTTCAGCTTTCATAATGTGTAGTGGGAGTATTTTACCAGTAGCCACTCATAAATATTCATACATTACTAAGGTTTGGTGAGGTAGACTGACTTTAGGAATTGGTATGACTCATGATTTTTGTCTAAAAAATGGAGATTAACATAAGGTTGAACTCAAGTTCCAAGTTGACAGTCCTCAACACTGGAGCAGAAGTCAAGAGCAGAACTACTAACAGAATTAAAGTACACTTCTGAGAGCCACATATATGCAAGCTTAAAGTCTAGGTAGGACCCAAAGGAAGAAAACCAAAAGAGAGAGATAAGAACAGGAGAAAGAAGATAAGAGAAGAGGTGGGAAAAAGGAAATAGATTGAATAAATTCTTACTGAATACAATGTTTTTTCTTAGTGATAGTGCCATCAGTTGGCTGCTTCACCCTCATTGCCTCTCTTGGCTTCATGTACTTGAAAGTGAATTTGCTTCCAGAAATTATAGATGGATTGGTTGATTCCAAAGTGAAAAATTTATGGAGAGCCTCAATTGAAAGGTGTCTCCTTCCCGCCAGCTGGAAACAAGTAGCCAGAAGCGCCCCTGCTTCGTGCAGTCCTGGTCACTTTCTGCAGTTGATCATGTTGCAGAGCCTGAAATGATCGATAAAGTGGAGGCTGCCTCATTTTCCTCCATATTAATAATGCATAATATCATGAACAGTTTCCTCTAAAAGTGGTTTTTTTTTTCCTGCCAGCAAGGTGTCATCTAACTGTAATGTTAAAAAGAGCTTAACAAATAATGAACACAATAAATCTATCTAAGTTACTTTCAAACACTACTTTTTTCGTTATAACAAATTTATTATTATAGGAAATTAGATGATAGAAGTAAAAATAAAAATAATACATAATCCAGAGATACTAATGTGAATACTTTGACGTTTATCTTTCCAGCCATTTTTGTGTTTTATATAAATTTGTATATATTTTTATAGGTAGGAAACTAGAATTACCCTGTATATCTGCTTTTTTGTTTTCATATATCTATATAGTGCTTACTGTATGCCAGGCACTATTCTAAGCACTTTACATGTGTACTAACTCATTTAGTCCTTAAAACAACCACATTAGGTAAGTACTATTCTTAATCTCTAGGACTAATAGTACTCTCTAAGAACCTGAGAGCTGGAATACTTTCCCCAGAGTCACAGAGCTAGTATATTAAACTGCAGAGGCCAGGTTTAAACCCAGGCATTTTGGCTCCAGAGTCTACTATTAACTGCTACTATTTATGACATTAAATATTTTCCCAACCAACAATTGCTTTCAGACTTTAATCTACTTAAAAATTATCCAACGAGTTTGTTTAAACTATAGAATCTTATGTCTCACTCCCAGAGAATTTGATTCAGTAAGTTTTGGTGGGAGTCCAGGCATCTGTACTTCTTAGCAAGCACCCCACATGATTGGGCTGTAGATCTGTGGATCACATGTTTTAAGAGAAGCCTATGTATACTATCAATATTTTTAGCTAAACTTCATATTGAAGTATAACGTATATGGAAAAGTGTACCCATCATAACTATACAAATCAATGAATTTTCACAAAGTGGATATACTCATGTGACTCCCCCAAACCAAGATATAACACATTACCAGTTCCCCAGAAGCCTCCCTTATTCTTTTTCCCAGCTATTACACCCCCACCAAGGTAACTACTATCCTAACTTCTATTACTATTAATTATATAAATGGATTCCTATCTAGAGTATATACTCTGGCTTCTTTAGCTCAACGTTTGTTGTTTGGTTCATCCACATTGTAACATGAGAAAGTAGTCATTATTTTTCTTTGCTATATACTGTTCCATCTTTATAAATAAACTAATTTTTCATTCTGTTGATGAACATTCGGGCTGTTTTTCACTTTAGGGCTATTATAAATGGTACAGCTATAAACATTTCTGTCAGTGCCTTTTGGTGCACTTACATGCACATTTCTGTAGACTGTATATGTGCATCTGTTAGGAATTGCTGAGTCCTAGGGTGTGTATGTTCAGCATGAGTAGATATGTGCCATGGTTTTCCAAAGCAGTGTTGCAAATTTATAGTCCCACCACACCATCAACATATAAAAGTTTCTTTGGGTCCACATCCTTGCCAGTACTTGTGGTATCAGTTTCATAAAACATTTTAATGACCATATAGTAGTTGGTCCTATGTATGAATAATGGTTTACATAAGCAGTCATCACTATTGTGTATAGATTCATCATCTTAAAGTATTTAAACAGCATTAAAAAGACCATTATTGTTCCTTTGAACATCTTTCAAATTCTTATTTCTTTGAACTAAATTTCTGGAAATAAAATTGTTGGATCAAAGATTATATAAATTTTTAAAGCTTTGCTTTTGATGCAGTTCTCTCAAAGACTCACCAAAAAGTTTGTACCAATCTATTCTCCTACTAGCTATGCATGAGAGTGTCTGTACCCTAATCCTTGGTATAAGTTGTGTTTTTAACCTTTGCTAAAATTGATAGACAAAAATGGCATCTTAATTGTTATAATTTATCTTTGAATACTAATGAGTGTCTATATTCAGGATATGAATCATTTAACTGCGATCTATGTTGCGGTTACTTTTTATTTGTCTTTAGTTCTAATTATGGCATTGGTTTTATTTTATTTTTTGGAATTCAGACTTTTTTTATATAGTTGTCTATATTTTCTCTTGTATTATATGACATTAGCCTTCCCCACCTTAAGATTATATAAATAGCCCCTATATTTTTTTTCTAGTTCCTCGTGGTTTTCTTTTTCATGTAAATTTTCAGTCTATAGAATTGGAGTGTGGTTTACTATACATAAAGGACATGACTGGTTTTTTAATTAGTTGATTTTTACTATGTGATTTATAGCCTTTCACCACTTATTTAGAATGCCACTTTTATCCTAAAGGCATTTATCTACTTGATCTAGTCCTAGGTTTTCTGTCTAGTTCTAAGAAATTAGCATGCTGTTTTAACTATTGTTACTATGTACTATATTTTTAATAGTTGGTAAGGCATACCCTCCCTCTTTATCACCCTTTTTTAAGGAAAATTTGTGTTTCCAAGTGAAATTTAGAGTTGTTATCAGTAAGTTCTTTTAAAATAATCTGAGTGGAATTTACTGACTTTTAAAAGCAATTTTCATGAAAAGAAATGTGGTATGTTACTACATAAAGTTAAGAAGGAATAAAAACTTAAGAAAGAAGTAGTATTGCAATGATTGTTGTTAACTATTCTTAACAGGGGAAAAGAGAAAAGCTTCCTTGTAGGAAAAACTTCACCCTCAAAACCCTTCCAGTCACAAACCACAACCACCACCTTGTTGGTACTTCCTCATGTATTGAAGAATTCCAGTCCCAGTTCATTTTTGTAAGTACAATTACTTGCTGAGCTAGTGTTTTAAGATGAATATGTCCTCTCCATTAGGGTCAGACTTTTTAGAATCATAGCAAAAATCTAGGGGTTTAGGTGTTTGATGTTTTTTCCTTGATATTTAATACTCACAAATTATATTGCTTCCCATATCATTGTAGTGTGTATATGTTTACAATAGCAATATAGAGGTAGTTAATTCTTTGGTTACATATTTTGTTCAAAGAATGCATTTGCAAGCTTATTTCTAGCAAGAAAATAATTAATTCTTCTCTTTTTTTTTTTTTTTGAGACAAAGTTTTACTCTGTTGTCCAGGCTAGAGTGAGTGCCATGGCATCGCCTAGCTCACAGCAACCTCAAGCTCCTGGGCTCAAGCAATCCTTCTACCTTAGCCTCCCAAGTAACTGGGACTACAGGCATGTGCCACCATGCCTGGCTAATTTTTTCTGTATTTTTAGTTGGCCAATTAATTTCTTTCTATTTTTAGTAGAGACAGGGTCTCGCTCTTGCTCAGGCTGGTTTCCAACTCCCGACCTTGAGCTATCCGTCCGCCTAGGCCTCCCAGAGTGCTAGAATTATAGACGTGAGCCACCGCGCCTGGCCTTAATTCTTCCCTTCAAGTACTATATTTTCAATATGGAAATATCTAATTAAAGAATAGCTATTTCATTAGGTTTTCTTGAAAATCAGTCATATAATACATACGTACAATGTGTTCAAGCTTGCATTCATTTATTCATTTCATTGCCTGTTCATGTTAGAGCCAGGCCTAGAATCTTGATTACTATAGGTTTATAATAATTCTTAAAATTAGGCAGTGTTAGTCCTCCAACTTTGTTCTTTTTAAAGGTTGTTTTAGCTATTCTAGGTTCTTCGCATTTTTATGTGAATTTTAGAATCACTTTATAAATTTCTACCCCCAAAAAGCTGCCAGAATTTTGACTGGTTTTGTGTTAAATCTACAGATCCATTTCGGAAAAATTGATATCTTAGTAATAGTAAGTCTTTCAACACATGAGCTCAATATATCTCCATTTATTTAAGACTTTAACTTCTCTCAGCATTGTTTTATAGTTTCCAGTATATAGGTCTTTCACTTTGTCAGATTTACCCCTTAGTATTTTAAATGTCTGGATGCTATTGTAAATGGTATTATTTTGTTTGCTGCTAATATATGGACATATAATAATTTATTTTCATGTATGAATCTTGTATTGCAAACTTGATAAACTCATATTCATTATAGCAATTTTGTGTAGAAGCTATTAGACTTTCTGTGTAGATAATCATGTTCTCTATGATTAAAGGCAGTTTTAATTCTTCCTTTCCAGTGTGAATACCCTTCATTTCTTTTTGTTGCTTTATTATACTGCCTCGAACCCCAGGGCTATGCTCAATGGAAGTACTGAGAGCTGATAGCCAAGCCTTCTCCCTGGTTTTAGGAGGAAGGCATTCAGTCTTTAACTATTAAATGTGTTAACTATAGATTTTTCATAAATGCTCTTTATCAGGTTTAGAAAGTGGCCTTCTGTTCCTAGTTTGCTAAGAATTTTTTTTTTATCAGAAATGGATGTTCTGTCAAATATTTTTGTTTCTATTGAGAGATTGTGATTTTTTTAGTTTATTAATATTATGAGTTATATTGATTGATTTTCAAATGTTAAACCAACTTGTATTCCTAGAATAAATCTTACTTCTTTATTATACATTATCCCTTTTATATGTTGTTAGATTAGATTTGTTAAATTTTTATTTAATCTTTCCTTTTCTGTTCACGGGGAATATTTGGCCTGTGTGGTCTCTTTCAGTCTGGTTTCAATATTAAGATAATGCTGACCTCAAAGAACGAGTTGGAAATTATTGCCAATGTTTTTAATTTTCTGGAAGAGTTTGTGTAGAAATGATATTATTTCTTCTATAACTATTTGGTAGAATTCCCCAGTGAAGCTATCAGGACTTGGAGTTTTCTTTGTGGGAAGGTTTTTTAATAGTTTATGTCTTCCAAGGAATTTGTCCATTTCATCACTGTTGTCAAAATTTATTGAAGTTGTTCCTAACATTTCCCTATTCTTTCAATATCTGTAGACTCTGTATTGGTATAGCTCTCATTTCTGATATTGGTAATTTGTTTCTGTTCTCTTTTATTACTGATCAGTCTACCAAGAGATTTGTCAATTTTATTGATTTTGTGAAAGAACTAGTTTTCATCAATTTTCTTGTACTTTTTGTATGTTTTCTACTTCACTGATTTCCACTTGTCTTTATTATTTCCTTCTACTTATTTCAGTAAAATTTTCTCATCTTTTTCGAGTTTCTTGAGGTGGAAGCTGAGGTCATTGTTTGAAGCTTTCTAGTATAGGCATTCAGTGGTATTAATTCCTCCATAAGTATTGCTTTAGCGGCATTCCACAAAATAAATATGTTGTGTTTTCATCTTCATTCCACTTAAAATATTGTCACATGTCATTTTGATTTGTTCTTTGACCCATAGATTATTCAGAAGTGTGTTTGTTATATGGTTTCTAAATATTGAGAGATTTTCTAAATATCTATTATTAATTTCTGATTTAAGTCTGTGTGGTCAGAGAACATACATCGCGATAGTTTGAACCCTTTTAAATTTATTGAGATTTATTTGATAAGCCAGAATATGGCCTATCTTGGTAAATGTTCTGTGTACATTTGCAAAGAATGTGCCATTCTCTTACTTGAGCCTCCCAAAGCACACACATGAGCCACCAAGCCCAGCTCTAGTTTTTATGTCTAGATAAAGAAGCTCTAGTTTTTATGTCTAGATAAAGACTCTCTAGAGTGTTTTTATATATTTCATGCCTCTGCTTAACCTTTGGAATATATGGAATGTGGTTTTAATAACTTTCTTAATTCGTTTGTCTGCTAAGTCTAACATTTGTGTCAGTTCTGGTTTGGTCTCCACTGATTCATTTCTCTTATTATGGTTAATATTTTCCTGCCTGGTAATTTTTGCATGCCACACATTGTGGATTTTAATTTGCTGGATGCTAGATATTTTTGTATCCTGTTTTCTTGAGCATTATTCTGGGGTATAATTATTCAGAAACAGTTTGAGCCTTTCAGATTTTGCTTTCTTTGGCAAGGCCAGGATAGTGCTCAGTCTGGGGCTATTATAATACATTACTGAGGCAAGACCCTTTTGTATACACTAGTCAGTGTGCTGTGAATCTTGATGACATCAAGTCTCGCTTTTAGAAATAGTGCCTATGCCCTACGACCACAGGTCACTTCTAATCTTTCTTGGTTGTTCTTTCCTTATCCTTGAGTAGTTTCCTCATATGCATATGCTGATCTTACCCAGTAGAATACTTCAGGGGGATCCTCTGAAGCTCTCAAGAATTTCCTCTCTGTGCAGCTGTCTCCTGTCTAGTACCTTGTCCTGTGAACTGTGGCCACCTTGGTCTCCCTGGACGTTTTGCGCTATCTCCTCAGTCTGCCCAGCCCTGCATGTGTCTGCCCTCTTTGCACTACGGCCTAGACACTCTCTCAAGGCATTAAGCTGAGGCAATCATAGGGATCACTTCTTTGCTTCCCATATTTCCTTGAACACCTAGCCTCTAAATATCACCCACTTAAAGATCTTTTCTAAGCATCATAAATGAAGAAGCAGCTGAGACCTAATTATAAGCTTTTATTTAACTACTTGTTTTGTCTGGTTTTATAACTTGGTGTTTATGTTTTTAGGAACATAGCTACAGCATAATGGACAGTCCAAAGAAACTTAAGCATAAATTAGATCGCGTGATCAGCGAGCTAGAGGATGCCAAGGAAAGTCTACAGAATGTTTTAGAGCGAGAACAGCGTTTCCAGAAATCATTGAGGAAGACAATCAGGGAATTAAAGGATGAATGTCTGATCAGCCAAGAAACAGCAAATAGATTGAATGCTTTCTGTTGGGAGTGTTGTCAGCAGAGCATAGAACAAAACTATATTTTATAAAATAATTTCATGTCATGTTCTACCTAAAAATGACATTGGTACAGTTTTTTAGAAAATAATTCTCATTTGCCATTGCTAAATAATATCTGTCATTTTAAGTGCTTCTTGGAATCCTCTGGAGCATTATGCATTGTAGTTGCTATCCAAAGACTTTTCTGAAGATGTGCAGAAATTTGTGGCAGTTATCATGTTTTGGGGTGGCTTGTGACAATTATGTTTTTATAGACCTATACTAGTACCAGGTCACCATTGTAAAATGTTAAGATCTCAAGAATAGTCCACAGGGCTAAGGAAATGATATCAAAATAGCCACATTAAGCTATAGTAGAAGGAACTAGACACTTCTTCAGCAGCATCAAATATTTGGCTTCACAAGAGTACCTACACTTATGTGTGCTTTATGGTAAGTATGTTGAATTTTACTTTAAATGTATTTTACTGTAAAACAGAATTCATCAATAACACATATCCATCTTGGATCCAGTCCAAGGTACGTTAGTTATCAATAATACCTAGTGTTCAAAGCATCCCATATTATTGACCCTGAGAATAACACATGGTGAAGATCTATTGGCTTTTCAAATTGTTCAGAGCTGGCTTAAGAAGATTCCTCATGGGTCTTAGTTTTTCATTACAGTGCGTCATTCTGCCTCACTAGGAACACTTTGATATAAACCAGAATAGATTTCAAAACCAAAAAAAGGGTCAGAAATCTGATTTGTAAATGGTTGGCTGCTCTGACAGGTCTGAACATTTTGCTTTATGATTGTCATTTAATCATAAAGATGTATCTTTAAAATCTGAATGCTAGTACTAGCTGAATATTTTTAATGCTGCTTTGTATTTTACAGAAAATAATATTGCTGGCATTTTTTAAAATGTAAAATATAGAAGAAACCATTAAAAATTTATGATTATGGCTTTTTGAGTTGAAATAGGAATTGGAGAAAGTGTTCAAAAATTTTTCTTTAATTAGGAGAGTAGATTACTGCCTAAGGGCTTTTATTTAGAGAAAGACAACTGAAATGAGTCATAAATACTGTGAATTAGAATGAAAACTGTTAGCCAAAGCCACACTCTACATGGAAGCACATGTACGTATTATGAACCTCATTCAGGAGTCCATGGTATAGTAGTTAGAATTTGAGTATCACCTGTTTCATTGTATTAACAAGAAATGAGTTGCATTTTGTGCTGATTTGTTCATTGTACCTTTATTTGTGTTACATTAATATCAGTAGGGATATGGTGACTTGAATTTTTTTGTATTTACAATTTTCAATGTTTCAGTGCATGTTATATTTTTATGTAGGATTCTAAACCTTCCATCTAAATGAGATTTTACCCACCAGCATTATGCTAAAAGAAAAATCACCGAGGCCATATCTTTTTACTACCTTAAAAAACAAAAACAAAAACACCCTTACATTAGCTACCTATTGTTTTAGTTATTTAATTTTAAATTCATAATGGATACTCTAATGGAAAGTTTGGGTATGAACTTAGGTTTTATAGAGAAACTTTGATAGAGATGAAGACTTGTTCCCTCACCTTATTTGGGAGTGTATAAATTAAAGTAAGCCAATGGACAGTGGAGAAAAGAAAGAGGATAGACCCAAACACAGTATGTCTAGATTCTAACACTCTGTTGGCTTCTTAGAATAAATCAAGCCTGGAAGATCTTTCCAAAAGTAAAATCCCACATTCTGCCACTATCACAATTGCCACAGTCACTTTTACTACTTGTATTCATAGTGAACTCAGCCCTTGTCGTCTTTCTCATCGGATCTAGTGTCGCTGAGAAATAGGTAACTATGGGCAAAATACTGGTATCATTAAGGATCCAGAGCTGCCCATTTCCTCTTTATTCTTATGGAGAAATGGTTACTCATAGAAATCTTACATTAAAAATAGGGTCCTTCCCACCTGCAGCCCCAAACAAAGGCCTGAACACAGTATATACCTCAGTCCTTTGTTCCCAGAGGTTCCAGCCTACCCCAGGAAAGAACTGTCCTGTATAAAGCAAAACCAGGTCATCTCTCCCATCCAGAAATTCCTCTGGCAGCCAAGGCTGACGCAAGGGTTCCACTTTGCTTTGAAACTTGGAGTGGCTTCTGGATCCTGGAACACACAAACCTCAGCACACAAGTCAGGTACAAAGGACTTGCCTCAGCAGCAAGTCAGGTACAAAGGACTTGTCACGTGGCATTTTCTCCATATCAAGTTTAAATTTCTGGAAATGGACTTTGTTCGCTAAAGATAATTACCATAGTCTTTAATTTGTGAAAAGTTGAAATGTATTAAATATATATTTAGTTTTAATAAAAAGATAAAATTATTATAGAAATAATTGAGGGGTAAAAAAAAATCCATTATTTATTTGAAAAATAAAATATTTTTTCCAGTAATGTGTTTTGTGGCTTTTATACATTTGGTTACTCAATAAAATGGGCAGAGAAAAATGAAGGGTTAAATGCAGAGAGGTTTTGCTTTAATTTCTTGTGCATCTTTTCTCTCCACCAATAACTCCACCGTGAGATCTGTTAGGTGAGGTGACCTAAGTAGCAGACCAGTTTTCACCACAACACGGACCTGCCATCGAGCCCTTTGCTGCTTTGGTCATCACTCAAAACTGGGATGCTCTTGTGCCACCCAGAATATAAGGGAGAGTGGTATCCCTAGGTGTGAAACATGTTGCCTTCAGAACCTAAAGAGGCCTTCAGGTATTGGGCTTTCTTCTTTATAATGGGATGTTCAAGTTGCAATAATTTGTTTTTTATTTTAGAGGGGATGTCTTGGCATGCCCCAGATCACTGGACACTCCGCCCCTCAAACTTTACTGATCATTGTAAGCTCCTGAATTTCACAGGTTCTGTCTTACCCTCTGGTACACATATGCTATATCGAGGCCTCCAATTTACTAGTTACTTCTCATTCATCCCATTGGATTAACATAATCCATTAATACTGTGAACTAAGTGATTTTCTATGGAATGTCTATCTGGTGTACAAAGCAAGAGCATTAACATATCCTTGGGCCCAGACTGTATATTTTATTCATTGTGACCTGTTCTGATCCTTCTTTCTGATGGGAGTGGGAAGGCATGCACCCACCAGGGGTCAATGGTTGCATAGCCTGTACCCAAAGCCACGTTAATCTACACTAACAAAGATGTCCCCTCTGGCACAGCAGCTATAGTCAGGCTGCTATTAATATTTGGTTGAATTTGCATTTAGTCCACTGTTATCTTGCAGCATCTGTCTAAATTGTGTGAGGGTGGTGAATTAAATGGTGATGTGGGGGCCACCACTCCAGCATCTTGCAGGTCTGTGAAGGTGGCACCTTAACCAACCCCACAGAAAACTCTGAAACTGGGGCAGTTTGTAAAAACAAGCTGACATAGGCTTGAGACTGCTGTCCTTAGAAAGGCCTACAAGGTTGCAAGTTGGTCCTTGGCTGGCATCTGGGAACTTGGGTTTAGGGAGGGCTCCCACCATTCCCTAACTGGTAAGAGTACCTCACCACGCCAAACTGTCTGTGCAAATAATGTGGTTTATGCTAAACACCTTACCTTCTGAGAGTCTGGAATGTGGGAATGTGTTAGGCAGTGGGGTCCTACATAACCAGCCCTGAATAAAACCTTCAGCACTGAATCTTTATTGAGCTTCCCTGGTCGACAACATTACATACATATTGTCACAATTTGGTGCTACAGGAATTAAGTATGTCCTGTGTGACTACACTGATAAAGGACTCTTGGAAGTTGATACCTGGTTTCCTCCAGACTTTGTACCATGTGCCTTTTCCCTTCACTGTTTTGTTTTCTCTTTGTATCCTTTTGCTGTAATTGAAAGGATACATGAGTACAGCTCTGTGTTGCCCTCTGGGAGTCCTAGGAAATCACCAAACTTGAGGGTGCTCTCTTGTAGACATCAGCACATGGCCTTCCAGAATTGTCCTGCGTTAAGGCAAAGAAGCTGTGCCTTTATACCCCTGCGTCAGTTATCGAATGTGGTTCACAGAGCAGCGTATGCGTTAAGGAGCTTGCACCAGAATGTAGATCAACCACATGAGGCACGCTGTTCAGCTCCATCAGCATTTTTTTTTCAGAGCAAGACTTTCTCCATGAATGAAACATTACGCTGGTTTACAATCTGGAATAAGTGGCTGATCTCATTCTGGACCAGTCCAAAAGAGTTCCCAGGCTGGCTGCTTTGAGTAGCACTGTCTCAGAGTATCAAGTCACTAAACAGACAATCTCTGAACTAACCCAAGCTCTGTGGTTTGTGGTCAGTCAACAGCAGAGAAGTTCCCGACAGATTTGTGTCAGATAATAAACTTCCCAGATCCTTGTAGCAGAGCTTGTGCAGCTGAAAGGTAACACATCACATCTGACTTAGCAGATCTGGGCCTCATGCTTTTTAAAACAGAAACATTTCATTAAAGGAAGAGAGTGAAGTGTACGTGCTGTGCAGGCTGCCAACCACAAATGCTAGTCGTGGGTACCTCGTGGAGACAGACATTCAGCTACAGACTCGCCAGCAGAGTGGACTCAACATGCAATTTCAATAAAATGTAGGGTACCGGTGCTTACTGAAAAGGTAGTTTTTGTAATGGTACAAAATGTTGCCAGGCTACCCAGCTGAAAGAAATTACCTCTGAAATCCTGAAGATTCTAAAAAATGTTTTGGTTGCCACTCTTACTAAGACACTTGTAGATGGGTCTTAGGTGTGGGGAGAGGGGCCAGATGCAGTGGCTCACACCTGTAATCCCAGCACTTTGGGAGGCTTAGCTGGGAGGATTGCTTGAGGCCAGAAGTTTGAGACCAGCCTGGCCTTGAAAACACTGAGCAAACATAGTAAGGCCCCATCTCCACAAAAAATAAGAAAAAATTAGCCACACGTGGTATGCACCTGTAGTCCCAGCTACTCAGGAGACTGAGGCAGGAGGATCTCTTGAGCCCAGGAGTTCAAGGATGCAATGAGCTATGATCATGCCCCTGTACTCCAGCCTGGGCAACAGAGTGAGACCCCATCTCTAAAAAAAAGAAAAATTATAGTAAGAGCATTCTATAAATTTAAATTAAAACCATTAAACAATTTCATCTCTGAAAAACTAGGGGTTGCTTGTTACCAGTGCTTTTATCATCTCACTGGGGTATTGGCTAACCTTAAAGCCAAGTCTTCAATTATTGCTATTTCCTGTGACACTTAGGTATTTCAAAGAAATCTCCCAAACCCAGCTTAACAAATAAGACTTAAAGAAACCACTGTCTGAGTAGGTGTGGGTACAAGATTTTTGTTAGCTTTCCTGTGACTGCTCACCTAGCAGAACCCTAAAAATAAGCCCCTGTTGAGACCCTTCAAATATAGCTTTCCATCTGACTGGGTACCTTAGAATACTAAAGAACACAACAACCAAGTACTGATATCTGAGAAGTGTTGCCCACTCTCACAGAGATGATTACAATTTCCATAAATCCTCATATTTCTTGCCTTTTCTTTGTGTTTTTAGGATATTCATGTTCAAGAGGAAATGTTTGTTTGAGGCAGAAAATTATTAGTTTTCAATAATAATGATAGCTAACATTTACCAGGTGCCAGTCTCTATTCAAAGTGCTTAAATTTTATTAACTCATTTAACTTCAAAACAACCGTACAAGGTAGGCACTATTATTATTCAAATTTTACAGATGAGGAAATTAAACAGAGAAAAGGTCTCACAGGTGGTATAATGATGTCTTATTATTATACCACCATTGAGTCACAGTGTTCTCAATTCTGATCTACAATGCCAGACCCAGAGATTTTGATTCCTCGAATCGTAACATCTTAAAGGCCAGACTTCAATCATTCCATTCAGAAACTCCAACTGGTGCAGTTAGAGGCTGAAGGATAAAAGATGAACTCACCTTGTGTCTGAAGCTGAGGAAAACCCATAATTACTCATTACCACAATCTGGATCTGTCTGAAGCCACCATCAAACACAGACAGGGTAGCTGAGCATCAGGGTGAAGTCACCTTAACCACATACATTGCAAGACATTCAAGTACCTGTGGGTTTCATCAGCACAGGAGTCTGTCTAGTCACCTGATTCCTCTTAGCTCTCAGAAAGAATGATAAAAGATTGGTCCTAATCTCTGCTAAAGATTTACTCAACCACGGGAACTGACATAATTTTCCACTCCATGTCTACATCTATAGTCTGTAATCAAATACAAGAATATAAAAATTAACAGCTCTTCTTTTTCACTTTTTAATACTAGGCTTAAGAATTGTTATCTTCTATGTGATTTGCTACTATATTGGTAATATTTCAGTCTCTGTGTGTCTTTACGGGTGAAGTTGGTTTCTTGAAGGTAGCATATAATTGGGTCTTGTTTCTTTATCCATTTAGCCACTCTGTGCCTTTTAATTGGAGAATTGAGACTGTTTACATTCAGTATTATTAATAAGAACTTACTCCTGTCATTTTGTTGCTTATTTTCTCATTGTTTTGAGACTCCTCTCTTCCTTTCTGTTTACTTTTGTACTTTAATATCTCTCACGGTATGTTTTAATTTGTTGCCTTTTTATTTTTAGTGAATTATTACATATTTTTGTGCTGTGGCTACTGTGAGGCTTACAAAAAACATTTTACAGATATAACAAGTTAAAGAGATGAAAACTTACAAAAATATGGAATGCTTCACAAATTTGCATGTCATCCTTGCACAGAGACCATTCTAGTCTTCCCTTTATCATTCCAAGTTTAGTATATGTGCTACCAAAGCAGGCACTGTATTTGTAATATTTAAGAATCAGTTTCAGCAAACCACATGCAGCATACTGTATATGACTTTAGGTATAGCTGGATCCAGGAGCTCAAATGATGTTACCAGAATCTGGAATTTCTCCACTCTGCTTTATCATGCAGCCTCTCCCTTTGTGTAGGTCTGTCTCCTCACAACTTCAAGTCCAAAAGTAAATACGGTGACTCTTCTAAACAGTGTCCTACCCACTCTCTCCCTGTGGTGTTGTTCTTCTCACTAGCTGTGAGGTGGATCCAAAGTGCTTTTGACATTTCTCAGAGAGAATAAAACAAAAATTTATACAGGTGATTTTTAAAAACTTTTCATAATGAGAACTTCCAAACAAAAGTATGGAGTATAATAAACCCCAATGTACCTGTCACATAGCAGCAACAATTATTAAACAGGGACAATCTTGTTCCATCCATCCCTCAACTCACTCCCCTGCTCTGATTATTTTGAAGCAAATCCTAGACAGCATATTATCATATATTTCATATTTCAGCATATATTTCTAAAAGGTAAGGACTCTATTTTTTAGACAAAGATATGTATCATTATTGCACCTAAAAGTGTTTACCAATAATCTCTTAATATCATCAACTATCCAGCCAATGTTCACATTTCCCCAGTTGTTTTATTTTATTTATTTTTTATAATTAGTTTTTCTGAAATAAAGTCCAAATGTTGTAATTGGCTGATATGTCTCTTAAGTCTCTCTTAGTCTGTTCCCACTCCATCTCTTTTTATTTATTTATTTTGCCTTGAAAAAACTTTGAACAAACCAAATCTTTTGTCCTGCAGTAGCTGGATGAACTTTAAAGAAACTTTCACAGAGCTTTCATTGCAATAAGGTGACAGCCAGGGTCTCAGAGCACACCTAGCATGGCAATTAAAAGCCAGAATTCTACAGCCAAATTGCCTGCGTTAGTAGCATGGCTCTACCACCTATTAACCACATAATCTAACCTCTCTGGGCCTCTATTTTCTCATTTCTTAAATCGACACGACAATAGTAACTACTTCATTGGGCTGCTTTAAGGATTAAGTGCCTTCATGTATGTCTAGTGCCTGGAACAGTAATGCTTACAATGTAGTCAATAGTATACAGATGAGGCCATTAGCGGCACCAAGGCCAACTGGTCCAAGGCCTTCCAGCTAATAGGCGGCAAGAGAGAGGAGAACATTGATTTTTCCCACTGGTTTCGGATACTGCATTTCAAACCTTTGCTAAATGAGGGCTGCAGGTGCAGTGCAGTGGGCATCACTCTGCCTGTGAGCAGGATGTTAGTGCCACTGTGCTCTTCAATTGCTGGAATGACTTTAGGAGCCTTCTTCAGGCCTATGTCCCCGCTCTGCAAGATGGAGAAGTCGGAGGTGTGGCCAGGATGTCTGAAACCCCTTTCGGGAAAACTCCCAGCAGGGGATGCCCTCACACAAGCCCTGTGGAGAAGTCATCCCGGCCACCTTCAAACCACAGCCAACCACAGGACAGTCAGATCCCCCAAAGGAGTGTCTGTCTTGCTGCGGTGCTTCCAACAGAGCACCCTGAGCCAGCCCTAAGCCTCCCCCAACCTGATTCAGGGGTGCCACCACTCCCATGCTCCACAACACACGTCAGCCTGACTCATGGTGGCCCTGATGGCAGCTTCCCTAGATGACTCACCGTGGCCCATGCAGGGGATGCCTTTCCCCGGCGGCTGCAGCACTTCCGGCCCCATGCAAGGAAGACTTGCCCACTGGGACTTGAAGCGGCTCACCTTTGCTTCTCCAAGGCCAGCCACGGGGCAGGACCTTCTCCCAGCAGGACCGTGGGGATGAGAGCACGAGTGCAGCCGATCCGTCCTCAGACAGACACCCCGGTGGGTCCCCAGGGGAGTGAAAACAGCTTTGCACACTGGCCCTGGAAGTGCAGAGGGACAGCTGGAACCGTGCAGCCTTTCCGAATATTGCCCACACAAGCTGTCTGGTCTTTGGTGTTTCCCGGCTCAGGTTGCTTCCAGCTTACATTTCCATTGATAGAGATCGACGCCTACCTTGTCTCAATGTAAGCATCCAAAATAAATTACTTGCCAGAGATCATTTTCATTGTCTTCAAACCCACCATCTTCAGTTTGCACTCCCTGAAATTCTAAACACATTTTTAAACCACCAGGAAAGAAGGAGAAAGACTGAGAAGATGGGGAGCAAAGCAGGGAAGGCGCTGTGAGGTTCTCCCCAAAATACAGACGTTCGGCCTGCGGGTGAAGCACAGGCGGGTCCGAGGCAGGGAAGGGCAGGCGCGTTGGAGGCAGTTCCGGGCCCGCACAGCAGCCCGGACCCTTGGTCATCCCAACGGCTCAGTCCGGAGCACTTGGCTGTGCCCCCATTACCCATAAACACCAGGCTCTTACTTACTAACAGAAGCAACTGATTTGTTAAGTGTCTTCCTACGTGTTTGTCCACGAGACCCAGCCTCGGCCCCCAGGGCTGTGCCGGGACTGTCTGCCTGGCGCCTTCGCGAGGCTGCCGAGCCGGAAGGACAGAAAACAGAACAGCTCAGCTAAGACCATGAACCCACTCATGAGCGAGCAAACGAATGCGTGAATCTTTACAAGAGTGATCGCAGTCACGAGCCACTGACGGGGACGCGCATTGAGAAATGCACGGCGACGTCGCGGCCGTGTGAGGTGGCAGAGCCGGGCGCAGAGCTAGACCGAGAGACGCACGCGCCGCCGCGCGCCACAGCTCGGGACTGCGCGCTGCAGCGTCGCCCTGCTGCGTGCGCGGGCAGGGGGCGTGCTGCTAATCGCTGTGTGTCTAAACACATCCAAACACGGAAAAAGTGCTGTCAAAATAGGATATCAGTGGCGGGCGCGGTGGCTCACGCCTGTAATCCTAGCACTCTGGGAGGCCGAGGCAGGCGGATTGCTCAAGGTCAGGAGTTCGAGACCAGGATGAGCAAGAGCGAGACCCCGTCTCTACTATAAATAGAAAAAAGGAAATTAATTGGTCAACTAAAAATATATAGAAAAAATTATACGGACATGGTGGCGCGTGCCTGTAGTCCCAGCTACTCGGGAGACTGAGGCAGGAGGATTGCTTGAGCCCAGGAGTGTGAGGTTGCTGTGAGCGAGGCTAACGCCATGGCACTCTAGCCAGGGCAACAAAGTGAGACTCTGTCTCAAAAAAAAAAAAAAGGATATTAAAAGATAAAAAATGATGAGTGCAATGTGCATTGATCCAATGAGGCATGCACTGAAGGGCTGGATTTCACCACAATACAATACATGGACATTGCAAAATTGCACTTGTACCCCATGAATATATACACATAAAAATAAATAAAAACTCTAAAATTTAATTAAAAATCTTTTAACCTTTTGACTCTTTCATAATACTTAACTTTATAAAACAAACACAGCTGTACAAAAATATTTTATTTCTTTATATCATTATTCTATAAGCTTTTTTCTATTTAAAAAATTGGTTTTTTTACTTTTTAAGCTTTTTTCTTAAAAGCTAAGACACACACACATTAACCTAGGCCTACACAGGGTCAAGGTCCTCAATATCACTGTCTTCCACCTCCACATCTGGTCCTACTAGAAGGTCTTCAGGGGCAATAGCACACATGGAGCTGTCGTCCCCTATGATAACAATGCCTTCTTCTGAATACCTCCTGAAGGACCTGCCTCAGGCTGTTCTACAATTACTTTTTTTCGTAAGTAGAAGGAATAGAGTCTAAAATAATGATTAAAAGTATAGTATAGTAAATACATAGACCAGTAACAGTCATCTATCATCATTATTGTGTTATGTATTGTACATAATTGTGTGTGTGCTATATTTTATATGACAGCCAGTGTAGTAGGTTTGTGTACACCAGAATCACCACAAACAAGTGAGTAACATGTTGTGCTACAACATTATGGCAGGTACTACATCACTAGGCAATAGATATTTTTCAGTTCCATTATAATTTTATAGGACCACTCGTGTATGTGGTCTATCATTGACAGAAAAGTCATTATGTGGTACATGACTGTATATTTAATTAGAAGAAAGAACACAAATTTTGTAGTCAAAAAAATCCCACTTCTGAATTTCAGCCTTACCTCTTAATATCTTTTCATCTTTGGGAAAGAAATGTAACTTTTCTTGATCCCCCATAAGGTTATTGTGAGAAAGACACCTAACACACCGGCTCTGGGGGACCCTTTCCTCTTAACACGCTGAATCAGCGACAGTAGCTCAAATCACTGACATTCTTCCTGACATCAAGAAATATGGACATCAGAATCTCACTGTGATCAGCCTGCAACTAAAAAAGTTATGGTTTGTGGATAAAGTATATGACTAAAAAGATATTTTTACCAAAATTACCAAATTTGAAATAAGCTTTTAGAAATATTTCCTTATTTTTAAGATAAATACGATTTTTGCAAATGAATCTGATAACGTCACAACAGTTTCACTGATTTTCTGTGTTGCTGAACATGTGGTTCCACACTATATGTAATATACAAAAAAACAAGATATTGCAAGACTGACTTTATACACTATAGTAAAAAATGTTAGAGTTTTCTGTGGCTTAAGAATTTGATGAAATTTTTAAAAAATTTTTGTTCCTTTTGAAATTTTGAGTTCCTTTTGAAATTTTATGAGTTTCGGGGCAATAGATGCAAAAGCAAAAAAAAAAAATGAGTTATTTTGCTTTTGTTATTTATTTTTATCAACATTGAGGTGAAAGCTCATTAGAAATCCAATACAAAAAGAAAGAGAATCAGGCCGGGCGCGGTGGCTCACGCCTGTAATCCTAGCACTCTGGGAGGCCGAGGCAGGCGAATTGCTCGAGGTCAGGAGTTCAAAACAACTGACAGAGCGAGACCCGTCTCTACTATAAATAGAAAAAATTAATTGGCCACTATATATATATAGAAAAAATTAGCTGGGCATGGTGGCGCATGCCTGTAGTCCCAGCTACTCGGGAGGCTGAGGCAGAAGGATTGCTTGAGCCCAGGAGTTTGAGGCTGCTGTGAGCTAGACTGACGCCACGGGACTCACTCTAGTCTGGGCAACAAAGCAAGACTCTGTCTCAAAAATAAATAAATAAATAAATGAAAGAGAATCAGAAGAAATAATACAAACGTCCGTCAACTAAAAGTTTGGTTAAATAAATTACAATAACTCTATAAAATCAAATACTGAGCAGTAGAAAGAGTGACTGTGCAGATGGAGTTTTATTGACATGGCAGTGTTTCTCCAACACAGGGACAAAGTATTGTCTGTCATGCTGACCCACTGATGTAAAATTATAAACTATGTTTCTGTGCTTCATGCTTTTATAGCCTCCCTCTGGACACTCAAAACCCTTAATTGTTATTCTTGAATTCATATTTAATGTCCCTGCTAGAATGTAAGCTCCATGAGAGCAGGAAACCTATCTTTACCCACAGCACCTAGACTGTGTCTGACATGTGAATAAATGAGTCAATAAAGAATTGTTGGCCAGGTGTGGTGGCTCACGTCTGTAATCCTAACACTCTGGGATGACGAAGCAGGAGGATTGCTGGAGGTCAGGAGTTTGAGACCAGCCTGAGCAAGAGTGAGACCCCCATCTCTACTAAAAAATAGAAAGCAATTAGCTGGACAACTAAAAATATATAGAAAAAATTAGCCACATGCCTGTAGTCCCAGCTATCCAGGAGACAAGGCAAGGAGGATTGCTTGAACCCAGAATTTTGAGATTGCTGTGAGCTAGGCTGACGCCACGGCACTCACTCTAGCCTGGGTAACAGAGACTCTGTCAAAAAAAGAAAGAAAGAAAGGAAAGAAAAAGAAAGAAAAAAGAAAGAAAGAAAAAAGAAAGAAGAAGAAGAAAGAAGAAAAAGAAAGAAAAAGGAAAAAAAAGAGGAAGGAGAGGGGAGGGAGGGAGGGGAGGGAGGAGGAGGGAGGGGGGGGAGGAGGGAAGGAAGGGAAGGAAGGGAAGGAAGGAAGGAGGAAGGGAAGGAAGGAAGAAGGAAGAAGGGAAGGGAAGGAAGGGAGGAAGGGAGGGAAGGGAAGGAAGGGAAGGAAGGGAAGAGAAGAGAAGAGAGGGGGGAAGAGAGGGAAGAGAGGGGAGTGAGGGGAGAGAGGAGAGAGGGAAGAGAGAGGAAGAAAGGAAATAAAAAAAAAGGAAGGGAGGGAGGGAGGAAGGAAGGAAGGAAGGAAGGAAGGAAGGAAGGAAGGAAGGAAGGAAGGAAGGAAGGAAGGAAGGAAGGAATCTATTTGGAATAGCACATTGCAATGGGAGCATGCATGTACTAGTAAACTACGTGTGCATTCAGGGAGGCAAAGGAAGACGAAGGCTTTTATAAGAAAAAATGAGGACGATCACATAAATAGTTTTGGAATAATTTTCCTTGGCTACAAAGATCAATAACAAGTGTGGCACCACACCAAGGCTGTGCAGGCAGTTACAGGGAGGTGTTTTCTTGTATAAGGTCATCATGGCCTTTTGCAAGGTGGTGGGATCTGTAAAGTCTTTTTCGTTATCAGGCATAAGAACCGGCTCTTCCTAACCTCCCCCAGCTCTACTTGTCAGAGTTTTCTTACCATAGGCAACTCCATTTTGATTCTGGAACTTTCTTTCACAGGGAGGACTCGCAAACTCCACACCACCCCAGATGGGAATCATTTGTTATTTTCTCATCAGCATTATAATGAAATGATGTTGAATGAACTGACCTTATAGAAGGACCTGGCGTATGGGGTATAAGTTTTGTGGTGGTGGAGGAAGTGTAATGAGGCCAAATAGATGCTAACAAACAGCATTTATTGAAAGCGCTCCCGGGCGAGGTTCAAGGGTCCCAGAGCAGGGGCCCCAGAAGTCCGTACCGCCCAGGACTGCCAGTTACCTTTTATATGGGGCTAGCTGTTGTTGTCTGTCTCTGGAGGTCAGGACAGGATGTTTTGCACCTGGGACGTCTTCCTGCTTTGCCTTGTTGGGGGGTCTGGGCTGAGATTTTACGTTGGTAACAGGATACAGTTTAGGGTAGCTGTTGTACAAGGTCTGTAGTCTTTGTAATGCTGTGAGGATGGGGGAAGAGGGGAGGAGGAGACCTAACCATCTATGCCTTACAAGGGGGTCACAAGTGGCAAAATAGGGCAAGCCTGAGACCCAGAGCCCGTGGAGTTGACAAAGACCATGCCTCACCTCATCCTTTCTCTCTGCCCTGAGCAGAGACATGAAAATGGACATAAGAATCTCCCGCACACTCTCAGTTGGGCTGCAAGCCAGACCCACATTACTGGCCTAATATGGAAATCTCACCTCTCCCCCCCTTAGCTGCCCTCCACAGACTCTTCTAATAAGTGATAAAGTTTCCTAGCATTTACTCACTGAACTGACAAGGTATCTTCCAAAACAAGGCATTTTTATATTCCTAAGTTTTATGTTTTAAATAAACAATACTACAATGACATTATTTTTAAATTTAACCATAATCAACCATATACCACAACCCCAGTGGTCAAATGCTCAGAGCAAAAACTGTGGCATTATCTATGACTCCCCTAGTCTTTCCCGCCCTCTTCCAATTCTTCAGGAAATCCTGTCATCTCTTCCGTCAAACTGTGCCCATAATCTCCCCACTTCCGACGCCTCCGCCGCCACCACCCAGCCTAAGTCACCATCATCTCCCCACAGGACTGGGGCAATAGTCTGCTATCATGGGACCGTCTTGCCCCAACAATCTATTCTCCACACAGTGGCCCAAGTTGTCCTTTTTAAATGTATGTAAGCTCATGCCACCCCTCTTTGCAGAGCCTCCAGTGGCTCCCCATTTCCCTCAGATTAGTGATCTGCCCTTCTGTTACCCCTTTGACCTCTTCTTCTATGACAGCCCCTGCTCAGCCACGACCTTGCCTGCTGTGCGTATTATAATACAGTCCAGGACCTGGACATTCTGTCTCAGGGCCCTTGCCCTGCCTGTCCCCTCTGCCTGTCATGATGATACTGTCATCCTCCAAGTAGCCACGTGGATAACTGCCCCACCTCCCTCAAGTCCTTGTTCACATATCACCTTCTGATTAAAACTCCAACACTTCTCTGCATTCCTTATCCTGTACCACTTATTACAGAATATTCTAACATATTCTAACACAGCTAATTTACTCACATGTCATATTTATTGTTTATTCTCTGTCTCTACCCACTAGAATGCTAATTCTACTGGGGCAGGTATTCTGTCGGTATCCTAGGCCCCAGGAATGATGTCCAGGTACCCAATACCTAGCTGTTGAATGAAATGAAGTGACGAGAAAGCAAAGTTCCTGTCCTCGGCCGGGCGCAGTGGCTCACGCCTGTAAGCTCACGCCTCCTAGCACTCTGGGAGGCCAAGGTGGGCGGATTGCTCGAGGTCAGGAGTTTGAAACCTGCCTGAGCAAGAGCGAGACCCTGTCTCTACTATAAATAGAAAGAATTAATTGGCCAACTAATATATATATATAGAAAAAATTAGTCGGGCATGGTGGCACATGCCTGTAGTCCCAGCTACTTGGGAGACTGAGGCAGGAGGATCGCTTGAGCCCAGGAGTTTGAGGTTGCTGTGAGCTAGGCTGACGCCACGGCACTCACTCTAGCCTGGGCAATAAAGTGAGACTCTGTCTCAAAAAAAAAAAAGAAAAAAAGAAAAAAAAAGTTCCTGTCCTCAAACCAACGCTCCCAAGTGCCAGATGCCCTGCTTTTCTGAGCTGCAAACCTGGGGAGGAGGACATGAGGGACTTTCCCCTAAAATGCCCAACAAAGCCTTCTTAGACTCGTGTTCTTTCCGTGACAACACATGTCACTCCAGTATACTGGAAACTTTTTATCCAGGCAGCCTAGATACAGGCACTGGATGGACTGAAATCAGTGAATAGTTCCGAGTTGGTTCACTTTGGTAGGAACAAGTTCATATGGCCAGATGCGGCTGGACCACAAGGCCCTTCGGTCACCAGGTAACACGCACACGGCAGGTCCGATCCACTGCGGGGCTGGGAAGATAAATAGATGTTTGCAAATGAATCTGAGAACTTCACACTTTCACTGATTTTATGTGTTGTTGAACACTTGGTTCCACCCTATATGTAATATACAAAGAAACAAGATACACAAGACTCACTTTATACACTGATAGTAAAAAAATTTAGAGTTTTCTGTGGCTTAACAATTTGGGCCCGGTGTGGTGGCTCACGCCTGTAATCCTAGCACTCTGGGAGGCCGAGGCGGGCGGATCCTTTGAGCTCAGGAGTTTGAGACCCACCTGAGCAAGAGCCAGACCCATAAATAGAAAGAAATTAGCCAAACAACTAAAAATAGAAAAAAATTAGCCAGTCACAGTGGTGCATGGCTGTAGTCCTATAGTCCCGGCTACTTGGGAGGCTGAAGCACAAGGTTCTCTTGAGCCCAGGAGTTTGCGGAGGGAGGGAGGGAGGGAGAAAGGAAGGGAGAAAGGGAGAGGGAGAGAGGGAGAAAGGATGAGGGAGAGAGAGAGAAAGAGAGAGAGAGAGAGTTGTTGAAGTCTAAGGAACTGAGCGGGTTCTAGATGTTTCCTGATTTCTTTCTAAACTGCTAACAACTTATTGATTAAAACAGCAAGCCTGGGAAACTTACCGTTTCCTGGTTTGTGTTTGCATCTGTATTCGCTTTGATTCACAGTCTCCCTCATTAGATTGTCAGCCCTTGAAAGCCTGGGATTGTGTTTAATTTTGTTCTTTTTTTTCCCTTCTTCTTCTTCTTCATATGATGCTCAGGATAATGTTCTGCTCAGAGTGGATGTCTTCTGAGCAACTGAACGATTTGGCAAGTACACCCTCCTAAGAGAATGAATTATCAACAGGGGTTATTATAATTTAAGAAGAACCACAAACCCTCCCTTCCACAGGCCAGCCACTGTGGTCGGAGCTTTGTGTCAACCGTCTCCTTAACTCACGACCTTCCTCTGGGGGAGATACTACAAGCCCCGTTTTGCAGATGAGGCACCTGAGGCTTTAGCAATCTCAGGGACTTAGCACGGTCACCCAGCTAGTAAGAAAGGGAACCGATATTGGAGTTTTTCCTGATTCCGAGGTCCATGCTCTGAATCACCTGTAACTGCCCCCTCATTCCTTCAGCAGCTGACAGAGTCCTTCTCTCTGGAAACCAACTGGGCACAGGTATACCATGTCCATCTTGTAGGCAATTCGGTGAACCAAGAGAAGCACTGGGAGGACAAGGCACTAAGTTACTCTCCCAGACTTCCATGTTTGTTTGGACAGTTACTCCGCTGGCCCCTGGGAAAGACAGTTTTCTGACTGCGGCCCTCACCTCCTGCACACGAGCAGAGCTGAGAAGCAGCAGCACAAACCCTGTGCAGGTGGAGAGCAGCCCCTTAACATGCCCAGGGCAGGAAGCCTCTTGAAAATGCCCTCCTGCCCCACTTGGCTTTCCTAAGTAAGTTAGCTACACAGGGGGGAGCAGTGTTCTAGACAGCTGCATTCTCCTCCAGAGGAAGACCCAACTGCACAGGTGAGTAGAAGGCACTGACACAGGAGAAGATTCGAGGGGTGAAAAGGCTAGTGAGGGCATGGTTGTCCAAATCCCACTGCAAGGAGAGATGAACAATATTCAGCTGTCATTACACAAAGCTTCTGGTTGACAAATACTGTCTGGTATTCCCCTGCTGGTTTCCTGCCCTTGCACCGCAATCCCTGGTCTCTGTGGTCCACCCAGCAAATGCAAATTATGTGAATCAGGCTGCGGGTGACTCACCAACTCCCCTTTAAAGCAGCATGGGGTTCAACACAGCGGCTGCTCGGGGTGGCAGCCATGGCTTGTAGACACGGCTTCTCCTCCTGGGTACTGCTCTGCTGGCTGCTGGGGACGGTGGCAAAAGGTAAGGGTTTTGTGCTTATTCCACTGTGGTTCCACTAATTGACAAGTTGTGTAAAGAGACAAAATTGCTGCCACGATTACACATTCCCATAAATTGGAAATGTTGACCTCAGCCTGTGTGGCTAATGGGAAAGGCTGGGTTTTATTGTCCAAAGACTCCAGTCCTGGTCTCAGCACTAGGTCTGTGACTTTAGACACACTCCACCTCTCTGAGCGTCAGAGTCCTCTTCTGTGATGTGGCGGTATTAATAATAGTCGTCATTGTAGGAGTGATGAGGACCAAATGAGCTACCACCTGTGGAATAACTCCGCAGGCTCAAAACACTGTACAAACACTAGTTATTATTGTTAGAAAGTTAACGGTTTCCACCTGTTTACAGCTCCAGGAGCTCATTAATTTGCACATGGCGGGTGTTTAGTCTCTGCCCATTGCTTTAATGACTCACACCTAGTAAGCTGTGTCTTGGTGCTACTGAGGTAAGCACAGGTTTCTTTCTTTAGGATTCTATTAGATTCACCTTCTCCACTGTTCTATTCTCTTTCCTTCACCCATTACAAAATGTCCCAGTGGCCCGAACCTGGTTTGCAAACCCCTAGGGAGAGCAAAGAAAAGGACAAGGAAGGGAGGAGGAGGAAAGAAAGGGGAAGGAGACCCTGCAGGGCCTGGGTCTGATTTTTATTTTCACAGTTCAGCTGAGTTCCAAAATGAGCTATTGTTCAGGGAGGAAAGAAGCAGGGGACAGAGAAAGCCCTTCACCCCTCGCGTGCCCTGGGGCAGGGGGGTGCAGGGGCTCAGCCAGACCCTACTTATCCCCTAAAGCTCATGGCAGACTGGAGAGGGGGAGGGACATCAGAGCTGGTCCAGGGATACCCAGAGATCCCCTTATCCAACCTCCACACAAACTCTGGCAATCAGAGGATGAGGCACATAGATCATAGACAACTGCCCCCAAATCCCCAAACAACACCTGCTAAAAGTGACATCTAAAAGAGGCATCATAAAACAGAACGAGCCAAGTGAACCACTCTTCAAGAGGCTTTGTAACTATGTAGCTAACTAAATGAGTTATAATGAGATTAGAGATTTCTTTTATTCACATCTAAATGACACCAATGGAAACATGAGATTTGATTTCTTAACGGGGCTCACTCTTACCCACAACTCCTTGAAGTCCTTCAAATGTAGCTTCTTTCCATCCCTGCCACCCTGGTTCCAGTCTGTTGCTACTTGCACACATCTGGGTCTGCTGGATGAGGTCCTGTGTGGCTCTCCAATCTCACCCTCTTCACTCTCTTCCGTGGCAGGGGCTGTGGCTGTGGCTACTCCCTCTTCCTGCTTTCACTTGTGTTTGTTGCAATTCTGCTTCAAGGCACGTTTCAATGCTGCTGTGATGGTTGCCTTCACAAAGGCTTCCTTAAGACACATAATTTTAAAATTGCAATCTTTCGTTCCAACACTTTCTTTGCATTGAATCTTTCTGTCTACACAGCCTGCAGCACATGTTGCGTTCTGCTCCATGTGCAGATCTACTTTTGGTAGCAGCTTCCCATGCCCTAGCACAGCCCTGCAACTTGTTCGCGTCTGCACCTGCTACCCCACCTCACACGGGAACCTGTACGTTGCTGAAACGACTTGATTTACAGCAAAGAATTGAAACAGGCTGTGAGTGAATCAATCACAGGACTTATATGTCTTTCTGGTTCAACTCTGAAGCACATAAGGAATTTTCTAAGAGTCCATGTGCCATGCAAGGGAAGAACTGCATATTTAAATATCAAGTGTAAAGCTTACCTCTTATAAATTCAGTATAGTTCGCTACAGGCCAGCTGTTGTCTGACCAAATAACCACAGACTACAGGTAATTATATATAAAAAAAGGTCTTTCATCATTACCTTTTTTTTAAAGTACTTATTTTTAAAGCAGTTGGTATGCTACTAATTTCATGTCTAGACTATAATAAACCCATTTAATATTGATATCCAAATTCTAAGCAATATTTTGCCTTCTATTTTCTATTATACTCTAATTTTAAATATAAATTAATCATTGCAAATTTTCTGGGACGAGAATGAAATACTCATGAAAATATTCAGCACCTGCCTGACCATTCAATCCATCAAGTGTTTACTGAGCACCATTGTCAGCCAGGGACTGTTCTAGGTGTTAGGGACACAGCTAGTGACCAACTGATATAATTTGGCTATTTGTCTCCTCCAAGTGTCATGGTGAAACTTGGTCCCCAGTGTTGAAGGTAGGGCCTAAAGGGAGATGTTCAGGTCATGGGAGTGGATTCCTCATGAATGGCTTATTGACATCCTTGCTCTGTGAAAACTAAAAGAGCCTTGCACCTCCCTCCTGTCCCTCTTGCCCCTTCTCTGCCATGTGACATGCTGGCTTCCTTTCTCCTTCTGCCATGAGTGGAAGCTTCCTGCAGCCTCCACAAAAGCAGATGCTGGCACCATGTTTCTTGTACAGTCTGCAGAACTGCGAGCCAAATAAACCTCTTTATAAATTACACAGCCTCAAGTATTCTTTATAGCAACACAGACTAAGACACCAGCACAGTCAACTGTCCTCATGGAGGTCCTATTCTGATAACATCTATACCCTTTGGTCCTATCCTTAGTGCACAAATTTTATGTGTAAATGTAACCAGATGGGCCTGAGAAAATGGGCCTCATGCTAATAGAATCTTCCATAACATTTAGGATTAATGACAATAGCTAACATGTACTAAATGCATACCATATGTCAGGAAATAAATTCTGAGTGCTTCACACATTTTATTTCAGCTGAGACTTGCAAAAAGGTGATAAAATAGGTAGTATCATTTTCTCCATCTTACAATTAAAGGAAATGAGACTGGAAGAGGTTAAGGAATCCATCTATGGTCACACAGTTATCAAGTGACAGCATGCAGGGAGCCTGGCTCCAGAACTGCTCCTTGTAAACACCGTGCTGTTCTGGCTCTCAAACTGTTCTTCATCTGCATTTAGATATTTGATCCACTTTGGTCCTAATGCTATTAAGTTTGCAAAGGAGTGCTCACCATTGACATTTGGTGCCCCTGGTGGCATGTCGGTACATTAATAGGGGAAATATTTGCTTATTAATATTAATCATCAGCCGGGCACAGTGGCTCACGCCTGTAATCCTAGCACTCTGGGAGGCCGAGGTGGGAGGATTGTTTGAGGTCAAGAGTTCTAGACCAGCCTGAGCAAGAGCGAGACCCCGTCTCTACTAAAAATAGAAAGAAAGTAATTGGCCAACTAAAAATATATAGAAAAAAATTAGCCGGGCATGGTGGCACATGCCTGTAGTCCCAGAGGTTGAGGCAGGAGGATTGCTTGAGCCCAGGAGTTTGAGGCTGCTGTGAGCTAGGCTGATGCCACGGCACTCTAGCCCAGGCAACAAAGTGAAACTCTGTCTCAAAAAAAAAAAAAATTAATCATCACACTACCCTGAGAGGTAGGACCTTGGTACCTTTTGCAATTATAGAAACTGAGGTTTCTCCAAATCAATTCGATTCTGCTTCAGACACTGTGCTGGGGATGAAGAGACAGCAATCTACAAGACAGTCATACAGCTATTTCAGGGGAGCAGGAATGTAACCACTGAAAAATAACCACGTTACTGATGAAGATTATGAATGTGGACTCACAGGGAGTGAGAGAAGCTCATTGCCAAGGGCCTTCAGGTAGTCTCTTGGTAGGCAAGGCCGCCTGAAAAAATGAGACTGGAAATCTACATAGTGAGTCAAGTGAATTAAATAGGCGGTGGGGGCGGTGGGAGAATTAGGGTCAGTAAGTGTGTAGACTTTAGAGAGAGAAAACAGGAACCAAAGAAATCCATGTCAGATCGCCTCAGTTTTCTTTCTGACATATGAAGCCAAGTAATCTACTTAGAAAGGTAGAAAGAATTTCAAAGGGATTCTTCAAATGAATGAACAATGAGCACTTTGCAGGGGCTTTGAGGAGAGAGCAAAGGTTTAGAAGACAGCGGGAAGAGGGCAGAACAAGATAAACCATGAATGGCATCAACCTACTTACTCAGGTGTGGAGCCTTACCTTGTTAAGTTTTTTGTTTTGTTTTGTTTACATTTTACTGTATAACTTTGTAAGATGTGACAGGTTCCCAAATCAATCCTTATGGTCCCACATTTTAGAACACTTGTGCTAGCCAACCAGTGACCTGATACAATCACTATGTGTCTAGTTTGCTGAAAGAATGTGGTTTTATTTGGTCCTACTCACATTCTTGAGTAGGTGATTGCAGCAAGCTTATACCGTGATCTTGAGCTCTTGGAAATTCCCAGAAGAATAGAGGAGCGAACACTACTGGACATTGCAGAGTCAAAGAAAACCTGCCTAGCAGAAGAGTCTCAGGTTTTAAGAAATGAGATGGACACAAGGGGTGAGTGGTTGGTTGGTTTTTAACAGCTAGAGCACAGTTAACCAAGTGGCAGAGTTCAAGGGCTTAGCTCAGCCTGATCTGTTAGTAAAATGTCAAGATGGGGTTTAAGAATGAGGCTACCTGCTTCCTTAGAGACTGGATTCTGGGAAGAAACTTTTCTTATTATAAAGGTTCAGAACTATTCAGAAAAAAACAGTGAGTCATGTGGGATTTAATCATCTTTTGTAGTTCAAAGTGTCTTAATCTACTTTCAGTTAACACGATTTCAATACTCAGTAGCCTGGGTGAATGTGGGAGGAAGGGTTGGTATTTTAATCAAGGCACAGAATCCATTCAGGCTAGAGCTGGAGGTGGTATGATTATTGTAAGGATCTCTCCAGGAATCTTAAGTACAGCCAGACCGAAGAGGGACCAGCCCTGGAAAGTCAGGAATCAAGGCTACTCCCATCATCACTCTGTTACCATGTGGTCTCTTTTCATTCTCCCCCCTCCCCCCCATCATCACTCTGTTACCATGTGGTCTCTTTCTCTCTGTGTGTGTGTGTGTGTGTGTGTGTGTGTGTGTGTGTGTGTGTGTGTGTGTCTCAGAGGCCATCCCTATTTTACTGCTGCTATGTGCATACTGGCTTCTCTGCTTTCTCAACAATGAATTAACCAAAACCTGACACTCAACCCCTGCTCCACACCTTCCACTAACATCTTCCTTCCATTGACTTAGTTATAATTCCCAAGGAAGAATCTGATTGGCCACTGACCAGCCAATGAAAGATTTGAGTGTCTACCAGCAGTCCAATCAGCCATAGCCAGAAGGTGTGCGGGGTTCTGATGGACACTTAGATTGTTTCCAAGTTCTTGCTATTATGAATAAGGCTGCTACAGGCATCCTTGAACTTCCTGTAGACATAAATATTTATTTCTCTTGAGTAAATTCCCCAGAGTGGAAATGCTGGGTTACAGGGGGTGTCTGTGTTTCATTTTATCAAACTTGAGCGATGCTTTCACACATGCTTTGAGATGTCTCTCATTCTCTCTTCCCTGCCACCACCCTGAATATCTATCTCCTTTCTGCTTCTGTACCAGGCCTGTTTCCTGACTTGTATTTTCCTCCCCACAGGACAAGAAGTGTTCACCCCTCCTGGAGGCCCACAGAATGACATTGACCCTACAGACTGCCAGATCTTCACACTCACCCCTCCCCCCATCACGAGGAGTCCAGTGACAAGGGTCCAGCCCATCACAAGGACACGCAGGCCTCCCTTCCTCCCTTTCCCACCGAGAAGACCCAGAATCTACTTTAGGTTTCCAATCAGACCTTTCTTTCCTCCAAAGTGCAGCCACCGTTTTCCGTTCCAGCCATTTGACTGGCCACGAGATCGCCTTCCTCCTCACAGATATTTCCCCAGAAGGAGACTCCGAAGAGGAAGCTCATCTGAGGAAAGCTAAAGAGAAGAGAAACCCAAACTTACTGAAGCAAAAGAAGCCAATCCCTCAGAGAAGGCAAGAAAAAGATTTATTTTCTCTTTCCAAGCTAAAACTACTTGAAAAATTTGAAGATTAAGTATCCTAAACACCATCAGCTAGAGATTGTTCTCATCAGCAGCGAAGATGCTGGATTATAGGCTATTTATGAGTACAAAAGAGGGCAGTAAACATGTTCTTATCCTCAAATTTTTATGGCCATTAAATATTTATGCAAATAAAATCTTTAAATGGGTGGTTCCAATGATTCCTATCCATAATCAACCTCCTCTTCTACATTAAAAGAGCATTTAAATAAAATGAGATCATTACAAACCAAATGAAGACACTAATGACATGCTCTTTTATACTCAGTGGAAAACTTAAAGAACAAGGTACATTTACAAAGTGAACTTTTAAAAAAATTATAAAGCTTAAAGCAAAAAAAGTTATGGGGAAATCTGGCTATCGATAAAACTTTAAAGATATAAACTGAATTATTTAACCCAAATATTTTTTAACTGTAGTATCTAAATTGACTTTAATGTTAACTTTTTAGACAACCAGTGCAAATTATCTCACGATTTCTCCTATTATCATATAGATACTGGCTAAAGTGATATACTGCCCCTCAATGTGGCTGCAGGCTCAAAAGCCAATTAAACGGTTACACAAATGTTCTGGTAATTCTGGAACTTTACAGACATAGTTCATTCAACTTTGGGAACCTTGCATTTTCAGGATGCAATCTGAGAAACAAATCCTGCAGACTGCATTCATTGGTTATTTGGCCACTGTAAAAATTCTGCCTCCTATTTATGCCACTCCTCTTGCCTGTCACCTAGGAACTTTGGATTTGCATACAGGGTCAGTGGCTTGCATTTTTCCCTCTCAAGAACTGTATGCAAAAACTGCTGCTGCTGCTGCTGCTGCTGCTGCTACAAAGAAAGAAAAAATAATAGCACAAAGACAAAAGGACTCTGGGAATGGTTGCCTGGGAAAAGGAGAGAGAGATGAAATCATCATGCTGCACTGCCTTCCTATATTAAATAATAAAAAGAAAAAAACTCTTTCACTTACTTCATAGCCAATATTTATTATAAGAACAGATATTTGCTTCAAATTTACAGGTTTAAATAAAAACCTTTTTGAAATCTTCATCAACAAACTATATTTTAGGCTCATGCCTGTAATTCTAGCACTTTGGGAGACTGAGGAAGGGAAGATCGCTTGAGGCCAGGAGTTCAAGACCAGCCTGAACAAGGGTGGGACCGCATCTCTGTTAAATGTAGAAGAATCAGCCCAGCGTGGTGGCACATGCCAGACTAATGTTCAAGTTTCCATTCATTGTGAAGATCAACTTACATTGCGCTACTTACATAGACATCATACTTGAAAACTACGTTTCCAATTAATTCCAAAGATGTTCAGAGTCCTTATTCAACTGGCATTCTTGGAAGTGGCCTCATCAGACTCCCTGCCACTCTGCCTTTACCCATCTGCTTACGTTTCATTTCTTGTGGCAAATTCACTTTCATAACTCTCCAGCTTCTTTTACTCCTCCCCACCAGCCCCCATGTTCCCACAGCCTAGACTTCCTCTAGCCACTGGCTCTGCCTTGCTGACCTGAGTCACCAGCTATCTGCTGACAGTAGGGAAGCCCCTATAGAATCACAGAGACTGTGGAGGTCACGTGCATTGGACTTCTTCTGCTCCCAGTTAGAGTGTTTAACTAACAATGTCCACTAAGGGAGAGCCACTCTGCTATTATAATACAATTCTCCTTGGCCACTCTTGGGAAGTTCAAATAAATTAAGCATTTCTTAAACACTATACCCCTAAAAACAGGAAAAGAAGACCATTTATTGGATGCATGGACAAAAAGGAAGAGATGATACCTCTCAGGTAAAACTGATCACAGATTGTAGCATTTTCCCCCTTGGAATGGAAACGGCTTAGTGAGTGGGGCTTTACTGCCATCTCCAGGATCGTGGCTTGGCAGCACTGGGCAATCCTGGCTGGAGCCAAAGGAGTTAGGGTGTCATCCTAGTGAAATGGATGTGAGGCCAACCGCAACAACCCCAGACCTCAGATCTTTCATAGCTTCTCTTAAATAACTCCTGTCCATCCAAGCAGAACTGGCTGCTCCTTCATCCTTCAACCCTAGGACTGAGAAGTATCTATCTCTCATTGGCTTATTTCCTCCCAAGATCCAATAAGAGAAAGGGGACCTGACCACTGACTTAAGTGTAATTTAAAAATACATTCTTCTGGCGGGTTGCATTTCCCCAAAATAATTTTTGGGCCAAATCATATTATCTGAATTGGGTGTTTGCCTTTGTTTTCAGTGGTAGGAAAAAAACATCTACAAAGAACAATCTCCAATACCCGAGCTAAAATCTGCTTTACCTTTTTCTTTAAACACCTTAGTATCTTTTATTCACAGAAGGAATTCAAATGGCTAAAAAAAAAAAAACCAGAAAAATAAAAAAATAGATATGAAAATATGTGTAACCTCAGTAGTTATCAAGAAAATGTAAACCAAAGCAAGATAATTTTCACCCATCAAACTGGCCAAAATGGAAATTTAATATTATCTAATATGTGAAAATAGATTTTTTTCAATTACTGTTGGTGGGAATATAAATTGGTACGGCCTTTTTGGAAGACAATTTGGCAGAATCAATCAAAATCTGAAACGGAGTATACCTTTTGCAGTTTCAAAACAGCCACCCCTAGTGAGCACTGTGATGTTTTCTCCAATGTCCATTCTGAGCCTGCACTGCTTCGCAGGAGCCAAGTGGTTCCACACACAGGCTGCGATTGGCCTAAACCAACTGGCATGATCCCGCTTCCCTCTGCTCCCATTATTACCTCGGGCAAGGGAATTGAACAGAGGCCCAAGGCCCAGTGCCGTCAGTTTCTGCCATTCTCCTGGGTATGGTGATTGATTCAGGGATGGCAGTATCTAAATTAGGCTCAGTGAGAGTAAAGTGAAGTTTTGTTTAATGGCTGGGGAACTCCTGACCTTCTCCTCTGGAAGTGAATCAGAAAGCATATAGCTCCAGGAATCTAAGCTCCCAAAATTTACGCCATACAAATTTTTTTAAATTAATTCCAGATCTAAGTAATCATGACCACATATTTATTTAAACACTCATCGTTCTATCATTGATTGACACTGAGTAAATTCCTTAAACTTTCTAAGCCTATTACTTTGCCTATAAAATATGAAGAACATTCCTACTTTCAGAGAGTTATTATTACTACTGTCACATAGAAATCACTGTGCTAGACAAAGTGGAACAAAAGTAGATAAATAAGGTGTGGTTTCCAATATTTTGAGACACTGAAAATTTATCGAGGCGCCAGGTGTTGTTCTTGCCTATGTGCCTGCAGAATTTGGCCCTAACTCTTCTCAAGGGTCTAGGAGCAACTTAATGTCTTTCAATAAATGCCTTTTCTACTTAAAAAAAAAAATAGTGAGGGAAAGAAGTATACATGTAAACAAAAAGAGCGAAGATCCAAGGAAGACAGCTAAAAACAGGTTGAGGAAGGAAGCAACTGATTGAAGCATTATTGTTATTGGGTCAAAAGATGGTGTCAAATTCTAGCAGCAAGATTAACATAGGTAGGATAGTTGAATGCAGGTAAACAGGCATAGAATCCTGCTCTCCTGACTGGTACAAGATCCTATCCTAGTCTAAGGACAGAAAACATGCTTAATTGAGATATGTTGTTTTCATTTCCCTGATTCTTCTTTATATTAATTCACGTTAACTAACAATACATTTTCTAAAATTTTACTGGAACCTTCCTCACTTCTAAAGAAGATGACCCTGAATGCCAAAGTAGAGAATAAAGGAATTAAACGAGGATATATGATGGGCAAAATAATTTTTTACTGAAAATAAGGAAAATGGCATTTTGTGGATGGGTTTATGTTTCTGTTTTAAAGAAAATTTCTCAGTGTATAATACATTCAACATCAGATATCCACAAATGTCTATAAACACAAAGCTCTAAATCAAATTATTTACAAGCAATGACATCAAGATTTGTGGTAAGATACTTCAAAGAAGGGCATGTTGAGAAGTTGTATGTTAATTATATTTTCAAGTTATTTCATGTCTGAAGCTATCAAGAGAAAAAATAAGACCCTTTAGAAAGCAATGTGAGAACATAATTTTTATTCACACAGAGCATTAAGCACTTATTTCTAATGCATAAACACTTAATGCAAAACAATAAAGAAAACTCCATTTAGTTCAATTCACTAAAACTAGCCTACACCCCTAGAAGCAGTGCTCTGGTGCCTTTCTAACTCCCTGCCTGTGGTTACGTCATACCAAGGAGGGCTTAGAAAGTCAATCACATTTTTAGGTCTAGTCTGACTCACAGCTTAGTACAGATCCAGACCTATATGGTAGCACAACTGAGATAAGGGAACCAATAGAGAGAGTCACATAAGAAAATGCATCCATGTTCCTTCCCATTTCAGTGGGAAGTCAGATGCTCTAACCAAGCAAGGGATTCCCAATCAGGGGAACCAGGTCCTAAGCCTAGGTCTGTCACAACTTTCACCAGTCAGTCTTTACAAGACATGTTATGACCATGCTACTTCTATCACCAACTACACAAAGAAAATTAAATTGCCCCCACCACATCAAGTTTCCCAAGAAAAGAATTAACAAATTATTGCAAACTTATATGTTACATACCATACAGTGGCGGATGCATTATTTATAGCCTATAAATTAAAACCATCTATGGAGCTTGGTAAGATATTTATTAATTGTAAAGTATACATACACACAGAAAACCCATTGCCACCCACACATATTCCCTATTAGTATGTGACTAAATCATATACTTGTAAAGACGGACTCACCTTAAGCTGAAAAAAAAGATTATTTTGGTTCAGTATCTTCAACCTCGATTTGTAAATCTTTTCCTGGTAGTTCTGCCAAGGTTCTAACCAGATATGATTCTCAAGTCTCAACTTGAACTACTAGTAAATAATTTTTAGTTTCTTAATTCTAAAGCTCACAAGGTGTTTTAATAGACAAAAGATAATAAGAGCAAGTACAGAAATTTGAAAGTAATTGATCCTAGGACCTCAAACATGGAGCTGATATTTTCACACTGATCTTAAATAAAAATAGCATTTAAATGAGCTGGAGTGGCATTTGACTTTAAGTATTATCTGCTTTCCATGCTGCTTTCTGCTTTCCATTGTCTTTTGGCAATATTCTTTAAAGTAAAAACAAAATAATAACATTTTAATGTGAAGCCTATTAATGCCAATTCACTAATTTTTTCCAGCATGTCAGCTATACTAACCTTATGAAACATCTAGTCGGAGGCTAAAGATAGAGCTTTTAAATCAAGATCAAATTTTAATTTAACCACCATCTATGGACTTGTATATTGAAATCCCTTATTTGCCTCCTCCTGAATGTCCTACTCTTTTGAGGCTTAGTGTCTAAGGTCAGAATTTCAATATTGAGCTCACAGTAATAAAGAAAAGTTCTAGTTAAATTCTTGGGCTAAGTTCTACTCAATGTCTTTGGGGAAAAAACAACACACTGTTAATTGGTTAGGACAAAACCCCCAAATTCTGGTTCCCTTAAAAACCATTCTCTAAAATGATAAGTGCAGAGCATGGCTAAAAACCCAGACTCCAAGAACCTGGAGCCAAACTGGTTTATCCCTCCCACCTAAAAAGTTTTGGACCCATGCATTAGAAAAGATGTATGGAATGTTGAGTAAATGACTTTGCAACTTAGTGAAAAGTTTTGGGGAAGGCCTAAGTGTTTGAGGTAACAAGAAGACAAGAATTGCTCTGAGTTCTAATATCAATCTCAAACTACCAGTGGACAAGAGTGTAGTCCCTAATAATGAACATTCCCTCCCTAAAGTCTCTTCAGTTGGGTGGTTCAGTAGCAATTGGAACCACAGTAATCGGTTCTGATTAAAAGGTAACCCTGTTTTCCATTGCCTAATTTTGTATGGATACCTCTTTTTTCAATGAGAGGCACAGTACTCAACTCCGCAATATACCTAAAAATCTCCTTCTCCACTCTTGTTCCAATTATATTCCTTCACACAGGAACAATAGCACCAGAATCTTACAATACACAGAACTATCCATTGCCAGAGTTGTAGTAAGTCATTAGAAATAAAAGGTTTTACTGCTAGATTTGCATTAGTGTGGTTCTTAGAAGATCAGCAGAGAGGCCAGATTACCATAATACAATGATCAAACATCAACCATAATCACAGAAACCAAGGATACACATCTCTATCCATGGACAACAGTTACATATCCCCTTAATGCCTAGAAACAAGTAAGATTTTTAAGTGTGTTTTTATAGGTAGGTTAAAGGAAACATTTTCTCTTGCTGATCCTAGTTTTTTTCATTTGCTTCAACTGATCCTAGTTTTTATCACCTACCTCACTGAACCCACTCCTAAATAAATGTACACATTTATACAGATAACATACAAAGTTCAGTGCATGAATACATGACCTTTTATAATGTTTCTCTGTCTCTTTTTTACATACTTTTAATCTTTAACTTTAAATATACAATCTACTAACAGTAAATACACATTCATGTAACAAGAACTATAACACTATTCTTTCATCAGCTATATCTTGAAATAGCATCAGTGGACTTGAAAGGTGACAGGGTAACAGTTGGGGAGGGCACTTGTTCGATCTTCATATTTGGAAGTCTTTGTCTTTCCTTTCTCTGCAAAGCCTTTCTCAGAAAACGCAGGTAGTTCAGAAGGAAACAGTCAAAACCACAAATCTATCCTCTTAGGATATCAGCATTCTTATTGCAAGAGGACGTCATCTCAAATGCTAGAGCAGCATCTAAAAGCACAGGAGAATATACCACCAAATATTTTACATAAAATACTTATAAAAATTGATTTCTATCTCACTTGCTTTCTCACATTGTTGGGTTTTTTTATCTTTTTTTGTGACATTTTTGGTTGTCATATCTCACATTGTATATATTGACAATATCAGTAGATACTATATAGTCTAAGAAAACCTAGATTAGATGTATCAAAAACAAGATTTTAAAAAAATCTTTAGGATAATTACCAATCAAAATTATCATATGCAGCACACTATCTCCTTTTACGCAAATAATGACTAATTTTGACAAAACAGATCCAAGTTTTGTAGAGCCTACATTTTATACAGTTACATGAATTAGCTATTCATAGTTCACATGAATTAATGCCAACGAATGCATTGCAAAACCTCTCCCAGGGCCTTGGAAGTGCCTGTGCAAATGGAAAATTAAAACTTAAGCTCTGTTTGCTTCACAGTAAATTCATCTTCCTTGTCACAGATGCTTTGTAAAATTAATTTCAATAATACGCTTATGAGAATGTGGGGTTCTATTACCATCATATTTTACATATAGTTAATGAGATATTACACCTTGCATGACTAGCTTGAGCAAGTAGCACATTATTTCTCAAAAAGGTCAAATTTTTGTTTTTTGGGTTTTTTTATTCCAAAAAGTTATATTTAAAAGGAAGGCAATTATTTGGTATAACACTGATCCCTCTTTATTGGGAAAAGGCTGCCAAGTACAGTAATGCACATAATGACATTTCAGTTAATGACGGACAATATATACAACAGTCAATGGTCCCATTAGATGGTCATGGAACTGAAAAATTCCTATGGTCTAGTGACATCATAGCTGTTGTAACATCATAGCACAATGCATTATCTTTTCTATGTCTAGAAACACAAATACTTACCATAGTGTTATAATTGCCTACAGTATTCAGTCCAGTAACAGGCTTTACAGGTTTGTAGCCTAGGAGCAATAGAGTATACCACATAGCCTGGGTGTGCAGTAGGCTAGACCATGTAGGTACACTATGATATTTGCACAATGATGAAATTGCCTATGGATACATTTCTCAGAATGTTAAGTGAAGCATGACTATAATCATTTATTTATCTTGCTTTATAAATCCACAGGACAAATGACTAATAAGAGAAATAAGTATGTATCTTTCTTGAGCACCTGTCATCCTAAATTCACATTATTATATCCAATAAAACACCAGAGATTAGTTTAAGAGATGTAAGCTCTATTAAAAGGGATTTCATCCCAGAGACAAATACTACTTCTAATTTTCTAAGTGATATAACTCTTTCTCTGTCGGGAGTTGTCATGGAATCAATCACCAGAGAATATTTCATCTGAAAAATATGGTTTTCAGCAAGCCATAAAATATTTCCCATGAAAGTTTGCACACTTTAAATATAGGAAATCAGACCTACCCAGTTCAGAACCAAAATGATCCTCAGTGCTGGTGTTCCATTTGAGGCAAATCAGGCTCCAAATCATCCGATAGGGGAGCTCCTGATGCCTATAAATTAATAATAAAGCATCATAAGTTTTCAGCTTTGCAAAAGTTCCACTTCCCCCAAATTCCAATTATAGCTGTTCAAATATCAGATGTTTAGAATTAACCATTCATAGCTCAAGTTGCTTACATAGAAAAGAATGAAGTAAGGGGATGTTATTCTTTGATCTCTTAGTTTATACATATTAAAAGATACTTCTGATCTGCCATGGCAGTGAAAGCCCACTACAAACAATCTCTTCTACTTATTACAAAAATACAAAAATAAAAACCTGTTGGAACCATCATATAAAGACCTTAAAGCAGCCATTATAACTATGCTATATGAAATAAAGGAAAACATATTTGAAATGAATGAAGGGACAGGAATTATTTCTTCCTTTCTTTTTCTTTCTTTCATTTTTTATAGACAGGGTCTCATTCTGTCACCCAGGCTACAATGTAGTGGTGCAACCATAGCTCACTGCAGCCTCCAACTCCTGTGCTCAGGTGATCCTCCTGCCTTAGCTTCTCAAGTACCTGAGACTAAAGGTGCACACCACCATGCCTAGCTAAAATTTTTAAATTATTATTTTGTAGAGACAGAGGGGTCTCACTACGTTGACAAGACTGGTCTTGAACTCCTAGCCTCAAGTGATCCTCCCACCTCAGCCTCCCAAAGTATTGGGATTACAGGCATGAGCCACTGTTCCCAGCTAGGGACAGGAATTCTTAGCAAAAAAATAGAAGCAAAGAACCAAATGGATATTTTAGGACTACAAAAACAGTAACTGAAATTTTAAAAACTCTCACTGGATATGCTTAATAGCAGAATGGGGATGATAAAGTAAAAAGTCAGAGAATTTGAAGATAGATCAATAGAAACTCCTAACCAGGTATGGCGGCACATGTCTGTAGTCCTACCTACTTGGGAGGCTAAGGCAGGAGGATCACTTGTGGCCAAAACATTCAAGGTTGCAGTGAGCTGGTCATACCACTGCACTCCAGCCATCCTGGGTGTCAAAGAGAGACCATGTCTCAAAAAAAAATAAAAAAAAAAGGAAAGAAAAGAAAGAAATTGTTCAACCTGAATAATAGAAAGAAAAAGATTTTTAAAAAGTAAGCAAAGTCTCAGGAACCTGTGAGAAAATACCAAAAGGTCTAACATATGTGTCATTAGAATCTCAGAAGGAAAGGAAAAATAAATTGTGGCAGAAAAAAATATTTGAAGAATAATGACCAAAAACTCCCCAAATTTGGTAAAAGATATAAGTTTACAGGTTCAAGAAGCTTGGCAAACACAGACAGGATAAACCCAAAGAAAACTATGCCTAGACACATATTCAAGCTAACAAAAACAAAAGATAATAGATTAAATTTTGAAACAGCTAGAGAAAATGCAGGGGAAAAACAACTCAAATGCCTGAGAATTTCCTACCAGAAACCATAGAAATCAGCAGACAGAGAAATGACATAAAAACAAAAGGACAAAAACCTATCAACCAAAATTCTATATCCAGTGAAAATATAGTTCAAGAATTAAAATAAAGTCATTCTCAAATAAAGGAAAACTAAGAGAATTTGTCACCATCAGACCTGCACTGCAACAAATAAGGAAGTTTTTCATGCTGAAGGAAAAAAATACCAGAGGAAAACTGGAATCTCAGGGGAGGGGGAAAAGGAGAACAACAGAAATGGTAAATAGCTAGGTGAATATAACAGACAACTTTTTTTCTCATGTTTCGGGATACACCAACTAAAACTGTTTTGTTAGAATCAGTGGAATTACTGGATCCACCACAAAACTAGAGTAGTGTAGAGTGGATGGTGGGAAGATTAAGAATTATTTAGGCATGAGATCAACATGACTTGGTGATCCATTAGAGCAGTAGTTGCATTAACAATGAACAAGTGAAAACTTCTGCACCTTTAAAATCCACATGCAATTTAATTTTAGAAGTATACAAGAAATTTATTGAGACTCTATAGTTCATAACTGTGGCATCTGTGACAGTGATTAATCTGCACCTACAGGAATTTGTTCAGTTTTGATTAAATGTTGCTATACAAATTGTTGGCAAGAAATAAGGCAAAGCAATAGTAGCAATAAACCCTTTCCTCAGCATCTATGGATAACTACCTCTGTAATTTATTATCCTCAATGAAACTAGTTCTCTTGTTTGCAGAGCTCCACAGAACTATTAAAGAGTAACAGCAGAAAAAGCATCAACATGATTAAGAAGGCAACATACAGGAGCTCTTTATGAAATGGAAATGCTTTAATAATGAGGATGGAGAATTTAATCTCAAAACAAAAGTTGAGTTACTTCAAGCAAAGGTGAGAAATCTGTTTGAGGAAGTAAAAGGATAGTGCAATGATCCATACCCCAAATTTGTGGCTAGTTACTGTTTGCTCAGGTGATTAAGAAGTTTGCCAGTTTCCTTAATGTAAAAATGAATGATAATGTTGATATAAAAGTAACAGAAACATACACATTCTGAAGAGTTCAGAGAAATTATGGGAAAAATGACTATATGAAATAGCAAATCTTTAACAGGGATGGAATGGATTGTCTTGGGGGAAAAATGTCAAATAGACAATTCATTATGAAAGAATAAAAAAAATTCCAGGGTTTCACTCTTTGAAAGTTAGGTTATAACTTTGGGATTAATGCAGTGAAGTACTACAAACTACCAAAAACCTGTAGTTATATAAAGATTGTAGCTAGGCTACATGTGCACACACATACACATACACATACACACACACACATTTTTAACCTATTAAAAAATGGATGACCACAAGTTAGGAAATGTTTATATAAACACATATACAACAAAGGTACTAAGTGCAATGAACCATAAAACAGAATTTTGCAAGCAAAACTTTATAGATCCCACCAATAAATCCACCCAATTCTTAAGGGCAAACTCTCCCAGAAATATCGTAACAGTAAATATGAGAGAGACCCAAGTTCTGCCCAACTTACAAAGGTATTTCTGTACCTGATGTAATGCAATAGTCGGGGTGTGCAAGTCAACAGCAGCCAGAGAAGGAATTCGAGATTCTGAAAGAATTTTGTTCTCTTTCTTTACTAGCCTGGGATTTCGAGCTAGATGAAAATGACCATAAACACAGTAAAAATATTAGACATTTTATTAGTTTTTCACATCTTATATCTACCCCTCAGTATGTACTTACATGTATAGAAGTATGTATGTAGCTATTAAACATATGTAAACATCAGAGAGAGACATCGATCTTCAACCTAGAAGTTGAAGAAAGTATCTAAGCTTAGCTCTGCCTGCATGAATTTTCATTAAGGAAAAACTCCAATGGGTCTTGTCCCTACTAACCTTTACCTCATTTCTTTTATCTTTTTTTTTTTTTTTTTGAGACAGAGTCTCACTCTGTTACGCAGGCTAGAGTGAATGCCATGGCATCAGCCTAGCTCACAGCAACCTCAAACTCCTGGGCTCAAGCAATCCTTCTGCCTCAGCCTCCCGAGTAGCTGGGACTACATGCATGCACCACATGCCCAGATAATTTTTTCTATAGATATATTTTTAGTTGGCCAATTAATTTCTTTCTATTAATAGTAAAGACAGGGTCTCACTCTTGCTCAGGCTGATTTCGAACTCCTAACCTTGAGTAATCCGCCCGCCTCGGCCTCCCAGAGTGCTAGAATTACAGGCCCGCCCACTGCCTTTCTTGATTACTTCTTCTAAAGAAGAATATATAGAAATGGGATCTAATATGATCAGCCAGCTCTTTTTCGTGGCGCCTCGGAGGCAATCAGCTGCTTCACGATGAAGCTGAATATCTCCTTCCCAGCCACTGGCTGCCAGAAACTCATTGAAGTGGACGATGAACGCAAACTTCGTACTTTCTATGAGAAGCGTATGGCCACGGAAGTTGCTGCCGACGCTCTGGGTGAAGAATGGAAGGGTTATGTGGTCCGAATCAGTGGTGGGAACAACAAGCAAGGTTTCCCCATGAAGCAGGGTGTCTTGACCCATGGCCGTGTTCGCCTGCTACTGAGTAAGGGGCATTCCTGTTACAGACCAAGGAGAACTGGAGAAAGAAAGCGCAAATCTGTTCGTGGTTGTATTGTGTATGCCAACCTGAGTGTTCTCAACTTGGTTATTGTAAAAAAAGGAGAGAAGGATATCCCTGGACTGACTGATAGATACTACAGTACCTCATCGTCTGGGGCCCAAAAGAGCTAGCAGAATCCGCAAACTCTTCAATCTAAAGAAGATGATGTTCGCCAGTATGTTGTGAGGAAGCCCTTAAATAAAGAAGGTAAGAAACCTAGGACCAAAGCACCCAAGATTCAGCAACTTGTAACTCCACGTGTCCTGCAACATAAACGCCGGCGTATTGCTCTGAAGAAGCAGCGCACTAAGAAAAATAAGGAAGAGGCTGCAGAATATGCTAAACTTTTGGCTAAGAGAATGAAGGAGGCCAAAGAAAAGCGCCAGGAACAGATTGCCAAGAGACGTAGGCTGTCCTCTCTGAGAGCATCTACTTCTAAGTCTGAGTAGAGCCAAAAATAAGATTTTTTGAGTTAAATAATAAATAAGACCATATCCTAAAAATAAAAAAAAAATAAAATGATCAGCCAGCATTGATTATGCAATGCCTGAAAGCAGGCTGACATCAAAATGGTACTGAACCAGTTATGTACATTATTTACATACTTAACTATGTAAAGCTAGTAAGAATTTTTATTTTTAATATTTTGTTAGTTTATTTAACATATATTTTAAACAAAAGGGCTGTAAAAACAAGTAAACAGATGAACCACAACAACAAAAAAAGCTATAAAAAGTAAAAGCATCGTAAACATACCTAGGCCTTCCAAGGCTCTTAGTTCGGGGAGATGATTATAGTTTAGTTCAGGTAAATGGACATCTGTCTTGGAGTATTCTCTTCTTTTCTTATTTGCCTGAAGGAGACTCTTTTCACTAGAAACCTAATATATCAGAATGATTTAACACAAATGAATTAGCTTCAAAGTTAGCTAGGCTTTCCCTCTTCTGTAATTCCTATGTTCATGTCCTAAAACTTGTAAAATTGAAGGTATAGAGAATAATAAAAAATTTAAAGGACGTTAATAACACAGAAAACAATTTCATCCAATTATTTCAAACCTCTTCATCATTAAATTTATTAAAATGACTAACAAGTTGATCACTTGATTGTTATGAATTTCTCCTTCTCTTTCTGCCAATCATCAGTGTAAGTCGTGGCAAGGAGTAAAAGGTGAAAAAGTGAGTATCAATGCCCTGGTCCTTTAGGCCAGCAAAGACAGGCCTTACAACACTTCCTAGGCTTTTAAGTAAATAGTTGCTACTGTCTGTTAATTTTAAACAGTTTATCTTCACATATATATATCTTCTCCCAGTTTGTTTCTTAATTTTCCAATATAATTTTGTTACTCACTTTTCAATATTTGTGCTTATCTTGCTCCTCTGATTTAGCACATAATAATATCTTTCTAGGTATACAGTTTATTAAGTAAAGAATTATAACTTCAATTATTTTCCTAATCTTTCTTAGTACTATTACTTCACAGTGCATTAAGTCAGAAGAAATAATAAAGCAAAGAATAGCAGTAGCACTTCAATTCTACATCTTTATGAATTTAACACTTTTCCAATTATTTTTCATTTGAGAATCACAGATCCCCTACATTCTTTTCCACATTTTCAAAATAAGTGACACAGACAGAGATTACATGATTTGCTAACAAAAGAAACAAAACAAAACCCCCACGTATTTATATGATTTGCTAAAGAAAACCCACATATATATGATCAAATACACACAAACACACGTATAATGTATAATACACATAAACACATGTATAATGACAACATTAAGCCACTGAGGTTCCTTTATGCCTTGAGCTTTTGAGCTTCTTTATTTTGGATATTTCTGCTTACTCTTAATAGAACAAATGCTAAAGGTTTTTGGTTCAAATCAGCTATAAAATAAAATAATTAGTTCAAAAAACTATCTGCAATTACAAAAACTAAAATTTAAAAATGAGCTCAAACTATCAGATTTATACATTCAAAGAGTAATAAATAAAACACATATGTTTATAATAATACATTCACATCTCAAAATTGGAGCATAAAGCATCAGGGAGAAGTATTGATCTCCAACATAGAAGTTGAAAAGTCTAGGCTTAGCTCTGCCTGTGTTCATTTTCATTAATGAAAGACTCCAATAGGTCTTGTCCCCACTAATCTTTACCTCTTTTCTTGTTTTTTTTTTTTTTTTTTTTTTTTTTGAGACAGAGTCTCACTTTGTTGTCCAGGCTACAGTGAGTGCCATGGCATCAACCTGTCTCACAGCAACCTCAAACTCCTGGGCTCAAGCGATCCTCCTGACTCAGCCTCCCGAGTAGCTGGGACTACAGGCATGCGCCACCATGCCCAGCTAATTTTTTTCTATATATCTTTACTTGGCCAATTAATTTCTTTCTATTTTAGTAAAGACAGGGTCATACTCTTACTCAGGCTGCTTTTGAACTCCTGACCTTGAGCAATCTGCCCGCCTCGGCTTCCCAGAGTGCTAGTTTACCTCCTTTCTTGATTACTTCTTCCAAAGAGGAATAAATAAAAATAGGATCCAAAATGATCAGCAAGCATTGATTATGCAATTGCTAAAAGCAGGCCAATATCAATTCCAGCAAAATGGTGTTCAACCAGCTATTTTGAAAAGCCTCGCTAATTAAAATAATTTCCAAAGCAGACCAGATTTTAAAACACAAACATCCACAAAGAAATCTGTAGGGTGTACCAAAAAGGAAAGTACTATAGCCACAGAAATTATAAACTAAGAATAATTAAAAGAAAAATAAATTCAATGTCCAAATCACGAGAAATGAAAAGGCTATATTTTTTAGCTGAGGATAATCAAAGAATTAAAGAAGAGAAATTTATCAAAAAAAAATACTCTTTTGGAAGTGTATCTATATCTCCCTTTCTTGTGAAAAGCATTTATTCATTTACCACTTTTCTTAAGCAGCTTCATTCAGTATGCTAGACACTGCTGTAGGTGCTGGAGAAGAGCTGTGAGGAAAACAAGCAAAGCACAAATCCCTGCCTTGGAAGCTTACATTCTAATGTGCGGGGGGGGGGTGTTAGACAACATATAAATAAGAACATATAGAGGATGTCAGGTGCAATGGGAAAAAAATAGGCAAGGAGAGGCCATAGAGAGTAAAGGGAGAGAAAATGAGTGTACAATATTAGGGAAGACCTAACAATAAGGTTTCATGTGAGCTAAAGAAGAGAAAAAGCAAATCCATTGGGTTACATGAGGGAAGAATGTTCTAAAGCAAAGGATACAGCAAGCACAAAAGTGCTGAAAGGTGGGAGTATATCTAACCATGTTCCAAGAATAACAAGGACATCAGTGTGGTTGAAACAGATTGATCAACGAAGAGAGTAGCTGGAGATGGGATGGGAGTGGAGAGAGTGAATCATGAAGGAACTTATAGGTCCTACATGGACTTTGGCCTTTGGAGGATTTTGAACAGAAGAATGATGATGGTTTGACTTAACTTTCTGTAGGCCATGTTGAGAATAATAATATCCTTCCTATGCTGTCTCTGAATCTTCTACATCCTTTTACTATTATGATCTGATAGTAAGTTTTGATTTGTTGATCTTCTACTAGACTATGAGGCACTTGAAGAGAAAAATTGACCTTTTCATCTCCAGTGTTTCAGATGTAATGGATGATCAATAAATATGTGTTAAATAAATAGATAAAATACTTTCACCAAAAATTCTGGTATGGGTGATATAATAAGACAATTTTATCTGCTCATCTACTCTGAAAGTACTCATCAGCAAGCATCAGGTTAAGAAAATGTACTATGTTACTAAAAAAATAAAACAAATGTCATTGCAAAATATATATAATGTATTTAAATTTTCAGACATAAAACTAACTTAAATTTTCAGAATTTCACACTTCTGACTATGATAGCCTGGGATGATATATACATCATATGTCTCCAAATAAAATTCTCAGTTCTTCACTATCACATTGAATATTAATAAAAGTCTAGAATCAAATAGTACTTGTTCTTTCATCACTGAGAACAATTTACTTACTGATGTGTTCGCATTAATATTATAAATGCCTGATGGGGAATATTTATTCTGTTTAACAAATGGAATACAATACTTCTTAGTTTTCTCATCCACTCTGTAACAAAAAAAATTTTGTTAAGTTAAAACCACTAATAATTATTTTTTCAAGCACAAAACCAAATAACACAGCACCAAGTGACATGTGATTTAATCAGAATTTAATGCCTATTCTCAAATATACAATGCACGCAATTCTGGTGAAACATTCTATCCTTTACCACTACCCTCATGCTTCCCACCAGCCTCCAACCTCTACCAAATAAATTACCTTCTTTTCATCAAAATTCCCAAAAGGAGCTTCTTTGTACCACTAAATGCTCCCTGCCACACCATGCAGCAGCAGACAACCAAAACCAGTTATCTCTTTTATTATGACAATACCTCCTTTTACATTATTAGACTAAATAGCTGTACCTTCTCTTCACTTTAAAGAATACAACTCTACTTTCTTAGCACTCAGGTGATTTTTTTTGATCAAATGCTAACAATTTTCATCACACAGCCAAAAAGTCTTTTGAAACAGCTACCTAGCTGTTTCAAATAGCATCTAGAATTCTGAGAGTAAAACAAGGTGGATGAATTGACAAACATTTGCAATTTGCAGCTATAACCTTAAACAATTTTGGGGTCTTATTTTCTTAATTCATACCTGTAACTCTGAACTGCTGATATGGTCCCCATTCCAGAATTAATACCAGGAACAACTGCAGAAAGATTGTGCGTGAGTGGGGGAATTGCCATGCCTGGATTCCTTGTGTGATCCACGTTGACATTGCTGCAGTCTCTGAGGCTTGTTGAAGGCACTGTTTTGACATAGCCTGCCCCATTGTCATGTAGACAGCTGGCATTTGACGTTTTACTGCCTTTTTCAACTTTTTGTCCATCAATTTTTGGTCCTTTTGTTTTAAATACTTTATAATCCTTAATTTTAGGATCAGCATTAGTATCCTGATCATTAATAAAAATATTTAATAAGGTTAATGACTCGAGAATAAAAAATCACCTCTTCCTATAAGTACTTGTCAACTAGTGAATTTCACAGGTATCACCTTTTTTTTGAGACAGGGTCTTACTCTGTCACCCAGGCTAGAGTACAGTGGCCTCATCATAGCTCACTGCACCCTCAAACTCCTGGGCTCAAGTGATCCTCCTGCCTCAGCCTCCCAAGCATCTAAAAATACAGGTAAGTGCCACTACTCCTGGCTAATTTTTTCTATTTTTTGTAGAGATGGGGTCTCACTGTGTTGCTCAGGTTGGTCATGAACCCTCGCCTCAAATGATTCTCTCAACTCTACCTCCCCAAATGCTGGAAATACAGGTGTGAGCCACCATACCTAGCCTTTTCATTTTCTTTATTCTACCTATGGGATTAAAATTAAACCCACATTCTTATTCAAACAGTTACTGGGAAAATAACAAAAGAATGAAAATGCAATTACACCAACTCTCACACATACACATATCAGTGGGAAAAAGTCATGGAAGAGGAATCAATCAAGAATGCCACTTTTGTTCTTATATATTCAGAGTCAGGGAACACAAAATTGAGAACTTTTTCTTCTTTTGGTTCACTCGATTGGAGTGGATTGGTGGTGAATTTGAATTACCTTATCAAGAAGACCTCCTGGAAAATTTACCAGGAAAAGCAGACATAAACTAAATATCCAAATCTCAATTTTAAAAAGCACTAACTTATATGAAATTTTAAAAACAATATTTTTCACTCATCATGTAAGGAAGAAAAGCGCAGGGTGGTGTTTGTATCGTATGTCTGTAGGAATGTACACATGCACACACATGTCTAGTGTACTTGGATGAGTGTGACTTCCTAAAAAGCACTATTGCACAGTGTGGTATACAATAGGCACTCAAAATCTGATATGTTAAGTTGTTAAACAGGTAAGATCTATTTAGAAGATATGTTTTTACAACTAAGCTAAAGTTAACTTGTTTACTACTCACTAAACTCTATTTAAAATCTTCATTTTTTTCTCAAAAAAAGAAAAAAGAAGTATATTGAATTTAAAATTTAAACATGAAAATTTACCTGTACTACAAGTGTTTTTCTTTCTTCACCTACGGAATCATCTTTTTCCTTTTCCTTCTTTCTGTTTTGGGATTTTTTAGATAAAGAAATAATTCTGGCATCTTTCTGTACTTTTAACTGTAGTTCCTGAGAAAACCTACATAAAAATACATTTGTCAATAAAATTGTATAAAACAGATAAACCTAGAAAAAAGTTTTATTTCCAAGATACTCATTTTTTAAAAATTGAGTGTTAGAGTAGACTATGTTATTGAAAATGAGAAAAATTATGTCCTAGATCATCAGTTCTGAAAGGGTGGTCTGTAGATATTCGGGGATCCCTAAGACTTTTCAGAAGGTTTCAAGGTCAAAGCTATTTTTACTTTAATATGAAGATGTCTTTTTCACCATTTGTACTGATGGTACAAAAGCAACGGTGGATTAAACTGTTGGCACCTTACCAAGAATCAAAGCAGTGGCACCAAAATGTACAGGCAGTTATTGTTTTTTTCATAGCCACATATTTTCAGTTAAAAAAAAAAGGCAGTTTCACTTAAGAATATCCCTGGTGAAGCACTTTGTTAAATATTAATTTTATTAAAGCTAAACCCTTGAACAGATGTCTCTCTGTGTTCTGTGTGACAAAATGGGAATATGCACAAGGCATCTCTGCTACAGACCAAAGCACGGTGTTTGTCTTAAGAAAAGCACTTGTGTGATTGAGAAACGAACTAAATAGACACTTTTTTCATGGAATAACATTTACTGGAAAGAAAGCCTGACAGAAAAATTATGGTTATTCAGACTTAAGAGTATTTGGCAGACAGTTTCATTAACAAATAAACAAAGTGAGCTTGTCACTTCAAGGAAAACAACTGATAATATTTATGTGAATGATAAAATTCAAACTTTTATGTGAAAGTTAGAATTCTGTAAAAGTATGAGCTTAGCAGTTTCCCAATACTTATAGACATTTCACTTTTCTGATAAGATAGAATGTACCTTTTTGACACTGTATAATGAAATATGTCGACATTTTTAAGATCTGTATAACTTAGCAAATCAATATTTTCCAAAAGCCTAAAGCATGATGTTACAAAAGCATGCATGGGTAAAAGGTCCATTTAAGAAGCAAGACAGACAAACTGATTTTAATGTAACAGAGGAAGAAAATTTCATTGATAAGGTTCCAGATTTCACAATGCAACCTTTAGAAAACTACCACTATCAATTTTGGAATAGCATCAGAGTTTTGGTATAGAATCAAAGAAGAATACCCACAATTTACCTAAAAAGGCTATTAAAATATTATTTTGTTTTCCAACTACATATTTGTATGTGAAGCCAGAGTTTTTTCAATACTTCAGCCAAAACAACATATCACAACAAATTGAATGTAGAAGCAAATATGAGAATCTAGCTATTTTTTATTATGTGTCGCTGCCACTCATCTTACTATTTTTTTGTTTTGTCTGCTGCACTGATGCCAGCAACTGGAGCAGCATAAAAGCCCATGCCAGCAGCTCTGGTACCCACAGGTCTAGCACATCGAGGTCTCCAGCGCATCAGCAGTGCCAGCAGTATCACAGGACTTGGTGTGGTGTGTTTGGCAGCAATAAGAGATGGCACCTTCATAATTGCATCAGCACCCAAGATGATGGCACCACACAGTTGGTAACAACACAGAAATCAATGACCTGAATGGTAGATGTCATCACAAGGAGATAGACGGAAAAGTATGAAGTGACTGCTTCATGAAAACTAAGAGCGCTAGTGTAGTAAATGTAGGAGACCACCCCTAGGAATTGAATTATTGCTAAGGGCAGATGGAAGTATGGTGGTAGATATTTGAGATCTTGCAAAGTAGATGGGAACAGAAATAACAGAAGTGCAGTTTGTTATTGTTGTGGAAGGCTTTCTTTAACCTTAGGTTGGTATGACATGAAAAACACGGGTCAGTGTTATACCTCTCAGCAAATCCATCCATTTGAAAAAAATCATGGTGTAGGAGCTCAGCACAAAAGGGCCTTTTGTCTGGGTCAGTATGTAAGCATTTCTGAAATTCAAGAACACGTACAGTTTATACCAAAGAAAAACTGCCTACACTTAATTTTTTTTTTTTTTTTTTTTTTTTTGAGACAGAGTCTCGCTTTGTTGTCCAGGCTAGAGTGAGTGCCGTGGCGTCAGCCTAGCTCACAGCAACCTCAAACTCCTGGGCTCGAGCGATCCTTCTGCCTCAGCCTCCCGAGTAGCTGGGACTACAGGCATGCGCCCATGCCCGGCTAATTTTTTATATATATATATCAGTTGGCCAATTAATTTCTTTCTATTTATAGTAGAGACGGGGTCTCGCTCTTGCTCAGGCTGGTTTTGAACTCCTGACCTTGAGCAATCCGCCCGCCTCGGCCTCCCAAGAGCTAGGATTACAAGCGTGAGCCACCGCGCCCGGCCTACACTTAAATTTATAAATACAGAAAATTCTCCTTTATATCCAATAAAACATCTATAATCAAGGATACAGAATAAAGGACAAATCTAGACAACGACTATCAATGGTTGCTAATATCAAAAAACAAAGTCCACCAGACATTTACTGTCTCTGGATGGAAATACACAAACCTCCTATGAAGTGCTGTTATCAAAAAATCAACCAGATTCTGATCAAGCTCTAGCTCTACTATGAGTTTACAAGAAATACACAACAGAAAAGAACACATATACTCCATTATGTAGAAAATTCTAAGGGGTAAACAACCTAGTTTCTACAACAAATAAATTGCAAAGATTAAACAAATAAAAAAAGAGGTGAAAAGGAGCTTATAAATTGTTTTAAAAGACATATCAACCAATTGCAATCTATAGTCTTCATTCAGATCCTAATTCAAACTACAAAGAGAAATTATATGAAAATCAATGAAACTTTGTAGACTGATTAGATATTTTATGATATTAAGGAATTATTGGGAATTTTTAAAACTTAAAGCTATTACAGTCTAGAAGGGAAAGGACCTACTCTGTGCTTATTGCTGTGCTAGATGCTTTACATAGATGATTTTATTTTAATGCAAGGTCTTTTTCTGATTCATTGAAACTCCTCAATGCCATTAAAAATAGAAAGGATTCAGTTCGTAGCTTTAAATAAATAAAAAAGCCATATGAATAATCTACTATTTATAAGTGAAATAATAAATGTCTAGGGATTTGCTTCAAAGTACTTGAAAAAAAGTTGAAGGGAATATGGATATATTAAACAAGATTATCTAAAGGTTGATAGTTCTAGAAACTGGATGATGAATACATAAGGGTTCATTACACTACTATCCTTTCTACTTTCCTACATTTGAAATTTTCTATAATAAAATGTTTAAAAATCATACGATTCTACTTAAGGACTACAAATTGGAAAATAGTTTTACCTTATTCCCTTTAAATGTCTTTACAGACAGATCATAAAGCTGGTCTCAATGAAAAATATTCATATCTGTTAGAAGATTATGCAGGAAACTGGAAATATATTATCCTAACAACTTGTTATAATTATAAGTTTACTAAAATTTTAAAAAATGAGTTAAAGAATTAAAAAGCAAAAAAGACACCTTGGGTAAATGTCATATGATCCTGGTATTTTAGAGGTACTTATTTTATCAATGCCCTGGACAATCCTAATTAATGAGAACTTTTTTTCAAGTGATGGGATCTCACTATGTTGCCCAGGCTGGGGTGCAGTGGCTATTCATAGGTACAATTATAGTACACTACAGCCTCAAACTCCTGGCTTCAAGTGATCCTTCTGCCCCAGGCTCTGGAGTAGCTGGGCCTACAGGCACATACCACCATACCCAGATGATAATGAGAACTTTTTGAGCTAATAATTCCAAAAGGTCAACTTTCAGAGACAACTTGATCTAGTGAGAATCTCCCTAATAGTTTCCTCAAATACAAAACAAATTGTATTGGTAATTTATAAATTAGTTTCAGCAAATCCAATGGCTAAGCAAAAGCCTCTTTAATAATACTATACACGTCAAGATTGTATGCCCCACCTACACTTGAACATTTTCCTACTTCATCTTTCTTTTTATTTTCTTATCTTACTTTTCTTCTCTTTTCCACTTACACAAGGCTTGCATTTAAATGTTAAACATTAAAAACATACAATGTCTTTATATGGTTTTTGTATGTTTTAGATGATGTTTTCACACTTAAAACATACTGGATAATATTAAATGGTTTCTTAATGAGTTTTAAAACAGGTAAAATTTTCAAACCTTTATCTCTGAAGTTATCCCCACCAAATTATTTAAATTATTTCTAAATGTACAAAAATAAAAATCATTGGAAGAAATTATTGACCTAAAAGATAAACTAGACAAGAAAAAAGAGAAAACAAAGTCTCCATAATGCATAAATTCCTGTCAAAAAGTGTAAAGAAAAACTATGATTACCTTTGCTAAATCTATCACCACATCAGAGAGCTTAGGATAACGTCTTTCAAGAGGTTCTATTTCCTTGATTTCGGGCAATCTTACTCCAGCAAACACAGGATTTTTATAGAACAGCTCCTGATGTCTTGGAATTAGATTACCTAGAAGTGAAAGCAGCACACATCTCTGTCATTATAAAACATGAAAGAACTAGTGAAGAGACAGGTGGTGCATAGTATAGGAAATAGTGGAACACAGTTTATGGAGTTCAGGGCTTTCTCAGCATCCAAAATCTATCAAACACAGTGCTCTTGTGATGGCATATAGCAGCCTTTACAGTGGCTTTGACATAAGTCAACTCAAGGAAATTTAGCAATGCTATCTCAACATACTCATTTAAAAAGTTCATACACTATTTGCTAAGTTTTTTATCTGTACATACTGAGATGATCACTTTTTTTGTTGTTTTGTAGTCTAGTATAGTGATTTGAATTGATCTTCAAACATTACATAAACTTTTCATTCCTGAGATAAAGCCCAGTTGATCATGATGTGTGGTCCTTTAAATATATATTTATAAATATGATTGCTAATATTTTGTTAATATGTTTGCATTTAAAGTTAGTTTCCCTTTCTTGTAATATTTTTCTCTGGTTTGGATATCAGTGTAATTCTGGTCTCATAAAATGAGACAAAAATGTTTCCTTTTCTTTTATGTATTTTGAAAGAGTTTTTGTAAAATTCTTATGATTTGTCATCAATTTAGTAAAATTCATCACTGAAGTAAAAAAAAAATTAAAAATAAAAAGTTCATATGCCACCATAAATAGAATTAAAGTGAGGAAGCATAGGAAAAGGACAGGTGAAGAACATTTTATACCTTTCCAGATATAAATACCAGCACTTCATTTCTAATAATAAAGTGTAAAGTGCTAACAAAAGCAATGATACTATTAACAGTTACATCAGCAAAATCTAATCTAAATAAATCAGTTCCACCTTTTAAGAATTTAATTTTTGGTCAACTGATTTTGTGCCTGTATCTAAGGTCAGATTTGAGCACTTTATTTTTTTTCTCAACTTAAATACCTAATTTAATATAAAATATATATGAAAATTCTGCCATTATATTATTTACTAAATTTCCAACCTGGAAACTTCAAATCAAATAATTAAATTACCTCCACATGTTTTCCCATTATTTCCATCTTCCAAGTTCTATCTTCAAACATGAAGTTGATATTTCAAGAAATGTAAGACTTTGATACTCTAGCTTTGAAATTATGTCTAAAGCAATAACAACAAAAGTCAAATCTGAGGAGAGATCAAACTGCCTTGGAAGTCTCTGTGCCTATCATCTTGAATGTGAAAATTAGAGTAGTAGTTATATTATACCAAATGCTTACTAACTCCAAAATAATAAATGATCATTGCATCCTCTCTACATGTAATTAACTGAATATAAAAGTGCAGAGAAATGCACAACCTCTGCTCTTTTCTTCTGTTGAGGGGGAGGGGGATGCGTGTGTGATTAAGAACATGTGTCCAGATAGAGCAAAGCCAGACTGAGGGGGGAAAAATTATATATATATATATGTAGATAGATAAAGATGAAGTTTTCCTATTTGCCCCTATCTTTACTTAAAACATATATCATCTTTAATACACCAACAGCTTAAAAAAATCACAAATACACAGGGAAAAAACTCTGAAATTTAAAATGCTAATGTATAATCTTACCTAAACACATCATAATATGATACAGCTGATCAATATCAGAATCTCCAGGAAATAGAGGTTCCCCCACGAGCATTTCAGTTACCAAACAACCAATAGCCCATACATCAACAGCCCTGAAAGAAAACAATGTGTTGTACAATCTGGCATCATAATATGTTTACTGTGACTGTATCTGTTTTGCAAGTTACTATTTGGTATTCTTGGTATTGAGAATAGTAGTACAGTACAGATTGAGCATCCCAAATCTGAAAATCTGAAACAAAAATTTTTGAGTACTAACATAATGCTCAAACTTTCGGATTTGGAATGCTCAAATTTTTGGATTTGGGGTACTCAACCAGTACAATGCAACTATTCAAAAATCTGAAAAAATCCAAAATCCTCAACTATTCTGGTCCCAAGCATTTTTTTTTTTATTTGAGACAGAGTCTCACTTTGTTGCCCAGGCTAGAGTGAGTGCCGTGGCATCAGCCTAGCTCACAGCAACCTCAAACTCCTGACCTCAAGCAATCCTACTGCCTCAGCCTCCCGAGCAGCTGGGACTACAGGTATGCGCCACCATGCCCAGCTAATTTTTTCTATATATTTTTAGTCGGCCAATCAATTTCTTTCTATTTTTAGTAGAGACGGGGTCTCGCTCTTGCTCAGGCTGGTTTCGAATTCCCGACCTTGAGCAATCCTCCTGCCTCAGCCTCTCAGGGAGCTAGGATTACAGGCGTGAGCCACTGTGCCCGACCCCAAGCATTTTAAGTTAAGGGATATTTGATCTGTACTAAGCCTTTTAAATTACCCATAAAAAGACATTTCCCTATAAATTTAGAGGTCTAACTCCCAATTTTACATAAATGAGATTTCCAGAAACTTCAATCATGTGACATAAAACGGAAAAGCCTTCTGAAAAGCCGTAACAGTTATTATGTGTACTTTATTCTGGAAATAAGACTCTCAGGCTTCATTCAGAGATTATTCATTCTTTGTTAACATGTAATTCTGACAAGGTTGATCAGTCTATGCTATGCCGTGGTACACTGAAAAAAAGCATACCAGAAAAAGGAAGTGGTTGTTCAGAACAAAAACAGTAACAATGGTTGCGCAGAGCAAATATAGCAACAACAAGGAGAATTGAAAGCTGATAGGAGGAAATTTTAAAACTATCTTAAGAATTAGTCGCAAAGAAGAATATATATGCCTCAGTAGTACAGGGACAACTACCTTGAAATTGTGTATGGTCATTACTGAATTATAAAATGGCACAAAAATTATATCATGTTAGTAAAATGAGAACTCAAAGTAATAAAGAAAATAGTAAATGATGTTTAATGCACTCTGAAACAGAGAAATTGTAGAAAATATTTTAAAGATTTCTATCAAAAGCAATAAAAGTTAGAATATTTTCTTCTTTGAAGAATTCACTAATGAAGATTATTTATGTTTGATAAATGTTTCACTTAATTACATTTTTGCCCCCACCCTTGCCTATTCCACCTTGCCTCATTCCAAGAGTGTCAGACTTATCCAGTCAATGTTAACCTCTCTTTACAAGATAAAATAAAAATAAAATATATCTATTTCCTACTCACCATATAAAACAGACCACTTATTCAACTTAATTTTCCCACCTTTAAAATAAGTACACCCACTCTAACTTGTTTCACAAGAACGTTTAAAGGGGAAGCACCAAAATGGGTTACAAATTATAAAGTTCTCTAAACTCAAACTTTCCTTTCAGTGTTAGAGGGACCATTTATGTTATTATAGACATATTCCATTTTATCAAGAAAAGAGACTTAAGTCTGCTCCCTCCCATTACTAATGTCTTACTTGCCATACTTGACATCACCAACCAATAGCTCTGGAGCTCTGTACCATCGGGTGGCCACATAATCAGTATACACCTCGCCAGGAGCTGCCAGTGTTCGTGCAAATCCAAAATCACATAACTTGACAACACCAGACTGGGAGACTAATATATTCTCTGGCTTTATATCTCTGTGTATGATCTAGAAAAAGCAGAGCATGACAGATGTTAAATGAAATTAATTTTTTTTTTTGGCACCTGCCATGGGCAAGGCACTGCTTTTTATCCCTATAAAAAAATAAAAGCATATAAAAGTTGTTCCTGGCTTTAAAGAACCTAGAACCTAGTTGGGCAAGAAAGGGTATTTATGCTTGAAATTCTATTTAAACAATCAAAGATATTAGACAAAATATATATTATTAATTACCAAATTAACTGTTTGGTTAATGAATGCTCTCAAGACTAAGAGAGTAAAAAGCTGTCATTAAAGCTAGGGGTGGTCAAGGAAAATTTTTGTGAAAGAAGTACGTTTTAAGGTTTTTAATACTAAGTTTGACCTGGATAAATATAGAAACAGAAGGGCAATCCAAGTGATAAAGAGAGCAAGAGTGGAGATGAGAATAGATCAAGAGACTATGGGGTGATGTTTTTTTCTAGCATAGAGGTTGTCTGAGGGAAGGAAGGATGCCTCTACCACCAGACTGGGAAGCAGGCTGTGTTTGCTTGGGATGAGAGCTTGTATTGAGATCCTAGGAATTCATGGAGGTGATATGACCAACGTGGTATTTAAAGATGTTGGGCCAGGCATGGTGACTCACACGTGTAATCCCAGCACTCTGGGAGGCTGGGGTGGGAGGATAGCTGCAGCTCAGGGGGTCAACACCAGCCTGAGGACAGTGAGACCCTGTTTCTACCAAATAAAAAAAGAAAACAAAAAATTAAAGAAAAATACACAAAACAACAAAATCCAGCCAGGTGTTGTGGCCCATGCCTGTAGTCCCAGCTACCCAGGAGGCTGAGGCAGGAGGATCATTCACAGCCCAGGAGTTGGAGCTTATGGTGAAGCTACAATGACATCACTGCACTCTACCCAGGGACACCAAGTGACACTCTGTCTTAACAAAATAAATAAACAAATAAAAATAAAGAAGATGTTGGCCATAAACAAGCTAGTTCAGAAAGAAGGACTATAGCAGGAGGAGAGCAGTGGGACAACTATGAGGTGATATGGAGCTCAACTAGGCTGGTGCTCAGAGGAATGAAAAGGAGATACACAGCCTTGAAATCTTTACATCAAGAATCAATAGAACTTAGTAGTATCTCAGATATTTTATTTAAACCTGATAATCTAAAAAAAATTTCAAATTTTTTCTAGACTTTTCAAACATAGAAAAGTCTAGAAAAAGTTAGTTTTGATGGAATAATTAGTTTAGTTTTATCCATATACTTTTGAGTGGAATGGTGAATACCCAAGTAGAGGTATTTATCAGGCACTTAGAAATGTAAAGAGGATACAAAAAGGTCAGTAGTTAAGATTTCTAAAGGAGAGACTCTAGAATAAGGAAACAGGATGCTGGAATAGTGACAATATTAAAATTTCTACACCTAAGCAAAATAAATTATTAGGCCTAATTCTTTTTAAAACCTTTCAGAAGACCAACATCCCAAATGGCAATCCGCCATTGCTGAGCATTGTGCATAGGCTACCAACTTTTATTATCCTAGATATCAGTGCTGAGGACACAGGTCCAGCCCCAGATCACCTGTGCTGTAGCAGAGAGCTAAAGTGAGAGTTGAGAGACCTGGGCTCTAGACTCTGGTTTTTAGGATAGCCATAGACAACTCAATCTTTCTGAGCCCATCTTCTCATGCCCCAAATGAGGGGGCTAGCTAAAGTACATGACTATCATGTTCCTTCTCAACCCTAATATCCTATAACTTTCAGTAACAACAGAACCTAAGTAAAGCCAAGATGATATGAGTAGAATTTTTCCTAAGAGCTATCATTGCAGACTAGGGTGGCCAGAGAAATTTTTATGAAAAGGGTAGGTTCTCACATGGATCTTTAATACTAGGTATAACCTAAATTATTATACCTAAGTAATTTCAGCAAAAATATTGTTTAAGGGTCTATAAACCATATAATGTTCTCTACTATTTGGGTCAAACTTGATTGACAGCAACCTTAAATTTGTTTTTAAATATGTTGGCTCAGCCTAGCTCACAAAAGGATTAATATTTTTAATATTTTTTTTTTTGATACAGAGTACCACTCTGTCACCCCGGGGTAGAGTACAATGATGTCATCATAGTTCACTGCAACCTCGAACTCCTGGGCACAAGCGATCCTCCTGCCTCAGCCTCTCAAGTAGCTAGGACAACAGCCACCATACCTGGCTAATTTTTTAATTTTTAATAGAGATAGGGTTTTGCTCTTGCTCAGGCTGGTCTTGAACTCCTCAGCTCAGGCAATCCTCCCGCCTCAGCCTCGCAGAATACTAGGATTATAGGAGTGAGCCACTGCACCCAGTCTATTTTTAATTTTTTAAATTCAAGTGCTTACATATATCGATACATACACAAATGAATAATGTATTTAAGAATAAATGTTTTCATTTTCTTAAAGTCAGACATTTCATCCTGTGTGTCCATATGCATGTATATATACATATATATATTTGTGTGTGTATTTGTTTATTCCCTCCCCCATCATAATTATTTGTCTGCTTTAAGAATAGAAATGTTGGCCCGGCACGGTGGCTCACGCCTGTAATCCTAGCACTTTGGGAGGCCGAGGCGGGCCGATTGCTCAAGGTCAGGAGTTTGAAACCAGCCTGAGTGAGACCCCATCTCTACCAAAAATAGAAAGAAATTAATTGACCAACTAAAAATATATGTACAAAAAATTAGCCGGGCATGGTGGCGCATGCCTGTAGTCCCAGGTACTCGGGAGGCTGAGGCAGGAGGATCGCTGAGCCCAGGAGACTGAGGTTGCTGTGAGCCAGGCTGACGCCACAGCACTCACTCTAGCCTGGGCAACAAAGTGAGACTCTGTCTCAAAAAAAAAAAAAAAAAGAATAGAAATGTTAACTGCCCAGAAAACAAAACCTTAGAATATATTTTGAATAATAATAGTAATGATAGCTAACACTTGATCACTTATGTGTCTGGTACTATTCCAAGTGATTTACATGTTCATGTTTTATTGCATTTTATTCTCGCAATAACCCTATGAGATAGGTACTATTATTATCTCTACTTAACAGGTAGCTTGGAATGAGGGTTGGAGAAGATATACTAGAGATGTCAAAAGAGAGAAGATATGAAATCATAATCTAGAAGATTTTGAGAGTAAACGGACTAGAAAAAAGTAATAAGATTGCCAAGCAACACTAAAGCTCCCTTGAGGTAAGTGGTCATATATTAGATAAGACCAGTTCTCTCCCCATAAAAATTCATATTTTACATAGTTTAAAGACATACATGGGCCGGGCGTGGTGGCTTACGCCTGTAATCCTAGCACTCTGGGTGACTGAGGCAGGCAGATTGCTCGAGATCAGGAGTTCAAAACCAGCCTGAGCAAGAGCGAGACCCTGTCTCTACTATAAATAGAAAGAAATTAATTGGCCAACTAACATATATATATAGAAAAAATTAGCCGGGCAGGTGGCGCATGCCTGTAGTCCCAGCTGACTCGGGAGGCTGAGGCAGTAGGATTGCTTGAGCCCAGGAGTTTGAGGTTGCTGTGAGCTAGGCTGATGCCACGGCACTCACGCTAGTCTGGGCAACAAAGTGAGACTCTGTCTCAAAAAAAACAAAATAAAATAAAGACATACATGAATGCTCTGAAGCTATGTATGGAACCTCTCAATATTAAAACCTCTACTTTAAAGACCGAATGGCACTCATGCCAGCAACACATGACAAAAATGCCTGAATGTATTCATATATCTAAAGGTAGAATGTGTTATTAAACATGGGTTGATTAGTCATGAAAGCATAAAAATAAAGCGACACAGAAGCAAATGTGCACAAGACATATTCAAATACTCTTCAAAAGGGAAAGCACCAATGATTTTTTTGTTTACTAGCTCTATTGGCAAGCCTACCCTTAGTGCAGAGGTGGATGTGGGGCATTCAGCCACTAACTTCAAATATTACAGGCCCATTGGGAACATATCATCCTTTTTATGAGAAGGATGAATTGGCATTTTTTAAATTAATGCCATTAAGTATTTGATTCCCTGTACATTCAACATTTTCATTATACTTCATGTATTCTTCCTTGTAACAACTCTCTCTCTTTCTAACTTACTACACTGGAATTCAGTCTCCTGAGGTTGGCCACCTTGGGAGGGCTCCTAAAAAGGGCCAGAAAGTGTTTTCCCAATAGAAACTAGATATTGATACTGAGATACTGAGCAATTTTTCTATTTTATATATATATTTTTTTCTGAACTTCATAATAAAATTCAACTATACAATAAAAGTGAAAAAAATAAAAACAGTGAAGAAAAGAAGAAGACGAGGAAGAAGAAGAGGAGAAGAAGAAGAGAAGGAGGAAGAGGAAAATGAGGAAGAGAAGAAGAAGAGAAGGAAAAGAAGGAGGAGGAGAAAAAGAGAATGAGGAGGAAGAGAAGACCAAGAAGAGGAAGAGGAAGAGGAGGAGGAGGAAAAGGAAGAAGAAAACTAAAAAGAAATATATCAAATGTTTAAGTGGTAAGCATGTAAAATGATTTTTTTCTTCTTTTTATAATTATCCTTAGTCTTCAAATTTTCTACCATTAGCATTTATTACTTTTATAATCATACAAAAATGTCATTTAAAGTATTTTGTAAAACAGGCAGAATCTGCATGTTGAGTTATTCATTTTATACTCTACAGGTCTAATTTTTCCTGGAGGTGGTTCTTATATGATATTCAAAGAATATAAAATTATTGTGATAGACTATAGGGTAAAGATTTTCATACTTTTATACTTCACAACTAGGCAAGAGAACATGAATTAACAAGCATAGACCCTTAAGTATATGCATTTGTCAAAATTCATCACTTAGAAAATTGTGCAGAATTAATAAAAAGTCATGAATCTTCAGATTAATGAAGGATAACAAATCCCCTGCAGGTCTCTGAAACAATACTAATACAGGCCAGGCACAATGGCTCATGCCTATAATCCCAACACTCTGAAAGGCTGAAGTGGGGGGATCACTTGAGGCCAGGGGTTCAAGACCACCTTGAGAAACATAATGAGACCTCTGTCTCTACAAAAAAATTTAAAAATTAGCTAGTCATAGTGATTCTGCTTATAGTCCCAGTTACTTGGGAAGCTTAGGCAGGAAGATCACTTGAGCCCAGGAATTTGAGGTTGCAGTGAGCTATATAATGATGCCACTGCACTCTAGCCCAGGCAACAGAGTGAAACTCTGCCTACCCATCCCTAACAAAAACAAAAACTAAAAAAAAAAAAAAAAAAAAAATTCATCACTTAAAATCTATGTGCTTCACTCAGTAAATGTTATCTTAAAAAAAGAAAATAAGTATTTAACTCTAGATAATGATATACATAGATGAAGTATTTAGTGTTGAAGTGTACTGATGTCTGAAATTTACTTTCAAATGCATAAATAAATATAAGACAGATTAACAGATAAATTAATGGGTGAATAAATATGTGATAAAGCAAATATAGCAAAGTGTTATTATAATAAGCATTGAATCTAGTTAGTGGGTATATGGGTGTTTATTGTGCATACTTTTCAACTTTTCAGCATGACCTAAAATTTTCACAATAAAATGTTAGGGGCAAAGAATACATGTATTAAGACACATGAAAATTGGTAGTATCAGAGTAGCATAGTTCATTTCAATTATTTTATTTTATACTGGTTCAAACTTTAAACAAATGTCTCACTAAATTAAGTGACTGGTATCTGGATAGTCAATGATTGGCAAAATAATTATTTAAACCTAATACTTACATTGTGACTGTGACAGAATCCAATTCCATTAATAATCTGAAACAAATACTTTTGAACTACTTTGTTGTCTAGTCCATTTGGAAAGAGCTCCAAGTCATCAAGAACTGTGTGGTCAACAAATTCAAAGACTAGGTACCATCGTTTTTTTTTCTTACACACTTCCAACAAATTCACCAAATTTTCATGCCTCAGTTGCTGTTATAAAAAATGCAAAATAGTTTTTACAAGACCAAATTATTAACAATTACTCACAATTTAAAATAAAATAAAAAACATAAAAATAAAATGTATAAACAATGTAAAATGTAGAAGTATATTCTGATTTTTAAATTACAGTTGAAAGACCATATTGCTCCTTTCTCCTGTCAGAGAACACAATAAAGCCAATGAGAAAAAGAAATGTAACTCCATCTTTGATGCTGTGAGGAATCTATGACCCCCACCCACAACAAATGAGATAGGACAACCAAATGTAATCAAGATCAAATAGGAAGGCAGGGTGCGGTAGCTTACTCCTGTAATCCTAGCACTCTGGGAGGCCAGGCAGGTGGATCGCTCAGTGTCAGGAGTTCAAAACCAGCCTGAGCAAGAGCGAGACCCTGTCTCTACTAAAATCATGCCTATGTCATAAGGAACATCACTAGGAACCATGGTGGACTCCTACTAGCCTGGAGCAAAATCCTGGACTTCTCCCAAATGAACCTCCTACAAATAGCTGGTCCAAGAAGGACTCACTTTATTAAAAGATAAGAAGCAATTAAAAAGAAACCAGGCTGGGAGTGGTGGCTCACACCTGTAATCTCAGCACTCTGGGAGGCCGAGGTGGAAGGATGGTTTGAGCTCAGGAGTTCAAGACCAGCCTGAGCAGAGAGACCCTGTCTCTACTAAAAAAATAGAAAGAAATTAGCCAAACAACTAAAAATAGAAAAAAATTAGCTGGGCACGGTGGCACATGCCTGTAGTCCCAGCTACTTGGGAGACTGAGGCAGGAGGATCGCTTAAGCCCAGGAGTTTGAGGTTGCTGTGAGCTAGGCTGATGCCACGGCACTCTAGCCCAGGCAACAGTGTTAGAGTCTGTCTAAGAAAAGAAAAAGAAAAAAAAAAAAAAAGAAAAGGCAAAAGAAAAAGAAAAAAAAAGAAAAGAAAAATATAATAGAAATACAAAAATATTTTTAACTAATAATCAAAATTTCTAGGAGAGGGAGGGTCTCATTCTCACCCAGGCTAGAGTGCAGTGCTGCAACATAGCTCACTGCAGTCTGCAATTCCTGGGTTTAAGTGATCCTTCCGCCTCCTCCTCCCAAGGCACTGAGATTATAGGCGTGAGCCACTGCACCTTGCCCCAAGCTGTCCTTGCAGGGAAATGTACAACCTTAAATATATATATATGGGGGGTGGGGGAAGCTGGGAATTAAAGAAGCATCTATCTCAACAAGTCAGGAGAAAAAACCCTACAAAATAAACCCATCCAAAATAAGTAAAAGGAATGGAATAATAAAAAACAATAATTAATGAAATAGAAAACAAACACGATAGAGAAATTCAACAAAGTCACACATTGGTTCCTTTTAAAGATAAATAAAATTAATAAACTCTGGTGATACTAATAAGAGAGACCGAGAACAATTTAATATAGCATGCCTGAGACTGCTATCCTTAGAAAGGTCTGCTTACAAAGTGGGCCCTTGGCTGGCACTTGGGAACTTGGATTTCAGGCAGGTTCCCTTCATTTCTAAAATTAATAAAGAGGCTCACTATGCAAACAATATTGTTTGCACTGAATAACTGCTTCCCTTCTGGGAGTTTGGAATTTTGGTTTAGACCAGGCAGAGTGCCTATGTGACCAATCCCCAATAAAACCCTGGGGACCAAGTTTCTAATGAATTTCCTTGGAAGACAATACATCACCTGTAGTGTCATAACTCATTGTTAGAGGAAATTAAGTGCATCCTATAAAACTCCACTAGAAAAGGACTTTTGGAAGCTTGTGCCAGGTTTCCTCTGGAATTCACCCCATGTGTTTTTTCCTTGCTGATTTTGCTTTATATCCTTTCACTGTAATAAATCACAGCCATGAGTACAACTAAATGCTGGAGACTGAGTCCTCATAATGAGTCATCAAACCTAGGGGTAGTCTTTAGGACCCCAAACACAGACAACAGATACACAGATACAGAGAAAAGGAATAAATACTTTTAAAATCAGATTTATATTCATGAGATAAACGAATTTGCAGTGTAACCATTTTATTTCTTCTTCGCCAAAAAATTTATACTTTAAGCCTTTATATGAAAATGAAACAAATATAAAAATACAGTAATATTTTTCTAAAACTGTAACTTAATCTTGATCAAGAAACAACTCATTTTTTAATCCAATATACACATTCACTTACCTTTAGTAACTTGATTTCTCGCATTGCAATTTTTTTAACCATTTTGTCATCATCACTTTCTAAGAACTTCTTGATGGCCACAATTCTTCCACTATCTTTATTCCTACACTTCATCACCATTCCATAACTTCCTTCTCCAACCAATCCTAGGTTCTCATATTTTTCCATTTTAATTTAAAACCAGCAAGAGCTTTTTTTTGCTGTAGAAACCAAAACATAGAGTTAACAATGTTGAGTATATTATTAATAATTTCCCCACCCTCCTAGCAAATTATTAATAATTCTTCCCTGATTGTTTTCCATATTAGAGCAGTCACTGTGTGTTCATGGCTACCCTGTGTTAACTCACAATTTCTTAGTGTTTCCACACCTAAGCTATATTTTTCAAAATATTCACACACATTTTATAATAGACAAGGCAAATGAAATTGAAGCCATTAATTTTAAATTACTAAATGCTGTGTTAATGAAATTCAGTATATTTTAATACCACTAAAGCAATTCAATTGAACTATCATACCGAAAAATTATAATTCCTTTTTACCCAACGGTGGAAAAGGCACAACTAAATTTGGTTTTAATGGAGATCAAATTTTTTTTTCACACCGGGTTTAAAAGATTGATAACTTCAAGTTGGAAATATTATGCACTTTCTATTCAATTGGGAAAAATATGTAATCACAAAATGATCACTTACCAAATTAACACTAAGAACCTTTGATAAAATATTTTTCTTGGCTGGGCATGGTGGCTCACACCTGGAATCCTAGCACTCCGGGAGGCCGAGGCAGGAGGATTGCTTGAACTCAAGAGTTCAAGACCAGCCTGAGCAAGATCGAGACCCTGTCTATACTATAAATAGAAAAAAATTAGCCAAACAACTAAAAATAGAAAAAATCAGCCGGCCAGGGTGGCACATGCCTGTAGTCCCAGCTACCCAGGGAGGCTGAGGCAGAAGGACTGCTTGAGCCCAGGAGTTGAGGTTGCTGTGAGCTAGGCTGATGCCATGGCACTTTAGCCCAGGCAACAGAGCGAGACTCTGTCTCAAAATATATATATATATTTTTTTTTATTTACTTTTCTTACAGTACTAATTACTATATTCTACAAAATAAGAGCAATGACATCAGTATATAAGCAGATCTTTCAAATGAAATACTAGTACTACCAAATACATTAAAGCTATTTTAAGGCCGGGCACAGTGGCTCACACCTGTAATCCTAGCACTCTGGGAGGCTGAAGCGGGCGGATTGCTTGAGGTCAGGAGTTCAAAACCAGCCTGAGCAAGAGCAAGACCCCATCTCTACTATAAATAGAAATTAATTGGCCAACTAATATATATAGAAAAAATTAACCGGGCATGGTGGTGCATGCCTGTAATCCCAGCTACTCGGGAGGTTGAGGCAGTAGGATTGCTTAAGCCCAGGAGTTTGAGGTTGCTGTGAGCTAGGCTGATGCCAGGGCACTCACTCTAGCCTGGGCAACAAAGTGAGACTCTGTCTCAAAAAAAAAAAGAAAGCTATTTTAAAAATCCTGTTAATGATTACTATGAGTATGATAATTCAAATTTTGTATTTAGAATTTTTTTACATCCCATATGACATTTTCTGAAAAAAGGCGATCCTAATACAATATTTCTTGTTTTACTGATGACTGATGAAAGTCCAGCAATCATTCCACATGTTTTGGTATAGAAAAAAAATTTCAGTCCAAATACAGATAGATTTTTTTTTCTTTTTTTTCTTTTTTGAGACAGAGTCTCGCTTTGTTGTCCAGGCTAGAGTGAGTGCCATGGCGTCAGCCTAGCTCACAGCAACCTCAAACTCCTGGGCTCAAGCAATCCTTCTGTCTCAGCCTCCCGAGTAGCTGGGACTACAGGCATGCGCCACCATGCCCGGCTAATTTTTTATATATATATATCAGTTGGCCAATTAATTTCTTTCTATTTATAGTAGAGACGGGGTCTCGCTCTTGCTCAGGCTGGTTTTGAACTCCTGACCTTGAGCAATCCACCCACCTCGGCCTCCCAGAGAGCTAGGATTACAGGCGTGAGCCACCGCGCCCGGCCAAATACAGATAGATTTTAATTCATATGGTTTGATTGCCATGATATAGTAAAGCTACTAAATTACAACTACAAAGTTACTTTTATTTTAAAAATCTGATTTTGAAATTAAACTCCAGAAGCCAAGAATGAAAAATGCTGCTCTAAATCCCAGTGTGGATCCAAAGGTGTTAGGAGAAAAAACCAAAGTCTTTTAACAATGATGATTCATAGTTAATTTTTTTTAAATCTGACAATATAAAAAAACTCATTCATTAAACTCTGGAAAGAAAAAAAATTCTTACCTATTATATTGTGTACTTATGGCAATCTAAAATTAACTTACCCAGATTGTGAATTATCATGTTTTTCTTCCTTCACTATTGGTACATGGATGGCAAAGACAAAACAAATATCCTCTTTGTTCTAGCAAAGTATGATAATACAATGCATACAATACATTTTTGGCACTTGAGATTTAATAAGTTGAGATTTTATTATGTACATATTTTTAATGTGGATACACATAGAGAACCAGAAGATTGATCTTGGGTTGGGGGGAGGTAGTGATGAAAACAATACAAATCAATACCAATTCAAATTATTTCATTATTTTACTTCCAGTTCTGATAGTAGATTCTACTACAAATTATATACATATATGTATATAGCTATGTCTCAGACACTAACTTTCCATACATTTGACATTTTAACTTCTCTTGACTATTTTTTAATACAATGTATTCCAAAAAAATTCTCAATGTAATTCCATCGCTCCTTTCCTTAAATTTTTCCCCTTCCATTAAAAGAATATAGGCTTTAGGTTTATCATACTAATGACAAAAATAGCTAGCATGTTTAATAACCTGGATCATTTAAAAAACATTTTGTAATTGGCATCCTCAACATTTGAAAATACAAAGTGAACGAAATATAATTTACTTGAAGCATGTCTAAGGCATCCTGAAGCATATTGCAAGCTAACATTTTGCAAATTGACAGCTTCAGGTTTATTCTCCCAACCAACCAACTGCACATTGGGACACACCCTACTGAACACACTTGCTTTTTTGAGTGGCACTGTGTGTCCACAAACACCTTTAAAGTACCCTGGCCTACAAACCCTCTCGTTTCCTGAAACAGTTACTCATAACCTGTAATTTTTCATGCCTTCTACTCTGGAAGGCAAGGATATTACAAACTGAAAGGAAATCTGGCCCATTAGCAACGCGGTATTTGTGGAAATCCGCCATGCAAGTGTATGGTTCCCGTACCAACAATTTAGATAATATACTTGGGCAAGGCTAATTTTTTATTTCATTTAGAAACATTGAAATTTCTTATAGATAAAATAATAGGAGCTTTTAAAGTATGATACTTACTGTTTCTTCAAAACCCTTTCGCATGGAGAGACCCAAAGGTTTTCAACTTGGAAACAATTTCGAGGCGACACGCATCTCGCTCCCAGGTCTGAAGGATGCTGACTAACACGCCAGCGATCCCAAGGCTGCCGCGATTTCCTCCGTGGTCACGGGCGCGGGTCCTGGGTGAGGCAGGCAGAGGGGCAAAGGGACCTCGGCCCGCCACAAGATTGCTCTTAGGAGGACCACGGGCCTCATGCTGTCGTCAAGGCAACGACCTCACTCTGTCCCCAACCATAAGGCGCGAAGTCTCCAGAGAGAGAGAGACACGGCCCAGGTAGGAATGCGTCCACGGCAGGCACCTGTCGAGGCCAAGGCCTGTGGAGAAATTTGCTGGCGGGAGAGGGCACCGCCTCCCCGCCGGCGCCCGCCAGGAGTCGGTGAACCTGCACTGCTCCAGTCAGCCTGAGGCGAAGGCGTTGGCCGCCGAGCTGCAAGGGGGAGGGCCCTCACCGCCCGGGCCCGCCCCAAGCGCGCCAGGCCTCCCTTGTTCTCATTGGCCGAGCCCTGTCGTCAGGCGCTCTGATTGGCTGAGCGCCAACCACTCGCCCTTCACCTAGGTTCCGCGGATGACGCGCCCAGGGCGTGAGTCCCCACACGCCTCCGCGCCCTCAAGTAAGGAGGCACCTTTCTGCCTGAGGCGGGAGACCTGTGCTCCCACTGAGGACGGGAGGCGAAGGTGGTGCCCACGGGAAGGGTAAAGGCGGTAGTACTGTGGGGCTGTGAAGAAGAGCGCGAGGAAGCGTTCCTCACAGCCTCCCCTCTGGGGCGGCGAGTGGGCCCGGGCGCCCTCACTCGGGAATGAAGCCTGGCCGCGATCCGATGCTTCCTTTCTGTTCTGGAAGGTGGCGACAGTCGGGGCCACAGGGAGGAGATGAGGGTGGCAGTCTAGTAGGTGGCGATTAGCAGACGAGGCAAGTTGAAAGAAGGTAGTTGCTGACAGGACCTGACGCTACTGGTACCTCGGGGAGGAGGACGGCCTGGGCACCGAGAGTGAGGGGACACTTTAGAAATCGAAGAAGGGGCGACAGGGCATGAATGATGGAGGGGACGCGCTGGAGACTGGCAGAGATGCATAATACCAGCGCGGCAAATGGGTGGAGATGGGCTTGCCATAAAACTTGCCTTAAACGTTAAAATGTTTGCAGGACAGACCGACTTGATCCTTGACCGGGCAAGACCTGTAAGTCAGAATCGTGCACTTGCTGTAGTCACACAAGGAACAGGGCTTCCCCACTTTCAAGGAATTTGAGACAGCCAGGAGGCCATGAGACCAGTCATTTTGACTTTTCAGTCATGATAACTAAACATTTCATAGGCATATTTGGTCTCTAAAATACCTTGAACTCAGGGAAGAGTATCCTGGATAGCAGACATTTATACCCTAGTCAATGTTACAGTATTAATAATTAATATTAAGGTATTCCTTCCTTCTTGTATATTAAAAAAAATTGTGATTTTTTTTTTTTTGAGACAGAGTCTCACTTGTTGCCCAGGTTACAGTGAGTGCCATGGCGTCAGCTTAGCTCACAGCAACCTCAAACTCCTGGGCTCAAGTAATCCTTCTGCCTCAGCCTCCCAAGTAGCTGGGACTACAGGCATGTGCCACCATGCCCGGCTAATTTTTTATATATATATTAGTTGGCCAATTAATTTCTATTTATAGTAGAGACGGGGTCTCGCTCTTGCTCAGGCTGGTTTTGAACTCCTGACCTCCAGCAATCCGCCCGCCTCAGCCTCCCAGAGTGCTAGGATTACAGGCGTGAGCCACCGCACCTGGCCTGTTTGTAATCTTTTGAGAGTTTGGTTAGCATGCATTGATCTTCCATTGCTTAATTCCCTTGGACCAAATTGCTTAAAATCTAGTTCCTGAACCTGTAATATTGAGCAGCAGACCTAGGACCTGGGTATGGAAAGAATAGAAATTTTTGGTCAATACAAGATCTGAGTCTTATTTTTATTTTTTTTAATTAAAAAAAATTAGTTGTCCAAATAATTTTTCTACTTTTAGTAGAGACAGGGTTTCCCTCTTGCTCAGACTGGTCTCCAACTCCTGAGCTCAAACGATCCACCCACCTGGGCCTTCCAGAGTGCTGGGATTACAGACATGAGCAACCAGCCTGGCCAAGATCTTAGTCTTAATGTAGCAATTAGCTCTATCCTTTGCTGTGACCAAGTTAGAGGGAACTCTGCCCCATTTTGGAACCTCTATTGGCTGTACGAGAATCTGCTAAACTTCTTTTATATGAGGGGCAGATCCAGTTTTGTTGGGTCTGAAGCACAATAACATGAGTGCAAAAATATTTTACTTTTGCAACGTTATAATAATATTCAACCAAATAAACATTGTAAGGCTCCTACAAGTGAGAGGCCCTGAAGCTTAAATAACACATTTCTATCTCATAGGGAACGACAAAATAAAAACTGAAAATACTGGATTTGGCAAACGGGATACTTTAGAAAACAACTTCAAAAAGAACTAAGTTTAAAAGCCAATCAACGGCCAGGCTCGGTGGCTCACCCCTGTAATCCTAGCACTCTGGGAGGCTGAGGCGGGCAGATTGCTCGAGGTCAGAAGTTGGAAACCAGCCTAAGCAACAGCGAGACCCCGTCTCTACTATAAATAGAAAGAAATTAATTGGGCAACTAACATATACATAGAAAAAATTAGCCGGGCATGGTGGCACATGCCTATAGTCCCACCTGCTTGGGAGGCTGAGGCAGCAGGATTGCTTGAGCCCAGGAGTTTGAGGTTGCTGTGAGCTAGGCTGATGCCAGGGCACTCACTCTAGCCTGGACAACAAAGTGAGACTCTGTCTCAAAAAAAAAAGCCAGTCATAAAGGAGACAGAGGGTATTCAAAAACTACACATCCTGCCTGTAATTCCAGCACTTTGGGAAACAAAGACAGGAGGATAACTTGAGGCCAGGAGTTCAAGACCAGCCTGAGCAACACAGGAGACCCTCTCTCTTAGGGAAAAAATATACATCCTAGGTAAAGCCATCTACAGGACTGCTAAAGAGGTGGTAGTATTATGTAGAAAAGAGATTTTATTTTTTTCTTTTTAAGCAGGAAAATATTTGTGGGGGAAAAGAGTGGAGAGGCTTTAAAGAGGCAAGAAAAGGAATAACTACTGAAAAACCAAGGAAAGGTAGTGAAGAGAAAGTAATAAAGTATGAGAAAGCCTTAAGCTTGAAGAGGTTTAGAGAAAGCAAGAAAAACTAAGAAATATAGGGCAAACACATTAGCTGACCTAGATCTTTTCAGTAAAAGAACTTCGTTTTTGCATAAAGAGGCAAAGGTGAGATTGAGGCTCAAGGACTTGAGAGCAGATTTTCCTTGAAATAGTTACAAGAAGTCATTTGATATGAAAGGAACACAAAATAGTAAAATGTGCTTACTTGAGCCTGGATACCATGATATACAGTGAACCACCTCACCCTGTTTCATAGGCTTTGGCAACCCCAGGGGAAAGAATGGAGAAAACAGATAGTATGCAAGCTACCTCTATTCAAGAATTGGTAATGCAAAGAGATTGAACAAAGGGTTAAGGAATCAAGGATGCTGAAGAAAGCACCATTGAAATGGCTTGCCATGGTTCCAGCTAGACAGGAAAATAAATTATAATAGCGGTTAGCTAATAAACTGAAAATGAGACATTGAAAGACTAAAGGTCAACCCAGGAATGAATAAGTTGTTTAATAGGAGTGGAAAATAGGAAGAAAAAGAGAAAACAATTTGTGAATTCAGGATCTTGGAAATGGCACAAGATGATCAGTTCTAAAGGGTGGAATGTTTGGCTGTTCCTTGAGCACCTGAAGTTCACTGGAAAATGTTATCAAGTTGAGTTCAAAGAAACTTCAGATCATAGTATGAAAAGTCATTAACATGAACTACCCAAATAGAATTATAGTGGAAGAGGTTGACGGGTATTTTAATCACAAAGAAAGTAAAATGTTCTAAAAATCTAAAGAAAACAGTATGGGAGAGCGCCTGTAATCCTAGCACACTAGGAGGCCAAGGGAGGAGGATCACTCAAGGTCAGGAATTCAGGAGCAGCCTGATCAAGGGTGAGACGCCATCTCTACTAAAAATAGAAGTTAGCTGGACAACTAAAAAATATATAGAAAAAATTAGCCAGGCATGGTGGCGCATGCCTGTAGTCCCAGCTACTCACTCGGGAGGCTGAGGCAGGAGGATCACTTGAGCCCAGGAGCTTGAGGTTGCTGTGAGCTAGGCTGACGCCATGGCACTCTAGCCTAGGCAACAGAGTAGGACCGTCTCAAAAAACAGCAGCAGCAACAACAAAAACAGATTTGGAAACCTGAAGTACAATATATCACCTGCTTTGTCAAGTTCAACATTTAGCACACCTTGATCTGTCACCCACCAATAAATCTATACTACAAAGGTGTGAACATGGAAATCTACTCCTCAAATATTAAAAATAGTGTACACATTATTTGTAGCCTATCTCTTATACCCCTCCCTTACTTTCATTTCTCTCTAGCCTCTATCCTATTCCTCTGTTTGCCTTCATAGCAAAACTACAAAATCAGCCCATGTTCATTAGTCCCATTTCTGACCCTCCAGTCCTCTCTCGGGCTTCATCCTTTTCACTGAAATAGTTCTTACCAAGTCACTGGGACCTATGTCCCACCAAAGCCATCTGTGGCAGAGATTACTAGCTACTCACAATAATCCAGGTTCCTCTTTTTCCTGTATGTATGGCTTATTTTTTGCAATCTCCATTGAAGTTGGGGATGGCTGTGACTGAATTCAAGCCAATGGAATATGTGTACCATTCCCATTCCTGACCCATAAATCATCTCCCATTCAACATCCTCCATTCTTTTTCCCTTTTCCCTGGCTATCATGGAGATGACTTGTGTGATTTTAGAGACAAGATCTCACTCTTGCCCAGACTGGAGTACAGTGGCAAGATCATAGCTCATTGCAGCCTCAAACTCCTGGGCTCAAGCGATCCTCCTGCCTCAGCCTCCCAAGTAGCTTGGACTACAGGTGCACACCACTATGCCCAGCTAATTTTTCTTATTTTTTTCTAGAGACAGGGTCTCACTGTGTTGTCCCAACTGGTCTTAAACTCCTGGCCTCAAATCATCCTCCTGAGTAGGCCTCCCAATAGTGCTGGGATTACAGGTATAAGCCACCACACCCAGCCCTCCAGTGTAATCTTGAAGCCACCTATTAAAGTTGGTAGAACCTTCATTCATCTGTGTCCCTAAATAACTAAGCAGGGAAAAGGCCTCTTCACCACCACTCTTTTTTACATGAAGGGGAAAAAAACTATTGTATCTGAGCCATTTGACATTTAGGGTCTATTTATTAAAGGAGTTAGCCCACCCTAATTCATTTGCTGTTTTATTTGACCTATAAATAGCATTTTTCACAACTGCATATTCTTTTCTTCTAAGAAACTCTTAAAACTTAGCTTTCTGTGACATCAATACTTGCCA